ACTCAAGGGGCCGCAGTTTGCCGACCACTGACCTAGACCATAGATAACTCATTTTAGCTCAAAATTATTTTTAGAATGAGTAAAATAATAAAATTTAAGCAAGATTTTGCATTTAGCCAGGACTGTAATTGAGATCTAGGTTGCAACCTTAGCTTCCTTAAGTATTAGGGAATTATTTAGTTTCTCTGAACCTGTTTTCACTATTAAAAAATGGGAATAAAACATATTATTAAAAAGAAAACGAACAACAACAAAAATTTACCATTAGACCAGATACCTTGAGTTGTTGGGAATATAAATATGAACAACAGGGTGAGGGAAATAAATGGTAGAAAAAAACAATACAGACAAAATAAAACTAGTAAAAGAATAAAAAGGGCCCTGGCTCATGTGTCTCAGTGGTTGAGTGTCGTCCCTTGCAGGTTTACTGAAAGGTTGCATGTTTGCTTGTCAGTCAGGGCACATACCCAGGTTTCAGGGTTGATCCCCAGTTGGGGGGGTGCAGGAGGCAGCCGATTGATATTTTGCTCTCACATCAATGTTTCTCCCTCTCCCTTCCTCTCTAAAAATCAATACAAAAAATAAAAACAAATAGGAACTAATAGCTACCTACAATGAATGAAAAAAACAAGAAAAGTAAGGTTCTAATATGTGCTTAAGAAATACTATTCCATTTCATACCTATCTTCCCCTGCTAAATTATGACTTAAAAACACTGAACATGAACAGTATTTAATTTGCCCTGGCCAAATGGCTCAGCTAGTTGGAGCATTGTCCTGTAAACCAAAGGGTTGCTGGTTGAATTCTGGATTGAGGGTTCAATCACTGATCTGAGCACAAATGGGAGGCAACTGATGGATATTTCTTTCTCCCTTCCTTTCTAAAAGTCAATAAAAATAATATCCTCGGGTGAGGATAAAAAAAAAAGGCTTATTACTGGGAAAAGGAGATTATTTAATTCACCTTCTTGAGTAAACAAAGTTATATAATTAGAGTATGAAATATTTACTATAAATTGCAAGAATGAAGTACAAGCACTTTATGAATATTAGTTAACAGCATGCCTGAGGAGGCAGTATAGCAGATTCAGGCAGGTTCCTCCAGCCAGAAAGATTGTGTTCAATCACATAATTTAAAATTGATTGAGCAGAATACTTAACCTCGCCAAGTCTAGTTGGAAAATGAGAACAATATAAGCACCCATTCCACTGGATTGCTATGAAGATTTAATGACAAAGCTGTAATACTCAGATCAGTACAGTATTGGTATAAAAACAAGCACATAGATCAATAAACAGAATACAGAGCCTAGAGAAGCTCTCCCACTGCAGACACAGCGGACTCTCATAGCCAGTTAGCCTGGAGGTCAAATCACCCCCGGTATTGCCACCAACAATCAAGGCTTAACTACAACAAGACTGCGCACAAAGACCACTAGGGGGTGCACGAAGAAAGCATAAAAAATGCGGAGACAAAGAAACAGGACAAAACTGTCAATGGAGGATATTGAGTTCAGAACCACACTTTTAAGGTCTCTTAAGAACTGTCTAGAAGCCGCCGATAAATGTAGTGAGATCCTCAAGAAATCTAATGAGACCCTCGATATTATGATAAAGAACCAACTAGAAATTAAGCATACACGGACTGAAATAACGAATACTATACAGACTCCCAACAGCAGACCAGAGGAGCGCAAAAATCAAGGCAAAGATTTGAAATGTGAAGAAGCAAAAAACACCCAACCAGAAAAGCAAAATGAAAAAAAAATCTGAAAATACGAAGATAGTGTAAGGAGCCTCTGGGACAGCTTCAAGCGTACCAACATCAGAATTATAGGGGTGCCAGAAGATGAGAGAGACCAAGATATTGAAAACCTATTTGAAGAAATAATGACAGAAAACTTCCCCCACCTGGTGAAAGAAATAGACTTACAGGTCCAGGAAGTGCAGAGAACCCCAAACAAAAGGAATCCAAAGAGGACCACACCAAGACACATCATAATTAAAATGCCAAAAGCAAAAGATAAAGAGAGAATCTTAAAAGCAGCAAGAGAAAGAAACTCAGTTACCTACAAGGGAATACCCATACGACTGTCAGAGGATTTCTCAACAGAAACTTTGCAGGCCAGAAGGGAATGGCAAGAAATATTCAAAGTGATGAATGCCAAGAACCTACAACCAAGATTACTTTATCCAGCAAAGCTATCATTCAGAACTGAAGGTCAGATAAAGAGCTTCACAGATAAGGAAAAGCTAAAGGAGTTCATCACCACCAAACCAGCATTATATGAAATGCTGAAAGGTATCCTTTAAGAAGAGGAAGAAGAAGAAAAAGGTAAAGATACAAATTATAGCCGAAACCGGTTTGGCTCAGTGGATAGAGCGTCGGCCTGCGGACTGAAGGGTCCCAGGTTCGATTCCGGTCAAGGGCATGTACCTGGGTTGAGGGCACATCCCCAGGGGCTGTGCAGGAGGCAGCTGATCGATCTTTCTCTCTCATTGATGTTTCTAACTCTCTATCTCTCTCCCTTCCTCTCTGTGAGAAATCAATAAAATATATTTTTTTAAAAAAAGATACAAATTATAAACAACAAACATGCATCTATCAACAAGTGAATCTAAGAATCAAGTGAATAAATAATCTGATGATCATAATAGAAAAAAAGAAAAAAAAGAAAAAAGAATACAGAGCCCAGAAATAAAGAAACCAGGAGTATACAACGAGGAAAGGATAACCTCTTCAATAAATGGTGCTGGGAAAACTGGAGAGCCACCAGAGGCAGAAAAATGAAAGTGAACCCGCTACCTTACACTACTCACAAAAATCAACTCAAAATGAATTGAAGATTTGAACATAAGTCCTGAAATAAAAATCCTAGAAGACAACAGGGGGTAACCCCTTGACACTGCTCTCTTGGCAATGGATTTTTGGATTTAAAACCAAAAGCAAAGACAACCAAAGTAAAAATAAACAAGTGGGACCAGATCAAACTAAAAAGCTTCTGAACAGCAAAGGTAATCATCAGCAAAATGAAAACAAAACCTATGGAACAGGAGAAAATATTTGCAAATATATATCTGTATAAAGCATTCATATTAACTCAATAGCAAAAAAACAAACAAACCCCTCCCCCCACCCCCCAACAATCAGATTAAAAATGGGCCGCGGAACTTTTCCCAAAGACACAAATGGCCAACAGGTAAATGAAAAGCTGCTCATCACCAATCATCAGAGAAATGCAAATGAAAACCACAATGTAGATTTCACCTTACACCTGTTAGAATGGCTGTCATCAAAAAACAAGAGATAAGTATTGTCAAGAATGTGGAGACAAGAACCCTGTGCACTGCTGGTGGGAATGTAAACTGGTGCAGCCACTGTGGAAAATAGTATGGAGGTTCCTCAAAATTTAAACATAAAACTACCATATTATCCCTAATTCTACCCTAATTCTATCCCTAATTCTACCCAGAAGGAAACAAAATCATTCTCGAAGAAATATCTGCAACCCCATATTTATTGCAGACTGTTTACAACAGCCAAATCATGGAAACAAACTAAGTGTCCATGGAGAGATGAATGGATACAAAAAATGTGGTGTATATACACGATGAAATATTAATCAGCCATAAAAACGAAGAAAATCCTGTCATTTGCATGAATGGACCTTGAGGGTATTAAGTGAAATAAAGTCAGATAGAGAAGGAGAAATATTGTACACTCTCACATTTGGAATCTTAAAAAAAAAAAAAATGAACACATAGAAAAGATTGATCAAAAGTTACAAATTTCCAGTTATAAGTTCTGCAGATATAATGTAGAACATAGGTTTTTTTTTTTAAATTAATGAATAGTATTTGACATATTTCAGTAAAGGATTAGGAAAAATGATAAATCTGATGTCTTTAAATAGCTCTCTCAAAAGTTATTTGTTTTTATTTTTTACTAAGCTATTTCTACTGAACCATGTGTTTTGTAAAGAAACCTATCATTTATTTTAATAGGAAAATTTATTATCAATTATAGTAAGGAAAAAAAAGTGCTTTTAAAAAAAAGATCGATGAAAGACACGAGTCCAAACAGTTGAAAATGCCTTTTAGAGTTCAAATCTATTTTTTTCAAGTTTAAAAATTTTTTATCTTTATTGTTTAAAGTATTACAGTTGTAAAAAAGAGGTCAGCATTTTTATTTTTCCAAAACATGCTGCTATAAAATATTAGAGCCCTGACAACAGAGATGGGAGGAAATAAAGTTAAGACATATTTAGATGTTAAAATCTACTACAGTTGTTAATGACTTGAACATGACCGCTAAGAGTTGAAATATAAGGGGAAGGAAGGCATCATGGATGGCATTCAGGTGTCTGAAGAGTTTTTGTAATAATCCAGAGGAAATTTCAAATGAGTAGGTATTGGGGACCCTATGAAAGCTGTAGCTTCTTGAGAACGTATCGTACTCCAGAATGGCCGAGAGAAGAGGGAAGAGCAAGACTTGCACCAACAAGAGTTGTAAACACCAAAGGTGCTTTCTGAGAAGGGCACCTGCGGGCCCAGGTGAATGACGGGAACCGTGAGAGCCGGGCCCCTTCCCCAGGCACACCCCGCAGTGGCCGCACCAGTTCCAGCCTCCCCTCCGGAGCCTGCACTCCCCGCCAACTCCTCCGGCGCAAAGGTCCCGGCGCCGCAGGTGAGGCGGCGGGTGCGCGGGGGCGGGGTCCTCTCGCCGATTCTTCACTCGCGCCCAGAGGAGGATCTCCACCGCGCGCCCCTCGCTCCACTTCACACAGATTCTGAAACCAAAAAAAGGCTAAAACTTTTTTCTCCCTAGTCTTCCTACAGAGAGCGGCACCCGGGCCGCAGCTAGCAAACGCCTAAGGAGAAGGTGGGGTCTCCCCACCTCTTCAGACTCGCACCGGGCCCTTCCTCCCCAATGGAAAGAGCTCCCCTAAGCCGGGACAGCTCCCCTAAACTCCTCCCCGGCCGCTGCCCGCCCGCCCATACCTGCGAGCGGTTCCACCAGGAGGTGGCTTAGGGAAACCTCAGGAAAAGCGGGCCAGCGAGCAACGCCACCGAAGGGACAGTCATGGTCTACCTCGTCCAGGTCAGTAGCGCAGACGCGCCCCGGCCGCGGCTGCGCCTCCCGCCTCCGGGTGGATCCCCACCGCCCCAGTTCGCTCGCAGCCTCGCACTGCACGCCGGGAAAGGCCTCCCTCCACTGTTCCGATACTTCAGTTCCCAGGATGCACAAGCCTCCAAGAAGAACTGCACCCTGGGATTTGGAGTCCTAATTCTACGCCTTGTCCTCGTCCTTAACGCAGAATCCTGGGAACCTGCTAGGGGATCTAAACGTAAAGCATCACCCACGGTCGTGAAATGTAGGCTCTTTTTGCATCCGGGACCTTGTCCCAGTCTTGGCTGGGTGGAGAATGGTGTCGCCTAGCAGCCGCCGCCGCTATTGCTTGCTGGGAACCAGTTGGCGGGATCCAGTGTCCGCTTGGAATCGCGCTGTGGAGCGGTCGGGCATAGCTGCGGGCCCGGCTTGGTGGATGCGGTAGATAAGAAACCTCCGCTGGTTGCCAGGCGTGCTGGGTGGATCCTGGTGAGCAGGAGCTGCGAACCTCTTCCCACGCAGGTTCTTTAAGCCTCAGGGCCCGTGTGCAATAGCCCAGCTTCTCCGCCCCTTAGTCTTTGCTTCGAAATCCGTCTGCCTTCTTGCTTCAGCCCTGTTTACTCCGACCCAGATGCACTCCTTTCAGTCGTTTATTTCTGCACTCCACCTCACGCCCCCTCCCCCCTCCCCCCGTGCCAGCTCCTCCGAATCAGGGGTCAGCCTTCCAAGCACCCCCGCGCTTGGCACCATTAGATGTTCGCGCGCCTTTGGTGGTAAAGAGCTTGGAGAAGGTTACTCAAAACCTTAGTTCTGACCTAAATTAGTTTTAGCAAGAGCGTTGTCATAGTTTATTTAGCCGGTACAATAATTATGGTTTGTACCAACTGCTCTAATTTTGAGGAAGTCTGTTTTACTCACGTATTTGTTACACAATTAAGGAGCCATAGCATAGCTCTTTGCTAACACCACAGTTATAGTAACGTAACCTATAAAAAGTGTAAATTACTGTAAAAACAGTAATGCTGTTTACCTTGAAAATGCTAATATCCACCTGTTTTGTTTCAGACGTTAAAGCATTGCTAAAGAATTCAAGATGCCACCTAATATAAACTGGAAAGAAATAATAAAAGTTGACCCAGATGACCTTCCTCGTCAAGAAAAATTGGCAGATAATTTATTGGTTTCTTTATCCAAGGTGCTTAATTGACAGATAATGCGTAGATATAAACATATAACCATGCTGAATCTAAGTTGTCCGTGAAGTCATGAGTGGTTTAACTGGAAGAATTTTTATATTTTGGTTGAGAGTTATAAAATATAAAATAGTTGCTTTTCTGTTTACTTAGGTGGAAGTAAATGAGCTAAAAAACGAAAGTCAAGAAAACGTGATACACCTTTTCAGAATTACTCAGTCACTAATGAAGGTTTGTATGTAGTAGGTTTTAAAAACAGCTTTGACTATTAGAAAAATTTAATGATCTATTCTTAAATAAGTTAATCTTTCTGAAAGTGCCTAAATCACCACTAAAAAAGATATCATCACATGTGATTTGAGATCTCACATGAGATTTTAGTGTGTAAAACATTGCTAGTTTTTGCTCTAAAGTTCCTAAAAGAATATGTAGGGGAAACAGAATGGGTATGTTTAAAAATAACATAGGGAGGTCCTCTGTTAATTATATTAACATAATCCTGAGGTAGAAATGAAAAATGCAGATGACTGCTATAGGGATTTGTTAGAAGGGGAAGAGAGTTAAGTGTGAGAAGACCTCATAAAGGTCAAAGACTGATGTTGTTTTAGGTAAGTGGAAGGCAGTGGGAAAATGTTAAGGAGCTTCTAGAGCTGGAGGCTGCCATAAATAAAAACTGGGAATTGAAAATGTGTATATTCTTTACAGTTGAGGAGACACGTGCAAAAAGTTTATAGCAGCTTACAGAGGAAACATGGTGGGTATTTGTATAGTTTGACAGCCTTGTTATTTTATGTTGTCAGCAGTGAGGACTCATTAAAGCGTTTTGAGCCACAATTGATAGATACAAAAATATGCATTAGGAAGGCTAACGTGGATATGTTAATAGGACAAATTGAAGGATATAACATAAAGAAGGAGACTAAACATAAAATTATGGACTAGAACAGCCGTGGGCAAACTACGGACCAAGGGCCGGATCCGGCCCGTTGAAATGAATAAAACTATTGAAAAAAAAGACCGTACCCTCTTATGTAATGATGTTTACTTTGAATTTATATTAGTTCACACAAACACTCCATCCATGCTTTTGTTCTGGCCCTCCGGTCCAGTTTAAGAACCCATTGTGGCCCTCGAGTCAAAAAGTTTGCCCACCCCTGGACTAGAATAATGACAGAATTGAAAAAAGAAATAGAAAAGAGAAAAAAAAGATATTGGAAAACATTACAAAAGGAAACATTAGCAATACTTGATGTAAGACTTGAGAGGAAAAGAGGAAACAAAGATGTTTTAAACTGTTAAGAATCTAGAAATTATAGCCTTAAGGAAATCATGTAGTATTCATGTAACAAATATTTATTGACTGCCACTGTGTGACAAGCACTGCAGACACTAAGTATTGGGAGAGCAAATAAAATTCTCATTTTCAGTTCTTACATTCTAGTTTAAAGGCATATTAATGTTAGCTTTTTTTTTTTTTTTAAAAAAATACTTAGATGAAAGCTCAAGAAGCAGAGCTAGCTTTGGAAGAAATTGATAAAGCCGGAGAAGAACAAGCAAAAGTTGGTAAATACCTTGAGAAAAGTTTATGGTATTAAGAGATTAGCCAAAGAACATCTGTGCAAATTCCATGGACACAGACAGCAATGTGGTGAAGACCAGAGGGAGGTGGGGTTGGGTGCTGCGTGGAGGTGGGCAACGGGAGGGGAAAGAAGACACATCTCTAATAGCATCAACAATAATTTTTAGAAAGTTTATGCTGTTAGATAGTGGAATCCATTTATTCACTAAACAATAGAGAATTAGCTTTAATATAATCTATAAAATTTGTATATTCTATTTTGAAAGATCACTCCAACTTTATGGGTCTGGTATAAAATAGTATTTTTCCTCTTACATAACAACCATATAAAATCATAATGTAATCTTTAAAAAGAATTAATTTTATTGAAATGTATTTAAAAGCTTGATAAATCTGACCATTTGAAACATTTATTTATTTATTTATTTTAAACAGAAAATAAATTCCAAACTGAATTAATGAGACTGGAAAGTGAACTGGAGGTATGTCCTTTTGTATTCTCTAGGGTATAATTGTTGTTACTTTTATTATTTGGAATTGTTGTTTTTATATTTTTATTTTTATTGGTTGGAAAAATCACAAGAATGATATTATATTCATACTTATTTGTTCAATATTTATTTTACATGCCTATTATGTACCTTAAATTCTATTAAGAATTGAGCATTCAATTGTGAACAAAACAAAAACATTCAATAATCCTATAGAGGCTATGGTTTAGAGAGGTATACAAAGGATTACTAATAACTGGTAGAGTGAGGCATGTGGAAATTTGAGGAATAGTGACAGAAGGTATAATAGAAGCATCTTTTGAGAAAGCCAAGCAAGAGTCAAAATAAGAAATTTATTGTTAAGGAGCTGAATATATTGAGATTCCTGAGAATGTGGGACAGAATGTGATACAAATGGGTTAGATTTTAAAAGGAGGAAGGGAGCATGAATGGATGTGTACAGAAGCCTTTAGTTTGTAGGTTTTGTGCCTGGAAATTGAGAGAATGCAGAGAAGGTCTTCTGCTAAAATTAAGAGTAGGAGATGTGTAGTCCAGTTTTAAGGAAGTCAGATAAAGCAGGACATATAGAGATTACTAGATCTGGAGTAAGACTATGTGAGTTCAAATCCTGATTCTTTTATATGTTAACTCAGTGAATTTTGTTTTTTATTTCCTATTGTATATTCTGCTTCTAGGATAATACCAACTACTCTCAATACTTACTAAGTAAATTAAAAAGTCTGATCCATTCTGTGTTAGTGTATGGCCTGAGAGTTGCTGTTAGAAGAATAGAGCTATTGGAGATGTTGGTAAGAAAGTGGTTGAAGTGATGATTATGAAATCCTAGCTGAATAGGCAAGTAAGTCAAGATTAGAGTGGTATGAGAAGTTAGGAAGAAGAGGAGTCAAGGATTAAAGGGCCCCATGAGGTCAAAGGCAGATATCTACACTAATAAAAGAGAAACATGCAAATTGGTGTCATTCCACTACACCTGCCAGCCAATCAGGGCAAGTATGCAAGTTAACCCAATAAAGATTGCGGCCGGCTACGGAGCTGGAGGCTTGGGTTGCCCCCAGTGATGGAGGAAGCTAAGCTTCCCGCCGCCCTGGCCGCTGCTCAAGGAGTGGCTGGGGGCCTGGCTCACCAAGGGCGACCCAGGCTTCCAGCCTGCCCTGGCCGCCGCTCAAGGGAGAGAATAACACACAGGCGCTGCCAGGAGCCTGAGAGATCAATACAGAGGGGCTCCTGTTCCAAGACTCCACGGTGCAGCTGGGGCAAGCCCCCAGCGGACACACACACACACGGGGCGCCTGCTCCGAGCCTCTTCTGCTAGACTGTATGACATCTACTGAGGGCTCATGGACTATGAGAGGGGGCAGGCTGGGCTGAGGGACCCTCCCCCCCCCCAGTGCACAAATTTCATGCACCGGGCCTCCAGTCCTGGAAATAAAGCAGAGAAAGCTCCTTCCTGAACAAGGTCCTGGTGTGGGTGTGGGAGTGGGAATTAATAATGAATTCTAGAAGCAAGTTAAAAAAAAAAAAGGCCAAGAATGAAAGTTATCTAATCTAATAAAACACAAACATGCAAATTGACCATACCTTCACTACGCCTTAAGCCACGCTTACCAGCCAGTCAGAGCAAGTATATGCAAATTAACCCAACCAAGATGGCGGCTGACAGCCACGGAGCTGGAGCGAGCAGGAGTCTTGGTTGCTCCGGTGATGGAGGAAGCCAAGCTTCCCGCCTGCCATGGCCGGTTCTTAGCTCCACTGAAGGCAACAAAGTTTCAATTATAGAAGATAAATAAACCCCAGTTACCTGCTTTCAGCCAGCCACGGAGCTGGAGCGAGCAGGAGCCAGCTCTGAGCTCCACTGAAGGCAACAAAGTTTCAATTATAGAAGGTTAATAAATCCCAGAATAATAAAAAAAAAAGAGGCTGGGAGATTCCGTCGCCGGGGGGGGCTTGGCCAGCCTAAAAACGGCCCACAGGCCCTCAGGCTGGCCAGGCACCCTAGTGGGGACCCCCACCCTGAAGGGGGTGTGACCAGATGCAAACAGCCATCAGCCCCTTCCCCAGGCTGGCCAGGCACCCCAGCGGACCCCCCCCCCCCCCCCCGATCCAGGACACCCTTCAGGGCAAACCAGCCAGCCGCCACCTATGCACCAGGCCTCTATCCTATATAATAAAAGGGTAAAATGCAAACTGACCCTAACAGCAGAACAACTAGGAATGACTGGTCACTATGGCACACTCTGACCACCAGGGGCAGATGCAAAATGCAGGAGCTGCCCCCTGGTGGTCGTGCACTCCCACAGGGTGAGCTCTGCTTAGCCACAAGCAAGGCTGATGGCTGCCAACACAGTGATGGTGGTGGGAACCTCTCCCTCCTCCTCAGCAGCACTAAGGATGTCCGACTGCAGCTTAGGCCTGGTCCCTGCTGGCAAGTGGACATCCCCTGAGGGCTCCCGGGCTGCCAGAGGGATGTCTGATTGCCAGCTTAGGCCCAATCCCCTGGGGAACGGGCCTAAGCCGGCAGGTGGTCATCCCCCGAGGGTCCAAGACTGCAAGAGGGCACAGGCCGTGCTGAGGGACTCCCCCCACTAGTGCACAAATTTTTGTGCACCGGGCCTGTAGTCCTATTAATAAAAGCCCAGCAACCGAACAGCAGAATGACCAGAATGATCGATCAACCAGTTGCTATGATGCACACTGACCTCCAGAGGGCAGATGCTCAATGCAGGATAAGTAGCACTTCTACAGCAGGCAGATCCCCACAGGCCACGCCTTCCACCAGTGCACGAATCCCATACACCGGGCCTCTAGTATAGATATAAATATTGCTTAGAGCAGTGGTTCTCAAACTGTGGGTTGCGACCCCTTTGGGGGTTGAACGACCCTTTCACAGGGGTCACCTAAGACCATCAGAGAACACATATGTAATTATATATATTGTTTTTGTGATTAATCACTATGCTTTATGTTCAATTTGTAACAATGAAAATACATCCTGCATATCAGATATTTACATTACGATTCATAACAGTAGCAAAATTACAGTTATGAAGTAGCAACGAAAATAATTTTATGGTTGAGGGTCACCACAACATGAGGAACTGTGTTAAAGGGTCGTGGCATTAGGAAGGTTGAGAACCACTGGCTTAGAGAGTCTTTTGATGGAAGACTATGACCATGTGCCAAAAATTCTCAATGAATTTTTTGAGTGATTGGGAAGTTGGTAGTTTGCTTCTGTCCTGAGTAGGTAGAGATCTGTAGCTGGGTGTATTGAGGTTTTGCAGAATAGTGCAGGGATGATAGCTTGGAAGTTGCATAAGTAAATCATCACCTCTTGACCCTGAGATATGTGGATGTAAATGAGCATTTTCTGATTGACAGAGTTTCAAAGCAACTTAGTATACTAAAGGAGCCAATTGCAACTACGGCAAAGATTTGGAAAGGATGATTCAGTAAAAAAGATTGAGGATGTAAAATATTACCTCATCTTGAAGAGGATTTTCAATAGCACGAAGGAAAATTTTTGAAGCATGGGGAAAAGGAGGAAAATTTAGTTAAGGTAGGGTAACAGAATCTGGTGAAGTGATGAATGTAAGACAGATTAGATGACCAAAGGATTCGAAGTTTTGGATCATGACCCAAAATAACAGGAATGTGAAGTGAAATGGATTTAGTCTGCTGCAATATTTTAAAGATAATCAGATGAATAACTAAATTCATTGTAATTAAAATTAAGCATTCAGTTCTTTAGTTGCACTAGCCACATTTCAAGTGCTCACTAGGTACATGTGGATAGTGGCTCCTATGCTGAACAGTGCAGAGAACATTCTATTCTAGAAAGTCCTATTGGATAATACTGGTCTAAATAGTCTGTGATATAATAGTAAGGGCAGGTTCAGTCAGAAAAAGACAAGTATCACATTTTCTCACTTATATGTGGAATCTGATGAACAAAATAAACTGATGAACAAAATAGATCCAGAGGCCTTAAAGCATGAAACAAACTGATGAATTTCAGAGGGAAGTGGGTAGGGGGGATGGGTAGAGATTAACCAAAGAATTTATATGCATATACGCATAACCCATGGACAGACAATAGTTTGATGAAGGGCTGGGGAGGGGGCAGGAGCAGGGTGGAGGGGGGTCAATGGGGAAAAAAGGTGACATTTTTAACACTTCCAACAATAAAATAAAATTTAAAAAAAAGAGTAAGGGCAGGTTAACACCAGAGTTCAGTGACTGGGATGAAGGTTCTGGTAGTTTGTAGCCTGGTTTCAGAGCTCTGTTATTCAGGGGAAACCTAGATAGTTCATCTGTTTTCTGTGCCTTGGCAGTTTAGTTTGGCTCAGAAGCTATAACAGAGCCTGAGTAATTCACCGTCTGTTCTTCATAGGTCTGGGTGGCTCAGGAAGAGCTTAGAGGGTTGTCATCCTATGAACTAAATCTTAAATAAGCTAAATTTTAAAATGTATTTCTTAAGGTAATGTGACTTTAAATATTATAATATACATTTAAAGTCAAGATAGTTGTTTGTTGTTGATTTATTTTAATCTCTGAATATGGGACTAATTTATACTTTTGGTTTATTTAAGATGGCACAACAGTCTACAGGTGGACGTGACACTCGGTTTTTACGTGATGAAATTCACCAGCTTGAAAAGCAATTGGAACAAAAAGATAGAGAATTGGAGGACATGGAAAAGGAGTTGGAGAAAGAGAAGAAAGTTAATGAACAAGTAAGGCACAGTTTTTCAGTGAATCTTAACTGTTTAAGTTATCTAAAATACACCTGTTTATGCTTTTTATAGTTATTCATAACTATCAGTTTTTATGGTTGTATTTTTATGTGAAAATTGATGTAAACTTATCTCTAAAGTTTTATATTATAACTAGAGGCCCGATGCACGAAAATTCGTGCAAGAGTAGGCCTTCCTTCCTCCAGCTGCCAGTACCAGCTTCCCTCCTGAACCCGGGTCCCAGTTTTCCGTCCTCCAGCCTCCGGCAGGCACCCGGGACCTGGGCTGGCTTCCCCCGGGCTGTCTGCAGGCACCCGGGACCCGGGCTGGCTTCCCCTGGGCTGTCCGCAGGCACCTGGGACCCGGGCTGGCTTCCCCCGGGCTGTCCGCAGGCACCCAGGACCTGGACTGGCTTCCCCCGGGCTGTCCGCAGGCACCCAGGACCCGGACTGGCTTCCCCCGGGCTGTCCGCGGGCACCTGGGACCTGGACTGGCTTCCCTCTGGCCTCGGCTTCATCAGGTAGGAAGTCTGGAATGAGGTCCGGGAGACGTTGGTCTAATTAGCATATTACCTTTTTATTATTATAGATTTGTGTGGTCATCACATCTTCATAATGGATCGGGTACTTCTAGTGAATATGACTTGGAGATTAATTCTTTATATTTGGAGGTACATTTTTCTCAGGATTACAATAGTTTTACATAAAATTTATTATTTGGTCTGGAAAATTGGTATGAAGAAATTAATAGACATTTGAAATATTGTTTTTTATATCTGCCATAGTTTATTTTGGGAAAAAAGGTATTTTTTATAATCCATTTATATTAGTAATAGACTTAGAAATTAATCCTTTAATGATGTATTCATAATGATTAATCAGATTTCTTGTTTTGAGGTGTACTTCACATTATGTAATATATAGGTTCTTAAAAAGTTGTGCTAATGCCAGCATTTTGTAAATCAATGCATACTTTATTTATTTATTTATTTTCCAATGCATACTTTAAATCATGACATTTCATCTTTTATACGAGCATAATTTCCTATTACCTCTTACTTTAGTCCTTATAAAATAATTTATGCTGTGTTCACTTAAATTTTGTTTGAGGAAAACATTTTTTTGTAGATAAGTTCGTATTTCCTGTCAGAAAATAACATGTTTTAATTTTGGCTCAGCTGTCAGTAAAATTAGTACAGAATTGGATGCCTACCTGTTGTAACTGTTTCATACCTGATGCCCAGAAGCTTTTCCTAACTTTGTGTCCTTTAGAAGGTCAATGTTGTATTACATCTTGATAATCTTCTTCCATCCATTGGTTATACATTTTAAGTAAACAACAGAGATTTTTAGGTGATTTGCTATTTAAAGAGAATCCATCATAAATTAATTTGTAAGAAAAAGCATCCCCATTCTTGATATGTCTGTTTTACTACGTAATTTTGAAAAATCATACAGTGTAAAAAGTATGGATTGATGCCATCTAAAGGTTAGGATTAAACTCTTAGAGCATTATCTGTTTTGTTGACTCAATAAAACATAACAGACCTGTGGATTTCTTAATAATCATAACGGATCCAACATATGCTATACAGTAATACAGTTGCTTAGGGGGATGTCTGTTTGTGTGGTTTTCTGTCTGGCCCATATATTAGTCAGCTTCTTACTACTCATATCACACACCCTTAGCTAATCATAGCTACCTGTTCATTCAGATCTTAGACTACTATCTTTATTCATAGTCACACACACAGAAAACGTGAATCAGGCCTACGTACTTTGCAGCTGTTAGGTTCCTTAAGATGGAATACGTCTATGAGTTGCTCTGACAATTTCTTTTTTGTTCATAACCAGTCATTCGGTTTTACTGAGTATTTACAGCATGCCAGATAATATGCTAAGTACTAGGGATATAGTGGGTAACTAATTGTATTCTGTTTCTCCATGATATTCACTGTCAATAATAATTGTAACATAGAGATAATATAATACTTTGGGGGTACATATGTATATAAGAATATTTTGGGATATTCTGGGGAGTAATACCTAAATCAGTCTTGATATTCAGGAAGTGATCTGTAAACTGAGACCTGAAGTATGAGTTAGCCTGGCAAAGACAATGGGATGTACATGGTGGTTAAGAAAAGTGCATCTGAGTAGAAGATAAAGCACTTGGTAAGACCTAGAATATTTATTTTGGCTTGAATGTAGATAAAAATAGCTAGTGTAGAGTTCTTACTATGTGCCAGACACTACATATACATTAGTTGATTATTCCTTATTTGATACTTATATGAAATAGGTGACATTTCTTTCATGCTACAGATGAAGAAACAGACACAGAAAGGGTAATTGCCCATAGTTACACAACTAAGAAGTTATAAAGCCATGATTTGAATCCAAACTTACTCAAGAATTTGTGCTCTTAATCAATGCACTATATCCTGCCTTCCTGTTTTGTTTTTTAATTAAAAAAAAATGATTTTGGAGAGGAAGAGAGAGAGACAGAGACAGAGACATCGATCATCAGTGTGAGAGAGATACATTGATTGGGTGCCTCCTTACCAGCCCTGGCAGGGGGTTGAAGCTCCAGCCTTCTGGTGCACAGGATAACACTCCAACCAACTGAGTCACATGGTCCAGGGTCTGCCCTTCAGTTTTAACATTCATGATCCTCTGGAGAGATAAGCAAAGGCCTGTTCCTGAGAAATTTGGTCTTTTTTTGAAAGGAGCCAATGAAGAATTTTGAACACAGGGATATCATGATCAATTCTATGCTTTTAAAGTTTACTTTGTAGAGAGTGGATTGACGGGGGTAAAGACTAATTAAGAGACATTTCAGGCAAGTGTTGAAGTAATGACTGAGTGGGGGGGTTAGGGACATAAATACATTTGAGTGATGTAGATGTAATTGGACATGATGAAGGATTGCTTGTTGGTGAGGAGGGAGGAATGGGGAGTCCACCTAATTTTCTGGGTTGGACCACTGGATAGATGGAGTACAGGAGAAACACTGGATAGATGATAAGGATTTGTAGGTTATCAGTCTAGATATTGAAGCCATAGAAATTCTTGTTAGGCAGATCTCTGAGACATAGAAATGTCTAATGAAGTAGGAAGAGATGCTTCAAGGAACAGCTCAAGGAAGGACAACTAACAAGAGTGTGATGCTTCAAAAACGAAGGGAAAAAAGGGCGTAGGTAGTGGTAAATGCTTTAGCCTTAAGTTCTTGACATCTCTCTACTTGTTAACACGTTTCAATTCAAAACAGCAAGACTGTTTCTTAGCTCCCATATAATAATAACTAGAGGCCCGATGCACGAAATTTGTGTGTGTGTGTGTGTGTGTGGGGGGGGGTCCCTCAGCCCGGCCTGCGCCCTCTTGCAATCTGGGACCCCTCACTCCTAACCTCCCGCCTGCTCACTTCTTACCACTTGTCTTGCTACTCATTAGCACTGCCACAGAGCCGGGAGAGGCTCCTGCCTCCGCTGCTGCGCTCACCAGCCGTGAGCCTGGCTTCTGGCTGAGTAGCCCTCCAGCTGTGGGAGTGAACTGACCACTAGTGGGCAGCTCCTGCATTGAGTGTCTGCTCCCTGGTGGTCAGTGCACCTCATAGTGACTGGTTGTTCCAGTCATTCCGCCATAATGGTCGCTGGGCTTTTATTATATAGACTAGAGGCCTGATGCACGAAAATCGTGCAAGAGTAGGCCTTCTTTCCCCTGGCTGCCGGCACCGGCCTCCCTCCGGCACCCAGCACCCGGGCTTCCCTCTAGCCATTGGCAGGCACCCGGGACCTGGGCTTCCCTAGCAACCCTGGCTTCGTCTGGAAGGTTGTCGGAAGGACATCCAGGAAGACATCTGGTCTAATTAGCATATTATACTTCTATTATTATAGATAATAATAAGAAGAAGTAATTTTTAAGATTTATATAGCACATTGCATTTTATTATGAACTTTCTTTAAATTTTAAAAACCTGCATATCGTCATAATGATTGCAAGAAAAATAATACTCTTATACTGTTCACATAGGCTCAGAAGTTAACATTTTGCCACATTCTGTGTGTCTTTATACACAGAAACTTATTTCTCTCTCATTACTGAGCCATTGATAATTGATTTCAGATCTTATGATACTTCCTATTAAATATGCAGATATCATGATACTTCATACTTAAATATTCAGTATGTTTCACCTGAAAAGTGAGGTATTTTCTAACATAACTGCTCTATAATTAGCATAGTAGGGAAATATAATATATTTTATCTATTGACTCAATAATGCCCATCATAGTCTCCCTACCCACTATCCAAGGTTCAATCAAGGATCTCATATTGTGATTAGTTATGTATTTCAGACTTTTAAATATATTATAGTTGGCACACATTGTGATTCTGTCTTCTTCTTGAGATAAGGAGGAAAAGCAGAAAAGTGAAAGGTCATAAGAGAGATTGGATTTGACCATAGGTGAAAAAAATCCACAATAGTGGTAATAATATGTGCCTGTTTAGAGAAACTAAAGAAAAGAGTCACAAATGTGGAGAAGAGAACAACACTTCAAAATTTTTTGATATTCCATGCATTGAATATTGTGCTAAGGACTTTATATGCATCATACTTAATTCTATGTCAACATATGAGATGAGAAAACTGAATTTCAGAGATGTTAACTGACTTGTTCACACTTAATTAGAAAGTGTTGAACAAGGTATATAAACCTAGGCCAGTCTGATTTCAAATTTCTTCTTTTTAACCATTATGTTTTACTACCTTATATTTATAAATAATTTAATGTTCACTGGGAGCAAAGAGTATTCTAGCCCTGACATAGTACAACTGTGAAATGATAGAGAGCTTGGACAGAACACTATTCATTATTAGGATATATGGGTAGAGGAAGGAATAATGTTTTTTGCTTTCTGTATCCTTGGTTAGAATTTTTTGCCTTTTTATTTTTGTAATTTTTGAACTCAACCTGTTTTACTTCCTAATCTTAGTTTTCAAAAATTTTGTCTTATTATTTATGTCTTGGGTTGATATGAAGTCCTTAGTAATTAAATATACTTTCCTTTATTGGAGAGGATTTAAAATTTAAATTGATTAGATGAAAATCCTGCGTATTAAATTACTGCTGAATTTTATTTATTCATTTGCTCTTTTAGTTGGCTCTTCGAAATGAGGAAGCAGAAAATGAAAACAGCAAATTAAGAAGAGAGGTTGGTAAAAAAATTTTAGTATCTGTGGTGTTTCAACAAAGATACTTTTAAAAAAATTTTTTAAAAATTTATGCTGTAACCAGAACTGGAATCATCTAAGTAAGTGATGTTTTCAAACTGGCTGATTTTATGACATGACTTTGTGTCAGGGAAATAGAAAATGAATCTAGAGGTGAGGCCATTAAGTAATACATTCATCTCTTATGCCTATTTGGATAAATCTTGCTTCCTGTTGTATAAACTATTCTTTGTTAGTTTCCTAACTGAATATATGACTGGATTTCTGTCTTATTTTCTTATATTTATCCAGCGTCCTTTTAAGATTTTTGTTGATGAAATCTTGTCAGTTCTAATTATTATTTGGTTTTTCTGAGCCAAATAATGTTTGTACATTGTTTATCTTGATACGAATTTTTATCTTTTTAACACAATCAAGATGTTTTTTTGTTGATAATTAATATTCTTGCTTTCTTTGTTTATCCAAAATAATATCTCATCCTTTTAGAATTTCCCTTTATTTTTTTTTAATTTCTGATTATTATTTTTAATTATATTGCCTTTTTCATTTCTAATTACTCTTTCCTGTCCTTTTCTGGAGAACAAACGTCTAAAGAAAAAGGTGAGGCTTTAGGGGTGGTGAAATCTGGGAATTTTAAAGATGTGTTTTGAGATCACTTTTTAGAGGATAACATTTTCTTTTTCTGGATAGTTTCTTAATAGAATTTTGTATTTGGTCTACCTTCAGAATGAACAGCTTCGTCAAGATGTTATTGACTATCAGAAACAAATAGATTCACAAAAAGAAACACTGTTATCAAGAAGAGGAGAAGACAGTGACTATCGATCACAATTGTCTAAAAAAAACTATGAACTTGTTCAATATCTGGATGAAATTCAGGTAAAATAGATAGAAGTCAGTTCAAGGCAGTGCTTCTTATAAAACTTTAAGTTCATTATAGAATTAAACTATTTAGCCCTACATTTAAATTCTTTTGTATAAATCTATAACTGTGTATTTGTAAAACATGAAATAAATTGTATCTTGGAAGGTGCAAATCTTGCAAATTATTCTTTTTATATGCCTATCTTGGGCATTGTTTAAGAAGAAGTAAGATCCGTAGGTAAAGTGTTCTTGATATTAATTTGATTTAATTGGTCAACAACAGTTGATACTAAAGATCTATGAAGAATTCTCTTTTCTCCAGCAGATACTTATGATGCCATTTAATTTTAATTTAGCTTAAATTTCAGTTTCTTAAATTGTTTTTAATCAGAATGTCTTTAACTTTCTTAGACTTTAACAGAAGCTAATGAGAAAATTGAAGTTCAGAATCAAGAAATGAGAAAAAATCTAGAAGAGTCTGTACAGGAAATGGAGAAGATGACTGATGAATATAATAGAATGAAAGCTATTGTGCATCAGACAGATAATATAATGGACCAATTAAAAAAAGAAAATGAGCATTATCGGCTTCAAGTAAGAATTTCTGTTGAACTAACTTATTTTTACAGACCTCATAATGCCTTGTTACTAATTATTTGAAACTAGATAGTACTTTAACGCTCTAGGATATGAATTTTTGTTTTATGCTGCAGTATGTCATTTTATACTGTAATATGTTGCCTTGCTGATATATCTTCTTTATATATAAAAGGCTAATGTGCAAAGTGTTCCCTTGGGACTGGGAGTTCAATTGCTTGCCATGACATGCACTGACCACCAGTAGGTGGCACGAAATGAAGGGATGCCCTAGTCAGCAGCCTGCAGCTGGGGAAGGGAGGCCCCAGCTGGCAGCTGGAAGGAAGGCCCTGGCCGGCAGCCAGAAGGGCCCGATCAGCCCTGATCGCCGGCCAGGCTTAGGGACCCTACCCATACAGAATTTCATGCACCAGGCCTCTAGTTTATCCATATCTAGTTCTCTAATTTTCTTACATGTACCTCATAATTCTTGCCATGTAGGACGTATAGGTGATACGTAACGAATGTGTAGATCAGTGGTTCTCAACCTGTGGATCGCGACCCCTTTGGCAGTCGAACGACCCTTTCACAGGGGTTGCCTAAGACCATCCTGCATATCAGATATTTCCATTACGATTCATAACCGTAGCAACATTATAGTTATGAAGTAGCAATGAAAATAATTTTATGGTTGGGTCACAACATGACGAACTGTATTTAAAGGACCAGAAGGTTGAGAACCACTGGTGTAGATAGTAGTCCTAAAAAGCTAATAATTATGGGAATTTTCTACAAAGACTCTTAGGAGTACTGTGAAACATAAAGTTTAATTTTACATCATAAATATACAATAAAAATCAAACCAATATGTTGTTCACACATGGGTTTAAACTTTATTTAAGAAAATATATTAATACTTAAAAATATAATTTTCTAGTAATGAAAAATAATTATACAACTCTAAAGATGCAGTAACCATTAAATGTCAACTCTAACTAGATAACTGCTCCAATAATCTATACTAATAAAAGGATAATATGCTAATTAGACAGGGAGACCTTCCAGGAGACCTTCTGGATGTCCTTCTGGACAAAGCCATGGTGGCAGGGCCAAGGCAGAAGCGGTTAGGGGCGATCAGGCTGGCACAGGAGGGTATTTGGGGCAGTCAGGGGAGCAGGGGAGGGCAGTTGGGAGCATGCAGGCTGGCAGTGGGGGGCAGTTGGGGGCTATCAGGCCGACAGGGAGGCAGTTGGAGGCAATCAGGCCAGCAGGGGGGGCATCTGGGGGCGATCAAGCTGGCGGGGGGGCAGGTGGGGGTGATCAGGCTGGCAGGGGGGGCAGTTAGGGGTGATCAGGCCGGAAGGGGGGACAGTTGGAGTCGATCAGGCTGGCAGGCAGAGTGGTTAGGGGCGATCAGGCAGTCAGGCAGGTGAACGGTTAGGAGCCAGTGATCCCACATTATGAGAGGGATGTCCGACTGCTGAGGGGTCCCAGATTGGAGAGTGTGCAGGCCGTGCTGAGGGACCCCCCCCCACCCCGTGCACGAATTTCATGCACTGAGCCACTAGTGAATATACATTAATAATGTACATGTGTATATGTGTATGTAAATGCATATTGTGTGTGTAATATATTTATAAGTATTCATATATAATAAGTGTATTTATATTACACTAATTTGCAATAATTCTAGAGATGATTGTTGCCTTCTAGGTGCAGGAGCTTACAGATCTTCTAAAAGCAAAAAATGAAGAAGATGATCCAATCATGGTAGCTGTTAATGCAAAAGTAGAAGAATGGAAGGTGCCTTTTCCAATTGACATAATGGTTTTTTCATTTGCAGTTTAGATTTCAATTTTTAGTCCTGTTTTCTTTAAAGGCCTTATAACAGTTAATGACATATTTATTAGGCATTTAAAAAAGTATATTAAATGTCCTAGCTAGAAAAACTCCTTTGTCCTGCATAGTCCTCTAGCTTATTTGTTGTTGAATGAGCTCTTCCACATTCAGTGAGTTCAACTTGTAACGAAAATTTTTGATAGAAATCTAAGTCCAAAATATAATGTATTTGTCATCTAAAATAGACAATTCTAAATAGACTTAATTACTTTAACATAAATCATAGTTACCTTAAATATGTTAGATATGTAGTTCCAGGTTACATTTTAGTGTAGCCAATTTTTCTGCCTCTCCTTCCACGTCAGAGTAATTAAGCTTTTGGCATTCAGTGGGAATGGGAGTAAGGAAAGGGATCTTTCAGAATCATCTGTGATGTCTTTTCAAAAATGTCTTCCTCCTCACTGCTCTCCAACCACAGCATATCCCCAGGCTTACCATATCAGAAGTAGGATCCTAACAGTTACATATTTTCAAAAAATCTGAAATGATTCTGAATAAATTATATTTATATTTATAAAAGCCTAAGCAACCCTTATGACCAAATGACCGGAACGACCGGCCAACCAATTGCTATGACCTGCACTGACCACCAGGGGTCAGACGCTCAACACAGGAGCTACCCCCTGGTGATCAGTGCACTCCCACAGCCAATCTCTTGCAGCCCCTCCCCCTGGCCAGCCCCCTGATGGCCCCGATCAGGGGGCGCCATCCGGCCAACCTCCCACAGTCCTGCTCCACCCCGCCCCCCCCCTCCCCCCCCAACCAGCCAACCTCCTGCAGTCCTTCAGGCTGGCCAACCTCCCGGGGTCCCTTCCCCCAGCCAGCCGGCCCCCCACAATAGGCCTCAGTTGCAGGCCCACCTGTGCATGAATTTGTGCACCAGGCTTCTAGGCTATATATATAAAAGCCTAAGCGACTGACTATTCAACCAGTAGCTATGATGCACACTGACCACCAGGTGGCAGACACTCAATGCACAGGCATGGAAACATGGAACAGACTGATGAATCTCAGAGGGGTGGGGGAAGGGGGAAGGGTGGGAAGAGATTAACCAAAGTTCTTAATTGCATACTAGAGGCCTGGTGCATGGATTCGTGCACCAGTGGGGTCCCTCGGCCTGGCCTGCAGGGATCGGGCCAAATCTGTGCACTGGGCCCCCAACATCCCCCGAGGGGTCCCGGATTACGTGAGAGCTCCGGCCAGGCCTAGAGGCCCACCAGTGCACAAATCTGTGTACTGGGCCTCTAGTTTTAATTATAAAAGCCATCACTTTAGTCAATGTTTCTAACAGGGTTCACATAAATCTTACTGATTATTTGGAATTGGTTATCACTTGGGAAGCTCAGATAATCTATATTTTAAACAAAGGCAAATGAGTCCTATAGAATCAATTAGAGGACAATAAACCTGTAAAAGACCAGGGAATAAATATTTTAGACCATTTGGTCTTTGGTATCATTACTCAACTCTGCTATTGTAGCGTGAAAGCAATTGTAGACAGTACATAAATGAATGAGCAAAGTACTAATACATCTTTACAAAAATAGGTAGCAGGCCATATTTGACTTGTGAGGCATAATTTACCAATCCCTAGGGAAAAAAAAGTTGTTTTTACCATATTTAATTTTGGGAGGAGAGATGGTAGCATATGTATTCTTTTGTACTTTGTTTTTCCTTAGTATCTTTTTTTGTTCAGATATTTCTTTTTAAAATCTTTATTGTTAAAAGTATTACATACATCCACTTTTTCCCCATTGACTCTTTCTAGCCCACCCTCTTAGTATCTATCTTTTTGCTTAGTATTTTTTTTTTTAATTAAATCTTTATTGTTCAGATTATTACATTTGTTCCTCTTTTTTTCCCCCCATAACTCCCCTCCTCCCAGTTCCCGCCCCACCCTCCGCCCTCACTCCCCACCCACTGTCCTCATCCATAGGTGCACGATTTTTGTCCAGTCTCTTCCCGCATCTCCCACACCCCTTTCCCCCCCAAGAATAGTCAGTCCATTCCCTTTCTATGTCCCTGATTCTATTATAATCAACAGTTCATTCTGTTCATCAGATTATTTATTCACTTGATTCTTAGATTCACTTGTTGATAGACGCATATTTGTTGTTCATAATTTGTATCTTTACCTTTTTCTTCCTCTTCCTCTTCTTAAAGGATACCTTTCAGCATTTCATATAATCCTGGTTTGGTGGTGATGAACTCCTTTAGCTTTTCCTTATCTGTGAAGCTCTTTATCTGACCTTCAATTCTGAATGATAGCTTTGCTGGATAAAGTAATCTTGGTTGTAGGTTCTTGGTATTCATCACTTTGAATATTTCTTGCCACTCCCTTCTGGCCTGCAAAGTTTCTGTTGAGAAATCAGCTGACAGTCGTATGGGTATTCCCTTGTAGGTAACTGAGTTTCTTTCTCTTGCTGTTTTTAAGATTCTCTCTTTATCTTTTGCTCTTGGCATTTTAATGATGATGTGTCTTGGTGTGGTCCTCTTTGGATTCCTTTTGTTTGGGGTTCTCCGCGCTTCTTGGACCTGTAAGTCCATTTCTTTCACCAGGTGGGGGAAGTTTTCTGTCATTATTTCTTCAAATAGGTTTTCAATATCTTGCTCTCTCTCATCTTCTGGCACCCCTATAATTCTGATGTTGGTACGCTTGAAGCTGTCCCAGAGGCTCCTTACACTATCCTCGCATTTTTGGATTCTTTTTTCATTTTGCTTTTCCGGTTGGGTGTTTTTTGCTTCCTCGCATTTCAAATCATTGACTTGATTCTTGCGCTCCTCTGGTCTGCTGTCGGGAGTCTGTATAATATTCGTTATTTCAGTCCGTGTATGCTTAATTTCTAGTTGGTTCCCCAATATAAGATCGAGGGTCTCATTAGTTTTCTTGTAGATCTCATTAAGTTTATCGGCGGCTTCTAAACAGTTCTTGAGAGACCTTAAAAGTGTGGTTCTGAACTCTATATCTTCCATTGACAATTTTGTCCTGTTTCTTTGTCTCCACATTTTGTTATGCTTCCTTGGTGCACCCCCTAGTGGTCTTTGTGCGCAGTCTTATAGTTAAATCTTGATTGTTGTAGCTAATTCCAGGGAGGGTTTGACCTCCAGGCCAAGTGGCTATGAGAATCAGCTGTGTCAGCAGTGAGAGAACTTCTGTCTTCTAGGGAGGTGCTAATCTAGCGTTTGCCTGAGGCTATCCGGCAAATGCCTCTGTGCAGGGCTTGGGTGGGGCGGGTCGCACAGGATCAACAGGGTGGGCTGGAGAGAGCAGTTATGGCGGCTCTCAGTCCTGTCCCCAGGGGCTCTGCCTCTCTGAGTCCCAGCACCCGCTGCAAAGCTCGGAGAGAAAGCTGCACTCGCTCTGACCGAAGCCAGACAGTCCCGCTTCTCCCGTTTGAGTCTGGGTCGCTAAAGACTCGCCCGGATCTGGAGCTCAGAGTCTGCGACTCCCTCCCGATTGAAAACGCCAACCGCGCCCTCCGCCGCCAGCCCGCTCGCGCACTCTGCACCTCAGAATTTGACTTCAGCACTGCGCCTCCTCTGAGTGTCCGTATGCGTTTCTCTTTCCTCCTAGTTGTAGGACTTCCACTCAGCCGGCGTTCCTGTGGTTCTGGGTGATGTCCCTTCCGTTTTTTGGTTTCACTTTTGAAGTAGTTGTTCAAAGCAGCAAACTCCGGCGTTAACCTATGCCGCCATCTTGGTTCTCCCTGCTTAGTATTTTTAAAAATTTTTATAAATAGATTTTTTAATGTTTTTTTAATTGATTTCAGAAAGAGGAAGGGAGAGGGAGAGAGAAAGAAAAACATTAATGATGAGAGAGAATCATTGATTGGTTGCACGCCCCCCAGCAAGGATCAAGCCCACAACCCAGGCATGTGCCCTGACTGGGAATTGAACTGTGACCTCCTGGTTCATGGGTCTACTCAACCACTGAGCAACACAGGCCAGGCTGCTTTTTAAGAAACATTATATCAGTGCATATAATATTGCATTGTTCTTTTTAATGGCTGTGTAATTTTTCTTAGTGTAATATTTAGGAGGTTTCCATTTTTTTCTGTTGGAAACTATTTTAATGAAATATCTGTGTATATTCATTATTTTGAAAATCTGTATCTATAGAATAAATTGATACAAGTATAATTGTGATACACTTTGCAACTATATTCTTTCAGTTTGTCATTTGTGTTTTGGCTTATGGTATTTTTTTTTTTTTTTTGGCATCCCTGGGGGGGCTTATGGTATTTTTTTGCTATGAAATATTTTTTATGCATTATATAGTTGTATATTTTATGGCTTTTGGCCATTATATTATAATTAGAAAGGATTCTGAATATAAAATTATTTCCTCATATTCTAGTATCTTTTACTTCCATTTTTTACATTTAGATCTTTGAAGTATATGTAATTCATTTTGGTATAAAAAATGAGATATGTATGCACTTAGAGCTAGTGTTGTCCAAACATAATTTATTGAATATTTTATCATTCTCCTACTAAAATATGGTTCCATTTTTTTTACAACAAACTCCTGTTCAATTTGAATTTATTTTAGTACTTCCTTTTTTTATATCGATTGATCTATTTTTAACCATGTACACTTGTTTTAATTATTGTTATGTGTAAATATTTGGAAAAAGCTGTTCTCATTTTTCTATTTTTAGACTCTTCCCTATAAATGTGTTTTTTAATACAAATTTTATATATGTGTGTGTATATACATATATTTTTTTTGGTTAATCCTCACCCAAGAATATTTTTCCATTGATTTTTAGAGATAGTGGAAAGGAGGGGGAGAGACACAGAGAGAGAAACATTGATGTGAGAGAGACACATTGATTAGTTGCTTCCTGCACACGCCCCAACCAGGGCCAGGGATCGAGCCTGCAACGGGGGTATGTGCCCTTGACCAGAATCAAATTCAGACCCTTCAGTCTATGGGCCGATGCTCTATTCACTGAGCCAAACTGGCTAGGCTAGAAATAATTTTAAAAAATATTTGTTATTTTATTGTGTATGTATTCAATTTATAAATGAATTTATAGATTGCTGTTGATATTTGGTCCTACTAGCAAAGAACACAAGATTCTTTTTTTTAAATTGAGGTGTAATTGACATAACATAACATTATTTCAAGTGCACAGTGTAATGATTTCATATTTGAATATATAGGAAAATGATCATCACTGCAATAAATTCAGTTAACATCCATCACTATATAGTTACAGTTTTTTTGTGTGATGAAAACTTTCAAGATCCACTCTCCTAACTATTTTCAAATACGCAATACAATATTAAAAAACAAAGGTTAGCTGCTGTGAAGTAGGTGGCAATGCCTTAATCCTATGCATGTTGTCATGCCCGAGCACCTTTTCCATCCTTGTCATGGGGAGGGCTAACCTCTCCTTTCATACAACACTATAAGATACCTTTCATTCATTCAAGGTATTTTATGCTTCTCAGTGGTACTTTAATGTTTCCTTCATAAAGATTAGTTATACTGCCTGGCTGATGTGGCAGTGGTTGAGTGTCGACCTATGAACTAGGAGATCACTGTCAATTCCCTGTCAGGGCCCATGCCCGGGTTGCAGGCTCAATCCCCAGTGTGGGGCATGCAGAAGGCAGCCAATTAGTGATTCTCTCTCGTCATTAATGCTTCTATCTCCCTCTCCTTCGCCCTTCCTCTCTGAAATCAATAAAATATATATGTAAAAAAAAAGATTAGTTGTACAAAACTTTTTGTAATACATGGAAGTATTTGTAACTTCTTGTTTTAGGAATGGGTTTTGAAAGTCTGAGATTGTTTAGAGAATCAATTTCTAGAATAGCAAAAACCACAGTATGTATTTTTGAATCATTTCCTATTTGAAATTCAAGTTGTACACACAAAAGGAACAATGATTACTCAACTGTTGTTGATACTTTTTCACTTCAAAGAATTGTATTTCCTGTATTTTTTTTAAATCTCCTGATGGTATATATTAGAGTATTTATCATAATTGAGGAATGGTTTGTTCGTTTTTCTCTTACGTAACAGGTCCTTTTTCATTTATTTCCAGTTAATTTTGTCTTCTAAAGATGATGAAATTATTGAATATCAGCAAATGTTACATAACCTAAGGGAGAAACTGAAAAATGCCCAGCTTGATGCTGATAAAAGTAATGTTATGGCTCTACAACAGGTAAAATTTGGTTTATCAATCTGTTTTATTAAAGTAGGCTATGAAACTTTGCACTGTCATTTAATCACCAGTGCCAATTATAGTGGCTTGCACTATTGGATATATAATAAAGTCTCTTGAAGTTTCTTATACCATCCAGTCCCACAAAAAAATTAGAATTAAGTTTTGAGTTGGGAATATAATTATTTTGTGTACTTTTCTGCATTGATATAGATAATATATTCATTGTTTTGATTTTGGAATTATTTAATATGAAACTATTAAAAACTTTAGAAGTTTAAAACATCTTAATACTCTGTTATTAAAGTTTATTATATTGTATTTTAGTGCTAAAATATCCTGTACAATGTGAAATAGGCTAAAAGTGTGGTTATAAGACTGTACTACATAAGGATTTCTAGTTTTAGTACAAATGTATTTGTAGAGAAAGAATTCACACTTTCATTTTCAGTGCTCTATAGTCATAATTCAAAAGAGAAGGAAATTTTGGAAGTATTTGGTGAATAACAATTTCAGGGGACAATGATTTTGAGTTCTGCAAGATTAAAAGCTAAGTTAAGTAAGTGAGGATGCACAGGGCTAAACACAAACATACAAAATGGTAAAAAAGATGGAATTGGGTGGATGATGGGAAAAAGTAACATAAAAGGAACCCTAAGAAACTACAAATATTAGAGTTCTAGAATTCCTGTTTGCTGGAGTGTTAGTCATTAAATCGTCTTTAAGTTATTAGAATGACAGCATTGTACTTAATGTTGTATAGTGCAATTGAGATATATAAGATAGTAAAAGGCATGTTTTGACCCATAAAAAATATATTCTAGTCTTAATAAAAAAAACAAGACCTACCTTTTTATTTTAAGAATTTCTTTTTAAAAATATGTTTTATTGACTTTTAGAGAAAGAGGAAGGGAGAGGGAGAGAAATAGAAACATGGTTAAGCTGCCTATTGCACACATGCCCCTACTGGGGATCGAGCCCTCAACCCGGGCATGTGCCGTGACCTGGAATCAGTCTGGTGACTTCTTGGTTCATGGGTCAATACTCAACCACCGAGCCCATTGGCTGGCAAGACCTACCTTTTTCTTACTTTAAAAATGTATGTTAATATTGATGAAAAGATAATATGTAATATTAAAAAATATTTTATAGGGTATACAAGAACGAGACAGTCATATTAAGATGCTCACTGAGCAAGTAGAACAATATACAAAGGAAATGGAAAAAAATACGTTTATTATTGAAGATTTGAAAAATGAGCTCCAAAGAAACAAAGGTAATTTAATATTTTATAACTATATCATTATTTTATATACCATCACATTTTAAAATATTTTTAAAAAATAAAATCATGTCATGTCAATAGATATATTATTGCTTTTTCTCTATATGAATTTTATTATATTTTCAAAAAATTGTATGGGATATCATTAAGTACTTTACATATCCTCCTAGTGTTTCAATTCGTAAATCATGCAGATGTTTTCTATAATTTTTCTCTAATGAAAATCACATTAACCTTTATTACTAGGTTGGCTGAATGAAAGAAATGAAAATGGTGATATAATTGATTTTTTTTATTTAAAACCCCTTTTAATAATTAATATAAAATGGAAGACAATAAAGTTTTGATCAATGTAGCAGCATTGCACCTAGTTTTCAGGGTAATTTGACTTGTCAACATTTGAATTAATCTTACCCAACTTAATGTCTTATCATATTCTTCCTATCCTGGGTCATACTACCTTGTTTAACACATTAAGCCCTCTGAACATAAGCCTGTAAAACATCAGTGGTCTTCTACTTCCACAGTACTGCATACCATAGATATATCAGAGCACAGTAATGCAAACTATTCACAGTAAGTTTATGATATATCTATCCATATAAAAGCCTAAGTGACCGGTATGACCAGTCGAACGAACGACTGGTCAGTATGATGATGCACTGACCACCACCAGGGGGCAGATGCTCAATGCAGGAGCTGCCCCCTGGAGATCAGTGTGCTTCCACAGCCAAACTCCCACGGCCGGCCAACCTCCCACAGTCCCTCCCCCCTGGCTAGCCGGCCCCGATCAGCCCCGATTGGCCCGATCAGCAGCCAGGTCGAGGGACCCCACCAGTGCACGAATTTGTGCACTGGGCCTCTAGTTTATTATAATCCTGAAGATAAAAGAAATAGGCACAAAGGAGAGTTAATGGGTGAGCCTATGTGTGTGTATGTAACTGTCAGTGATAGAATGGTGATTGTGGTTGGTGGTGTGGTTGGTGTGATATCTGAACAAAAACTTAAAGGGAGTAAGGAAGTGAGCTATGTAAATGTCACCTAAGTAGTGGATATAAGTGCAAAGGTGCTGAAGCAGGAGTGTACCAGGTATATTTGAGGAACAACAAGCTTTTGTGACTGGAGCAGAGTGCCAAGTGGGCAGTAGTTGGTGAAGAGATCAGAAATCAATAGTCAGGAGTCATATCATATGGAGCCTTAAAGTTCATTGTAAAGACTTTGGCTTTTTTTTAAGTGAGAAGGGACACTAAAGAAAGTTTCTGAAGACAGAAGTGATATAATTTGACTTAGGCTGTGTCTGCCATAGAGTATAGGAGGGGGAAGGACAGAATCAGGGAGACCTGCTATAAAACTATTGCAATAATCCTGTATAATAAAAGGCTAATATGCAAATTGTCCCCTCGCCTGGGAGTTCCACCAGGTGGTGGGGCCGGCCAGCCTACTGCCCCGCCCGTGGCCCCTCCCCCTGGCCCGCACCACCCCTGATTGGCCTTGATGGTGATGAAAAGGGTCAACTAGCTTAAGACAAGAAGGGGGGCAGGGTCCAAGAAGGATGCAGGCATTTCTGGCCTGAACAACTAAAACAGCCATAAGTTAGATCTAAAACAGCCCTGACCTAAGGGGTAATAAAACATCTCTGGCTAGGACAACTAAAAGGAAGCCATAGGGTGGTCTAAAATAACTCCAACCGGAACAAATAAAATAACCAAAAAAACAACAACATGAAAATGGGTATCGTGAAAACTTATTACAAGACTAAGGTTCCATGGTGGAAGAGACACAATAAGGAAAAGAATGGTCTTCAGAATACATAATAAATACCTCAGACAAAAAACTACAGCCTATAGGAACTCAGAGACAAAAAGACTCAACAAATTACAAATTACAGATTCAAATTTTGGATTTTTTCCCATGAAAGAGGAAGAAAGCAAGCCTTTCCCATTTGGAGTTTGTATCTGCTTCCAATAAACTTCTACGTTTTTTATTAAAGAAGCGTTTTTGTACACAAATTTATTCAAACTTTGTAGGGCAGAAACTGACAGAAGAAGTCTGCACCCTGAACTCCACGTTTCAGTGAGAACTTGCAGAATTTCTCTGATTGCTTCTGTTTTCTCAGTAAACAGGAAGCAAGGTTTTCAGCTGAAAGTGGGGATAGGGGAATATGTATTAGAAGTTTGAGGAGAGAATAGAAAAGAAATATGAAATGGTCATGTGCAAGAATGAACAGACTAGGAAAATGTAGTGTGATTGTTGAGCAACATCAAGACCCACTTGATATACATATTTCTATATGTGTGTGTATTATGTATGAGAATTATACTTTGACAGTAGTTTAAAGTGCTTTAAAAGGATGACTGATATTATGGGTGTTACATATTCCAGCCAACAGGAGAAAGTGGCAATTGATCTCTGCTGTTGAATAAGGAAGAGGTCTTTTCTAATGACACCTCAGTCAGTCACAGCATTTGACCTCTAAAGCCCACAGATGTGTGTATTGGAGTATACTCTATGTCTTGATCAACTTGTAAATATGACAGCTAATGGTCTTTCCCCTTTCATTGGTTAGGATTAGGTTTAGCTGTCAGAAACATCAGAAAAATAGTAACAAAATCAAGATAGAAATGTATTCCTCATTTGTGCATTGGAATTAGGAAATACCTAAATCAAGACCATTGCACAGGGGTGTTGCCCTCATCTGCCTTATTTGAAATGGAGCTTTAGTGTCACATCCACGTTTCAGACAGCAAGATGAAGGAAGAAGGGGAAAGAGGCAAAGAGCACATACTGAAGTATAGGCAGGTAAATGTAATGGAGGGCCTTGTGGAAGAAAGGGAGAATGGATATTGGGGGCCACTCAGCCTCTGTCACATTCTCCATCTAAGGCTAGGCTATTCACTCCAGAGAACAGGGCTCCTTTTTTTTTAAATATATTTTATTGATTTTTTACAGAGAGGAAGGGAGAGAGATAGAGAGTTAGAAACATCGCTGAGAGAGAAACATTGATCAGCTGCCTCCTGCACACACACTACTGGGAATGTGCCTGCAACCAAGGTACATGCCCTTGACCGGAATTGAACCTGGGACCCTTCAATCCGCAGGCCAGCGCTCTATCCACTGAGCCAAACCGGTTAGGGCAGGGCTCATTTCTTATACAAAAGTGATCTCCCACACTAGTCCAATACCAATACGTAAGTATATACCCAATAAATCAGTAGATGTTTATTATGGATGAGTATAAGAATTATTTGTGTCAATAAATTTTACAATGATGGGAATACTATATTTTGGTCTAGTTAAGATAATAAAGTAGTGATTTTTTTTAGCTATTAGTTAGGTTTAAGTTTAGCTGCAGGTGACAGAAATATCAAATGTAACAATGGTTTAAGCAGGATAGAAATCTCTGTTTTCATGATATAAACAAAATTGAGGCAACTAGTTGAGGGTTAGTGTGATAACTACACAAATCAGATATCAGATAGTCTGTATACTCTGCCTATCTTGACATCTGGTTTCCATCTCCTGTCCTAAGAAGACCGTGTGAGTTCCAGCCTCAATGCATATATTCCAGCTGCCAGGAGGGAGGAAAGAGAAAAGAAAGATTCACTTCTTTCCTTTAAAAGCATTTCTTGACCAGCATCCAGGAACAGAATGAATGGAGACCAGAAGTTGGATGTTTTTGACCAAAAAAAGCAGAATTTCATCCAGCACTTATCCCAGATTGTCAGGGTATTAACTGAGGGTGACATGGGGCACCCAGATACAAGAGATGCTATTGCCTGGCTCAAGGAGGTCCTGGAGTACAATGTAATTGAGGGTAAGTACCAGCAGGATGTGACGGTACTCATAACACTCCAGGACCTGGTGGAACCCAGAAAGCAGGATGCTCATAGTCTCCAGGAGGCATAATTGTGGGCTGGTGTGTGGAACTGCTCCAGGCTTTCTTTCTGGTGTCAGACAACATTATGGATTCATCCCTCACCTGACAGGGGCTAGATCTGCTGGTATCAGAAGCCAGGCATAGGCTTGGATGTCATCCGCCATGCTATGCTTACAGAAGCATGTATCTACCAACAGCTGAAGTTCTGCTGGGAGCAGCCTATTACTCGAACCTAATCAAGCTCTTTCTGTAGAGTTCCTATCAGGCTGAGATTGGACAGAGCCTGGACTTCATCACAGCACTGCAGGGCAACACGGGTATTGGCATATTCACTGAAAAGAGGTACAAATCTGTTGTTAAGTATAAGTTAGCTTTCTACTCTGCCTTCTTGTAGTGGCTGCCATGTATATGGTGGGCATTGAGAAGAGAAGGAACATGCCAATGCCAAGAAGTTCCTGCTGGAGATGGGAGAGCTCTTTCACATTAAGGATGACTACCTTGACCTCTTTGGGGACTCTAGTGTGACACACAATATTGGCATTGACATCCAGGACAACAGATGCAGCTGGCTGCGGTTTAGTGTCTGCGACGGGCCTCTTTGGAACAGCGCCAGATACTGCAGCGGAATTATGGGCAGAAAGAGGCTGAGAAGGTGGCCCAGATGAAGGCACTCTATGAGGAGCTGCAATCTGCAGGCTCTGTTCATGCAGTTACGGCCACTTTGTGGGTCTCATCAAGCAGTGCTCTGCAACCCTGCCCCTAGCCGTCTTCCTGAGGCTCACACACAAGATCTATAAGAGGAAAGAGTGGTCTAGAGACTGCAAAGGCGGGGAGGGGATGCTCTCAATAAGAGACAGTAAATCCTAAAAAAAACCCACCCATTTCTTGAAATGTGCACATGGCTTTTCTGTCTGTATCGCATTAGTTATGTGGTCATATGTCCAGCTAAAATTCCATAGTTTATTACAGTGGACAAAGAGAGGTTAAATATTAGAAAAATGTTAGCAGTTTTCGCATAGTGATCATTCTTTGTATAGCAGTGTTTTGCAATCTTTTACAATCCATAACCCTTCAGCTGAGGTTTTATTGAACTTTGTTTTTTTAGTTTGTTTTATTAATACAACCAAATTAGAGCTTTATTTTATAAATAAGAAATTGTGATATTAAAAGGGCGTTTTTAGTGATATATCACTTTTTCTGCACCTATATTGGAATCAGTGATTTAAAGGAATGAGTAATCAATTCAACTCATTTATGATTTTCACTTGTACCTTGTAGGTGCTTCAACACTTTCTCAACAGACTCATTATATGAAAATGCAATCTAAGGTTCACATTTTAGAACAGAAGACTAAAGAGGCTGAGAGAACAGCTGAACTGGCTGAGGCTGATGCTAAGGAAAAGGATAAGGAACTAATTGAGACTCTGAAGCGATTAAAAGATTATGAATCTGTATGTATTCTTATCTTGTCAATCAAGTTTAGAATTTTTCTTGACACAGTTAAACTGTCCTATGCCATTTACTGCATACCATCTAAACGCATTTCAGAAATATAATAAAGATTATCCTGCCCTGACAGGTTTGGCTCAGTGGATAGAGCATCGGCCTGTGGACTCAGGGGTCCTGGGTTCGATTCTGGTCAAGGGCATGTACCTTGGTTGCAGGCACATCCCCAGTGGGGAGTGTGCAGGAGGCAGCTGATCGATGTTTCTCATCTATGTTTCTGGCTCTCTATCCTTCTCCCTTCCTCTGTGTAGAAAATCAATAAAATATATATTTTTTAAAAAAGATTATCCTAATCAATTTATATTAAAGTGTTCAAACTTTTGAGTAGCATTTACTTTTTGGCAGGAGAATTATTTTCAAACCATTTGCCAGATAATCAGCTTTGGTGAGGCAGCAAGGTTAGGTTCTTTGTAATCTGTGTCAGTATGCCACCATGTAGATGTGACACCTGGTTAGTTTGATAAAAGTTATAACAAGGACTGTTTTATTGCCTACCATGGCAACACAGCCTGACTTTGTACTTTTTTTTAATATTTTTAAATCTGATTACCACTAAGTAAGGCAAGAAATGATTTACTTATTGTAATGGTATTGCCGATTGACCCTTAGTATTTATTTTTTATGTTTTGTGAATCCTTTTAATGTAATATTCTGAGTCACTTTGCCATTAGGGTGCTGTTTTGAGAAGTTTCAACTCTTCCATTTTCTGTCATCATTATTGGACTTTTTTTTAAAAAGCACAATAAAAAACACAGTTTAATGATGCAAACCTTAGGTATATGTGCACTTTCCCACAGACTTAATAAGAAAATAAATTCATGAGTTTAATAATTTATTCCAAATAAATCATGTTATATTTAAATTAGATGGGTATTTTTTAGGGAGTATATGGTTTAGAAGATGCTGTTATTGAAATAAAGAATTGTAAAAACCAAATTAAAATAAGAGATCGAGAGATTGAAGGATTGACAAAGGAAATCAATAAACTTGAGATGAAGATCAATGATTTCCTCGATGAAAATGAGGCACTTAGAGAGCGTGTGGGTGAGTCATCTTTTAAGATATGTATTTTGCTCAATCCTAATTGTCAAGTCATTTTCAGTTTCCTTTTTGATTGTTTATTATTTTTAAATAGTTGTCTTAAAAAAATACATTCTTTTATAAAAATGTTTAAAACAAATAAAAGTGGAGCTACTCTGATTGACGTGGGATTGGGGATTTGGTTGGGCTGGGATGGCGGGGGGCAGGCCTGGAGCACTGCTCTGTGCAGGCCAGGATCTCCTCAGTAGTAACTGCTGGTCTAAAAATGAAAGTCTGCTAAGTTAATACCACATATTAAAAGTGAACCCTTTAATTTTTTTCAATCAGAGTAATGTCTATGTGACCCATGTCAGTTTGTAAGATGCCTTTGTTTCATAAGAATTCTTGAGGACATTTAGAAATACTATATAAACCTTTTTAAGACTTTTAAGTACTTGACTTTTATAATTTAGACTACTTAAGTTTTTCTTCGGTTGAGTATTTTAAGGTTACTATTGATTCTAAGAAGAAATATAGCTTCAGAAGTTATATATTGATTTCAATAAATACCTTATTAGTGAATATTACCAATTTTAATGTTTTGCCATTCCAATCTAAATTGCTACTTTAAAATGAAAATAAAGATCTAAATAATGATTTTATTTTACTTGGTAAATACCAGTTAATGCTTTCTTAGAATTAACGTGATCATCTGTAAAAACTGTTATCTAGAGGAAAGAAAAGTAAATATTTTATACAGACGATTTATCTGTAAAAATGTGTCTGACTAGGACCCAGAGTTGTGCTAGGACCTCAAGTTACACTTCTGATAGATGACTTATCACTTGATTAGCCAGCTTTGATCTGGAAGTTCCTAAAGTTGACTGAGCCATCCAGATAGCTGTCAAAACAGCAGATTTTCTGTACTGTAAAGGCTGCAAAACTTGGTTATAATTATTTGAGACAGTCTTAATGTCTGGTTTTCAGAACATAGCTGCTTAAGTAATAGAAAGTTATGAGACATGCACACTGGAAGCACCAGATTAGTCATGATAATATACGAAAGAGAGTGTATTAGTGAAGCACTGAGACAGAGTGGCTACTCCACAAGCAGAGCAGCCAATATTGTTGATATTAATATTAAATAATGACTACTATGTGCCAGGCACTGCACTAACTCTTTATTTGGGTTGATTTTAATATATCCCTGACAACAAGCCAAAATATATATAGTTATACAGTTTTATCCCTATGACTTAATTATGTTAATTACTACATTTATAGTACCTCACTGACAGCCAAACATAGACAAGATAGATCCTAAATATTTTTTGTCAGGATTTTCATCAATAATTGTGACAAAATTTAAACTTGGAGGGTTATAGTTCAAACATCAGGAAAGTTCTTGCACAAAATATACCCTCTTCTGTAGTGATGCTGACTTAATAAATTATAACGAGTTGCTTGATGATAACTAGCTGCTATATGAACCTTTTGTAGTTCATTTGAATGTTGATAAGGTTTTAATCACATTACTTTCTATTTTAGGCCTTGAACCGAAGACAATGATTGATTTAACTGAATTTAGAAATAGCAAAAGTTTAAAACAGCATCAGTACCGAGCCGAAAACCAGATTCTTTTGAAAGAGGCAAGTGCAGTAGTCAGTTGGTTATTTTTCTTGTTGCGCTAAAGAAAATACTAATCATTTTTACTTTATAGATTGAAAGTTTAGAGGAAGAACGACTTGACCTGAAAAAAAAAATCCGCCAAATGGCTCAAGAAAAAGGAAAAAGAACTGCAACTTCAGGTATACTCAGTTATTTCAAACCTTTAAAAAAATCATTGGAAAATGAATCGTCTGTATCTGAAATTTTCTGTATGTTAAAAATGTCATCTCTATATTACTGTGGTTCTGCTACAAGTTTAGTAAATGAAAATAATGGCCTGATGAAGATTATATAAATGAGTGTCATTGGGTTCAGTCCTAAGTATGGAACTGGTAAACAAATAAACAAAACAAAAACCAACAAAACAAGTGAATAAAAACCAAACTTTCAGCATTGTGAACTTCTGAAAGTTTACAGTGAAGTTTGTATTAATTTGTAGACAATGCCAGTAAGTTGTGATTAGTAATGATAAAACAGTAATTTTTATGTTAATATGTTACTGATGATATTTTTTCTTAAGAGAGTTATGTATTGAAAAATTTTTAGACATTATTTACTGTATAATGTTTTGTTGAATAAAAATTAGCATTTTTTGTTTGTTTATCTTACATGATATAAAGAGAACAGTTGGTTAAGTGTCTTATAGCTGTTGAAGACCACAGAAAAGAAATTTGTTTTTAACTAAGTTCATAAATACCTATGAGTAATATATTTTTTTGTTTTGTATTTTTTTTTTTTTTTTTTAGCATTTTAGTTCCTATAGTACATCAAAAAATTTCTAGAAGGGCAAAACTTCATAATTTATTAGTATATTAACCAGTTTTCTCATTATTCAAGATTTTTGTCTACTTTCTTTTTTTAAATTTTGTTTTATTGCTTAAAGTATTACAAAGAGTTATATGTGTTTTTAACTATATATAGAACGGATAGGAATGATAGAGAGGATACAGTATATATTAGTTTCTCATACTAATATCTTGTTAAAAGTGAATTAAATGAGAAGGTTGTATAGGCTACATGTTTATCAGGGATTTTAGAAATAATTATTCTATCATTTTTGAGTTAAAACTTGATTCTAGTTTTAAAGAGTGAAAGTATTAAAATAATAGGAGAGTTAGTTCTATGTCTAATTTGTTATATTTTTTATATGTAGGCTTAATAGTTGAGGACCTGAACCTAACAGAAAACTTTTCTCAAGAAAATAGAATGGGAGAAAGAAAATTTGATTTCATGAGCCTTGGTAATATGAATGCAGCACATTCAAAGGTAAACAGTATTTGCTATGACAGAGAAAATAAAGAAAATTGTCAGTTCTTTAATTTTTGCTGTATTATCTCATTTTAGACATTGCTATTTTTTTATAGTTGTTAAATTAAAAAATGTTTTCTTACTTAAATAATCTGTTGATTCAAAGGTTGATTAATGAGACATTATTTATTCTGAATACAGATTAGGAGTTCAGATAAAGTAGAGCTGCTGCATAGGAGAGCGTCAATCAGTATTCCAGAATCTTACCAGAAAGAGTCAGAAGAGAACATGACTATAGGATCATTACCAAGAATGTTATCAGAAGTTCATCATAGTGTAGCGAGTGAAGTGGATCCTTTTGTCTCTTTAACTAGACATTCCTCATCTACACAAGTAAATGATAATACACCTCCAGAGTCTATTACAATAAGGGAGATTTTTAAAGCACCATGTCTACAATCGTTAGTCAGTGCCTTTAGTAGGGAGAGTCATGAAGAAATAAACAACTTCCTATACTCTTCTTCTGATGACTCTCTGAAGAAAGTGTCAGAAAGCCATCAAGCACCTGAGAAGACAAGTTTCACACAAGAAAGCAATTTGTCTTTACAAGCCTTATCAACAGCTTCTGACTTAATGTGGAAGTTATCACTTAGGCAAAAATCTGCAATATTTTGTCCACAAATTCATGATAATAAATCTGACATGGATAATTCACGAGTAGCAGCACCAGAAGATGAGCGGGTTCATTCCCAAATAAAATGTGCTGATAGTTTGAAAGAAGATAAAAGAAAAAGTGAAGTACCCTTACAGGCAGAGATTTTGAAAAGTAAACTTGAAGTTAATCTTCCAGATCCTGTGCGTGTTACTGCACAATTAGAATTATCTCAGGTAGATCCAGTTGAAAATGTTACAGAACAGCTATGGAGAGAACTAATATTTCTTAGATCTGAGGTGAGCTTTCCTCCAAATTGCATTCCTGGGATTGCTTTTTTATTAACTCTTTTTTTTTTTAAATTTCTTTTCTAACAAAGTTCTATAAATAGTAATTACAATAAGATTTTTTTAATGTTTGAACATTAGCATTAATTTATGCACATTCTTTTTTTTTAAATCTAAAAATGCAGTACATTTGATATGAACTTATCAACTTGCCTAATTTATTAAATATTTCTTTAGAATGAAATCATAGCACAGGATTTATTGATCAAGGAAGCACAGAGTAGAAATGCAGAAATAGAGCTTGAACGTCATAGAAGCCAGGCAAAACAGGTAGTGTGAATATTAAAACAGTTGATTGTGGTACTAAAGACAAAAACCTTCATTATATCTGTTTGCTTTTTGCCATGGGTATGGGTGGGGAGGGCAGAGAAGGGAGAAGATGGGAAGAGGATCACCGTCTGTTTTATCATTTAGATTTTACTTTTATGACTGCTATTATGTCTCTATAACTTGTATTTGGTGTGTTAAACCTCAACCAAACTTTGTTAAAAGTTCAGAACTAAACTATTGTGATATTTTGTAAAAAAAAATAATTTTATTTATGTTTTGTTCAGTGTGAATTTCTTTCAAGAGAACTAATTGAAAAAGAAAGAGATTTAGAAAGAAGTAAAACAATAATAGCCAAATTTCAGAGTAAATGTAAGTTACTATTATCTCTTATTTTTCTTTACCTATTTATCTTATACTGAAAATCATGGATCTGAAAGGACTTTAATACATTCTGTTTTCTAATCTGTTTTAGTCTTAATTACCTCTATAAGGTATAGACCAGCCGTGGGCAAACTACGGCCCGCGGGCCGGAATCCGGCCCGTTTGAAATGAATAAAACTAAAAAAAAAAAAAAAAGACCGTGCCCTTCTATGTAATGATGTTTACTTTGAATTTATATTAGTTCACACAAACACTCCATCCATGCTTTTGTTCCGGCCCTCGGTCCAGTTTAAGAACCCATTGTGGCCCTCGAGTCAACAAGTTTGCCCACCCCTGGTATAGACGTTAGTTTCTCTCTTTCATCCATTTGGTTTGCTCTGCTGTATTCATAGTCTGAGAATGTTCTTAGTCTGAATATTTTTGTGATTATAAATAACTAATTTTTCTGTTTTATTCTTTCATGAAAGTAAACAAATTTTTAAAAAATTTAATAAAGTGAAGGCAAATATGCTTATGATTTATTTCTTTGAGCTATGAGATATGTATATGTATATAATTTCAATATGTATATCATTTAGCTCAACTATTCACACATTGGATTTATAGTTGAACTTTTTTTGTATATTTATTTGCATTTTACAAATGAGTTATTTTTCCTATACGTGAACTACTTGTCATCGATATAGAATAGTGCAAATGGTGTAAAATTTATTCATTCAATGAGAAACATATGTCATTATAGTAAAAGAATTAGTTGAAGAAAATAAACAACTTGAAGGAGGTATGAGAGAAATATTGCAAGCTATTAAGGAAATGCAGAAAGATCCTGATGTTAATGGAGGAGAAACATCTCTAATAATTCCTAGTCTTGAAAGACTAGTTAATGTAAGTTATGTTTTTATATTAATGGTTTCATTTTGTTGTTTCATCAACTTTAATGATATTGTTCACTGTCTACTAGTCTAGACAGTTTCTGATGACATTTGCTGTCAGCTGAGTCATTGTTGCCTGTATGTAATGTGTATTTTTTTTCTCAGGCTGCTTTCAAAACTTTCTCTTTATATTTGTTTTTTACCAGTTTGACTATAATGTGCCTGTGTGTATGCACACACATTTGTATATATGTATATGTATCTTGTTCGGTGTTTGCTGAGCTTCTTGAATCTGTTTTCTTAATGTTATTCACCATAATTAGGAAGTTTTCTACCACTAATTTCTTTAATTACTTTTTTCTGTATGATTCTCTCTGGAATTCCAGTGAAACACTTTATATTTTTTATAAGAGAGAGTATGTTCTTTAATTTAAAAAAAAATTATTTTAGAGAGGAAAGGAGAAAGAAACAAAGAAACATCGATTGGCTGCCTCCTGAATGTGCCTGGACCAGGGATCGAACCCTCACCTCAGCTTGGGTATATGCCCTGACTAGAAATAGAACCCGTCACTTTTTGGTGTCTGGGACGACATTCCCACCAACTGAGCCACACCATCCAGAGCCCCAGTGAAACATTTTAGACCTTTTGATGTCCAGAGGTCCCTGAAGCTGGTTCATTTTTTTCCTAATTTGTTATTTTTTTCTTCTCCCAGTTGTGTAGTTGCTATTGCTTTTTCTTTAGGTTCACTGATACTTGCCTCTGTCAACTCCATTCTTTTGCCTCAACAGTCAACCTTAGACCTGGCATAGTTTTTACACAGAATTTGAAAATCCCTTTTGCTAGCTTTTTTCTTTCGTGTGGCTTTAGGCTGGCTCTGACCTCTGGTTTTCTAGGCCAGAAAGTAACTGCAGGCTGCCCTCAGAGGAAAGCTTTAAAAATGGCAAATCACTCCTGGCTATTGCCATTTTTAAAGTAACAAGTCCTCTCCAAAATCTGTTTGCTTTTGTTTATTTTCTAGAACCTTTAAGTAATCGTTTTTGTATTTACTTGTTAAATGTGGGAGGGTAGGTCTGTTAGGATCTTATGCCATAAAACTAGAAGTGTAATAGATTGTAGTAAGAATATTTTAAATATATAAAGAATTAAGCATTGCTACAGGAAATATTTTAGCCATCAAGTAATATTCTATTTATATTTACCATATAAGGACTTAAAAAGTTTCACAGTATTAATGATATTAGATAAACTTTAATAAAATATGCATTTTATATTTAGATTTTTACTATGTTGTTTATGTAATCTGACCACATTTATGTTGTTTCCCAAATTTGTGGTTGATTTAAATATTAAAAACACCTCATTATTCATTGAATTGTTTTTTTAATAATGACCAGTCAATAGTTGAATACTTTTTTTAATGACATTATATTATTAGGAGAGAGAGATAGATGATGAAAACTTCCTGAGGCAAGAAAACCATTTGACATAAGTTATGAGAACAATTTGATTCCTTCTATGTGTTACTCATTCTGACTTTTCTTTTGCCTCTGCTATTTTGAATGTCTAAAATGATTCTATCTTTTGTCTATTATGCTGCCCACTACTAGTATTATATCTCAGATCAAACTTTATTCTCCAAGGGAAACTATTTAGTAAATGAATAGACTAGCAAATTTTTACTTCTATTTCAATTCATAGTCCCTGGCCTTCCTACAGCCACCGCTTCCCTAGGTTTTTATCTGCATTTATTCTGGGTTGTCATTCTTTTTTTCTGAAATATATCCCTGTCTAAAACTCACAAATAACCTAATAATACCTCCTTGTAAGAAATCTTCAGAATCTTGAGATCAGATAATTCTGGTTTATGCACTTCAGTTCACTTTCTATTATTACAGGTTTTTGTTTTGTTTTTTTTCAGTGCCCTGAGTCACTATCTAATTTAGTATTATTTTACCAAAAGACCATGTAGACAGGATGGTGCTATTTCTTAGCAACAGAACTAACTAGACTTACTTTGTTGTCTGTCAGAAATCCCCTTCTGCCTATTTCTGTCTTCCTGGTATCCCTTTGAATTAGTATATCTTGTTACTTTACATGTCCTTCTCTGAGCTCTTAGTGTAAAGGCTTCCTTTTATAAATCTGCTGCCCAGAGTTCAACACTAGTTCACCTTCCTGAGTATAAGATTACATTTGGTTTTACTCATCCTACCACTTTGTCTTCAGCCTTCACTTTTGAAGCTTTACTTTGCATTTAACAGGTTTCTTCCATATAGTTCTTTTAAAGTCATAATGTGTGTGTGTGTGTGTGTGTGTGTGTGTGTTTAGATTTTTGATAGTTGGAGAATTAGGACAATGAAGGCGCTTTGATATTCTAATATTTTGACATATTACTTTTGCTTACCTAGCACTCTTGGATAATACTATGTTATCATACTTTGCCTTTGTTACCATGTGTACTGTGGAGAGAAAGCAATGGAAAATTCACTTAATTGGATGTAGTAACTTTCATTTCTTTGCTCATGCTTTAAATTCAGGTGCTCCATAGTTTCAAAGTATTTTCATGTATATCTCATTATGACTGCCAATATTGTGAAGTTGACAGAGCTAATATTATTTACTCTTCTTTAGAGATAAGGAAACTAAAGTATAAAGAATTTAAGTCACTTGCCAAGCTAGTAAGAGATTGGTTAAGATATGAACCCTTGTCATCCTGTTCCTATTCAGTTGATTTACTAGGCTACCAGTCTACTAAGGTTAGCTAGATGTTTGCTAATTTTTATAATAAAGTAGTTACTAAACTTGGTAATACTGTTGTAAGTTAAAATAGTTTTATAAACAAATTCATTAATGAGAAATAGATTTGGCTTATTTTGTTATTATACATGGCAGTGGGAATAGTAAAATGCTTAAATGTGGATTTTATTTAAAAATAGATTTTTAAACTATGATTTTAATGTTTTTTTCACATTTCTGAAATATAACCTAAATCTATTAGGCAATGGAATCAAAGAATGCAGAAGGAATCTTTGATGCCAATCTCCATTTGAAAACCCAAGTTGACCAATTTACTGGGAGGAATGAAGAATTAAGACAGGAGCTCAGGGAAGCTCGGAAGGAGGCTATAAATTATTCTCAGCAGTTGGCAAAAGCAAATTTAAAGGTGAGAATTTTATCAAATAAAAGATAATGTTAAGCACTGAACATAGGTCTAATATGAAACTTTTAATTTTTTAAAAAATGACTACTTTATTAGAAAATGCCCCTTGAATTAATTATTTTATCATTAAGAAAACACCTGTTTGGGTTTTTCTTATAAAATTAAGTGGAAAAATAAGTGTATTATAATATAACAAGGTATTCATATATCTACTTTAAAAAAATATTCAGTTACTGCTTTTAAATTTGTCTTCCTTTTGGTATAAGAGATGTGATTCTCATTCCTGAACTCTTGGTTTCCAGATTGATCATCTTGAAAAAGAAACCAGTCTTTTACGGAAATCAGAAGGATCAAATGTTGTTTTTAAAGGAGTAGACTTACCTGATGGAATAGCACCATCTAGTGCCAATATTATTAATTCTCTGAATGAATATTTAATACATATTTTACAGGTACTGAAATTTTTATATCTGAATAACAATTGATAGTATGTTTTTCAATTTAGTCTTCACATATTTTTTGAGTTCTTAACATATTAACAGAGATATATTTGAATGGATTTTGATGTTAGATGGAATGTTATGGATAAAATTAATTTATTCCATTTATCTGCATGAGAAGCATACTGACACACCTTGTTCACTGGATATTATTTATATAAAATATATGATTGACAGTTGGAATAATATACAGCTGCTCTAACCTAGTAATGTATAAATGAAGTGAGCATTTTTATTTATGTATTTATTTTATTATTTTTTTTATCCTCACCTAAGGATATGTTTTTTAAAAGAGAGGAAGGAAGAGAGAGAGAGAGAGAGAGAGACAGAGAGACAGAGAGACAGAGAGACACAGAGAGAGACATCAATTGGTTGCCTCCTGTATACACCCCAACCTGGGATCAAACACTCAACATAGATATGTGCCCTGACTGGAAAACGAACCCACAATCTTTTGATATATGGGATAATGCTCCAACCAAAAGAGCCATCTGGCCAGGGCTAACATGGGCACTTTTGTTTATTGCTGGTTAGAAAAGCAATTGAAGTGAATAAAGTCTGACACTGCTTTTTAGTATGATGGTTAAAATTACTCCTTTTTTTTAACTGCAAGAAGAAGAAAAATAAATTCTCTTTTATTTATTTTTTTTCATTTACTCTGTAAAGTGTTAGTTAATCCATCAGCAAATTAGATTGTGGACTGCTTGCCCTCTGTTTCTCAGTTTTGCCATCTATATCGTGGTCATTATGAATGGCCTCATGAAGGATGCTTTTCATTATTTCATTTGAAGTGTGATGACCCATAACATTACATACATTACAGTATAATTACAAAAATGAGTTCAAAATAAGTGAGAATATATTTTTTATTATAAGCACTTCTGTTTTCCTTTCCTAGATAATCCATGTCTGAATATACTTGAGTTAAGATGATCAAATTCTTATTTTTATATTTGTAAGTTTCATTAATGAATCTTTTTCTGGATATTGGAATTTATATGTTACCTTAGGGAGCAACAACCTTAACTACTTAGAACATCACTGTATATTTAGTATTATACATTACTTTTAATGTAGGCCCTGGCCAGCAGCCAGCAGTTGGAGAAGGAAGGCCCCGATCAGCCATGATCACTGGCCAGGCCTAGGGACCCTACCTGTGCATGAATTTTGTTCACTGAGCCTCTAGTCTTTATATAAAAAAACATGAGAAGCACTGTGGTAGCATAGAGAGAGACCTCTGATTGGGAATCTGAAAACCTTTTCAAAGTGGTAAAACAGGTAATTGGACTTAAATCCTAAAACAGCATAGAGTGAGGGAAGTAGCAAGGCCTTTGGAGTCAGACAGACATGACCTACAGTGTTGCATGTACATATATTTAAGGTACCTGGCGCCAAACTCAGCATTAATGCTTAGGAAATGGTTGCTAAAGATACTGATAATGAGTTTTAATGTTGAGTAAGTTACTTAATCTTCTAAGTCTCAGTTTCTTCATCTTTGAAAAGAATTAGGATAATTCAAGTGGAGAAACATATATATACATACATATATATACATACATACATATATATGTATATATATGTATATATATACATATATGTATATATATATATACACACACACACACTAGAGGCCCAGTGCACAACAGTTGTGCACTAAGGGGTTGGGGGGTCCTTCAGCCCAGCCTGCGCCCTCTCGCAGTCTGGGACCCCTCGGGGGATGTCCACCTGCCAGCTTACGCCCGCTCACCTGGCTTCTGGCTGAGCGGCACTCTCCCGTGGGAGAACACTGGCTACCAGGGGACAGATCCTGTGTTGAGTGTCTGCCTCCTGATGGTCAATGTGTGTCATAGCAACTGGTCGTTCCACCGTTCAGTTGATTTGCATATTAGGGTTTTATTATATAGAATACTAGAGGCCCAGTGCATGAAATTGTGCACGGGAAGGGTCCCTAGGCCTGGCCAGCGATCTGGGCCAATCGGGCCCCTCTGGCTGTTGGCTGGGACCTTTATTCCGCACTGTCCACTGGTGGTCAGCCCATGTCATAGCGAGCAGTCAAACTCCCAAGGGGACAATTTGCATATTAGCCTTTTATTATATAGGATGTTCATGAAAGGGTATGTGGGACTGAGTGACTAAAGGTAAGTATACAACTACTGCATCTGATAATTTGTGTGGTTACTGTAACTATCATATATGATAAAATTAATTTTACCTGTTTTATAGTACTTCTCTTTTATATATATTGCCTCATTCCATATGCCTTAAACAAAGATATTCAAAATAATCATAGAAATGATCTGTGTTACTTAAGGTGATTTTTCTCCTTTATATAGTTCTCTGTACTCTTGCCAGAATATAAATTTCTACCTTCAGATTTAAAATGTATTCTGATGTTTTTCACATTCTTATTTCTAAACCCATTTTTAGGAACTAGAATATAAAGAAAATAAGTTAAAGGATTTAGAAGATTCTCTTGAAGAGTATAACAGAAAATTTGCAGTAATTCGTCATCAACAAAGCTTATTATATAAAGAATATCTAAGGTATAAGTGTTGGCAACATTTTATAAACGTAATTGCAGCATATTCATGTTAATAATGAACAGAATATAAGAAATTTACATATTTTGTTTACCCTTCCCTCCTGCCTCTCCCACTCCACTTTATCTGTGTCAGTTTAGTATCTGTAAAATTCTGTGATAATAATACCTTTTTCATGGAGTGTTCTGAAACAGGTGAGTTATATGAAAATGGTCAGATATGAGATTTTTGTAAATGTCATGGCACATATGAACATTTTGTGTCAGCTGTTGGCATCATTTTTTATCATCACCATCATCATTCATATTTTCATAGGGGACTAATGTGTTTCTTCTTATCTCTGCCAACCCATTTATATCAATAGAAAAAAAAATTTTAGTAGTAGTTAGAATACTTGATGAAAGGTGATTTAAACTCTAAGGGTGATTATTATCTGATCTAATAAGAAACCCATAGCTAATTATAGGTAGGTCATATTCTTTCCTACTGACGTTATAAAATAGATACAGGAGTACAAGGAAGATAGAACTATTTCGCCCATTGAAGAAGAGGGGCATTTTTTCCACACAACTTTTTATTTTTTGATAAAATTTTTTTCCCAGAGACAATTGCAGACTGTGATTTAGATCTTATTAGCCAGAATTGGGCTAATGAGCTAAGTCTTAAACATGTCAGTGTCAGACAGAATGACAGCATAATTAGTTTATGCCAAGCTGATTGCAGGTGACTTTGGAATATCTCTTGGTTATGCAACAGTGTCTAACACATCTTTTTTATTTTTTAAAATTTATCTTTATTGTTGAAAGTATTGCAGATGTCCCCTTTTCTCCCCCCATTAACTCCCTCCACCCTACACCTACCCCCTCCCCAGGCCTTCCCTGTACTATTATCTGTCCATGAGCTATGCATATATGCATATAAGTTCTTTGGTTAATCTCTTCCCAACCCTCACCCCCTTCCCTCTGAAGTTAGTCAGTCTGTTGCAGGCGTTAATGTCTCTGGGTCTATTTTGTTCAGAAGATTCCACATATAAGTGAGATCACATGATACTTGTTTTTCTCTGGCTGGCTTATTTTGCTTAGCATAGTACTTTCCAGGTTCTTCCATGCTGTCTCAAAGGGAAAGAGAGCCTTCTTTTTTACAGATGCATATTGTTCCATGCTGTAAATGTACCATAGCATTTTTATCCTTTCATCTACTGATGGGCACTTGGGCTGTTTCCAGAGCGAGCTATCTATCTATCTATCTATCTATCTATCTATCTATCTAAAATAGAGAAATATGCTAATTAACTGGGACGCCATAACGTATCGACTGGACAGGAGAAGGCTGTGCATGCAGCATCAGGGGTGGGGTGGCAGGGGCCTGCACTGGAGGAGGGTCTGGTCTGCAGCCGCTGAGGCTGCTTCAAGGGCTGGAGAGAGAGGCGGGGTTGGACCCGCAGTGGCTGCGGCTGCTGTGGGGCCCGGGGAGCCAGGCAGGGCCAGACTGGCAACTCCAGGGTGGGTGGCGCAGCCGACCCGCCCCGAGGCGGGTTCGGCTGTGCAGCTTGACAGCAGACAGTAGGGCCTGCTTGGCTGTAGCCGCAGTGACCCACGAGCAGGCAAGTGTGGCCCAGAGGCAGCGCTCAGCAGGGCCTGCTTGGCCGTTGCCATGGCGATGTGCAGGCAGGCAAGCATGGCATACAGGCAGCACCCAGCAGGGCCTGCTTGCCTATCGCCGTGGTGTGGAGCAGGCAAGCCCTGCAGAGAGCAGAGAACCACGGGGAGTGGGCCTAAGCCATCAGTAGGACATCCCCTGAGGGCTCCCGGATTGGAGAGGGTGCGGGTTGAGCTGAGGGACCACCCCCCGCCTGCATGAATTTCGTGCAGTGGGCCTCTAGTTGTAAATAATACTGCTATGAACATAGGGGTGCATGCATTCTTTCTGATTGGTGTTTCTGGCTTCTTAGGATGGATTCCTAGACGTGGAATTATTGGGTCAAATGGCAGTTCCATTTTTAATTTTTTGAGGAAACTCCATACTGTTTTCAATAGTGGTTGTACCAGTTTGCATTCCCACCAGCAGTGTACTAGGGTTCCTTTTTTTCCACATCCTCGCCAGCACTTGTGTTAATGTGTTGATGATAGTCATTCTGGCAGGTGTAAGATGGTACCTCATTATCATTTTAATGTGCATCTCTCTACTAATTAGTGACGTTGGACATTTTTCATATGTCTCTTTGCCATTTATATGTCCTCTTTAGAGAAGTGTCTATTCTCAGGTCCTCTGCTTATTTTTTAATTGGGTTGTTTGTCTTCCTTTTTTGAGTTGTATGAGTACTTTATAAATTTTGGAAATTAACCCCTTATCAGATATATCATTGGAAAATATGTTCTCCCATACAGTGGGTTCCGTTTTTATTTTGATGCTTGTTTCTTTTGCTGTGCAGAAGCTTTTTAGTTTGATGTAGTCCCATTTGTTTATTTTTTCCTTTGTTTCTTTTGCCCTACTCATTGTATCAGTGAAAATTCTGCTATTTGAGATGTTTGTTATTTTGCTGCTTATATTTTCTTCTAGAATTTTTATGGTTTCATGATTTACATTTAAGTATTTTATCCAATTTGAATTTATTATTGTGTATGGTGTAAGTTGGTGGTCTAGTTTAAATTTTTTTGCATGTATCTGTCCAGTTTTTCCAACACCATTTATTGAAAGATACTGTCTTTACTCCATTTTATGCTCTTGCCTCCTTTGTCAAATATTAACTGAGCATAATGGCTTGGGTCAATTTCTGGGATCTCTGTTCTGTTCCATTGATCTATATGCCTTTTCTTACTCCAGTACCAGGCTGTTTTGATTACAGTGGCTTTTTAGTATAATGTGATATCTGGTATTGTGATCCCTTCAACTTTGTTCCTCTTTCTCAAGATTGCTGTGGCTATTTTTTCTTTCCATATGAATATTTGGAGTATTTGTTCTAGATCTGTGAAATATGTCATTGGTATTTTGATAGGAATTTCATTGGATCTATAGATTGCTTTGGGAAGTATGGACATTTTAATGATACTAATTCTACCAGTCCATGAACACAGTATATTCTTCCACTTGTTTATGTCTTCTTCCATTTTTTTAAACAATCTATAGTTTTCTTACTAGAGGTGTTTTACCTCCTAGTTAAGTTTATTACTAAGTATCTTAATTTTTTTTTTTTACAATGGTAAATGGGATTTTTTTTTAGTTTCTGTTTCTGAAAGTTCATTATTGATGTATAAAAATGCCATCGATTTCTGGATGTTAAATTTGTATCTGCTACATTACCGAATTCATTTATTAAATCTAGAAATTTTTGATGGAGTTTCTAAGGTTTTCTATGTGTAATATCATGTCATCTATGAATAATGACAGTTTTACACCACCTTTCCAGTTTGGATGTCTTTTTTTTTTTTTCTTTTCTTTTCTGATTAGTGTGTGTAGGACTTTCGGTACGATGTCGAATAAAAGTGGTAAAAGTGGACATCTCTGTCTTGTTCCTATTCTTAGGGGAAATGGTTTTAGTTTTTGTCCATTGAGTATGATGTTGGCTGTAGGTTTGTCATCTATGACCTTTATTATGTTGAGGTATGATCCCTCTATTCTTACTTTGTTGAGAGTTTTTATCACCAACTAGAGGCCCAGTTCACGAAATTCATGCACTGGTGTGGTCCCTAGGCCTGGCTGGCAATTGAAGTGGGAGCGTGTGATATGGAAGGGCAGGTCCCAGCTGACCTTTGGGTCCTGGGCAGCACCTGGGCCCTACTCCCCCCCCCCCCCCCCCCCGCCACCACCACTGGTCGCTGTCTGTAGGGCTATTGGCAGGGCGCTCGGTCACCTGCTCCACCATCCCACCATGGTCCTGCTCTCATTGGGGCCCATTGAGGCCAGCAGAGTATCCACTGCCACCTGCTGCCAGCTCCACATTGCCGATGCCCACCATGTTCCATGCCGCTCCTTGGTGGTCAGCACATGTCATAGCAAGCAAACTCCCAGTTGAGGGAACAGTTTGCATATTAGGCTTTCATTATATTGAATGGGTGTTGGATTTTGTCAAATGCATTTTCTGGGTCTATTGATGTGATGATGTGATTTTTGTCTTTCAATTTGTTTATGTAATGTATCTCATTTATTGATTTGAGAATATTGTACCAGCCTTACATCCCTGAAATAAATTCCACTTGATCATGGTGTATGATCTTTTTAATATATTGCTGAATCTGATTTGGTAATATTTTTTTGAGGATTTTAGTATCTGTGTTCATCAGGGATATTGGCCTGTAATTCTTTTTCTTTGTAGTGTCTTTAGTTTTAGATTTAGGATAATGCTTGCCTCATGGAAAGTGCTTGAAAGTATTCCTTCCTCTTGGATTTTTGGACTAGTTTGAGGAGCGTATGTATTAATTCTTATTTAATTATTTGGTAGAACTTCCTGTTGAAGCTATCTGTACCAGGGCTTTTGTTTGCTGGGAGGTTTTTTTTTTTTTTCCTCATTATTGCTTCAATTTCATGGTTGTTATCACTCTATTCAAATTTCATGATGCTTGATTAAACTTTGGAAGATTATAGTTTTCGAGGAATTTTTTCATTTTGTCCAAGTTTCTAACTTATTGGCAAACAGATGTTTAGTATTTTCTTACAATCCTTTGTATTTCTGTGGTGTCAGTTGTTACATCACCTCTTTCATTTCTGATTCTATTTATTTGGGTCCTCTCTCATTGTTTCTTGATGATTCTGGCTAAAGGTTCATCAATCTTGTTTATTTTTTAAAGAACCAGCTCTTGGTTTCATTGATCTTTAGTATTGTTTTTTAGTCTTTGTCATTTATTTCCCTTCTGATCTTTATTATTTTCTTCCTTCTACTTACTCTGGGCTTTTCTTGTTGTTCTTTTTCTAATTCTTTAAGTTGTGGGATTAGATTGTTTATTGGAAATTTTCCTTATTTCTTGAGATAGGCCTGTAGTGCTATGAACTTTGCTATCTGTACTGCTTTTGCTGTGGCCCATAGATTTTGGATTGTTGGGTGTTCATTTTCATTTGTTTCCAGGAAGTTTTTTATTTCTTCTTTGATCTCATTGGTAACCCATTCATTCTTTAATAACATACCATTTAACCTCCATGTGTTTGACTTTTTTTGGATGCTTTTATTGCAGGTGATTTTTAGTGTAGGCCATTGTGATCTGAGAAGATGCTTGATATGATTCAATCTTCTTGAACTTGTAGAGACTTAGTATGGTCCTAACATGTGGTCTGTCTTTGAGAATGCCCCATGTGCACTTGAGAAGAATGTATGTTTTCTAACTTTGGGTAAAAATGTTCTGTAAATGCCAATTGAATTCATTTAATCTAGTATGTTGTTTAGGGTCACTGTTTCCTTGTTGGTTTTTTGTCTAGAAGATATATCCAATGATCTAGTGGTTTATTAAAGTCCCCTACTATAATTGTATTCTTGTCGATCTCTCACCTAAAATCCTCCAGAAATTTTTTTTATATATTTGGGTGCTCCTGTATTGGGTGCATATATGTTTATCAGGGTTATGTCATCTTTTTGGATCCATCTCTTTAGTATTATGAAGTAGCCTTCATTGTCTCTTACTATGGCATTTTTTGAAGTCTATTTTGTCAGATCTGAATATTGTTACCCCTGCGTGTTTCATTTCCATTTGCATGGACAATTTTTTTTCTATTTTTCACTTTTCATCCTGTGTGAGTCTTTTGTTCCAAAGTTGGTCTATATAGACAGCATATAAATGGGTCATGTTTTCTTATCCATTCAGCTACCCTATGTCTTTTTTAAAATAATTTTATTGATTTCAGAAAGGGAGAGAGAGATAGAAACATCAATGATGAGAGAGAATCATTGATCAGGAGCCTTCTGCACGCCCCCTCCTGGGATTGAGCCCACAACCTGGATATTGCCCTTAACTGTAATTGAACCAGGGCGCCTTCAGTCTGCAGGCCGACACTCTATCCACTGAGCCAAACCGGCTAGGGCTACTCTGTGTTTTTTGATTGGAGCATTTAAGTCATTTACATTTAAGGTTATTATTGATAGGTACCTATTTGTTGCCATTTTTATTCTTTATGCCTGTGACACATCTTTTTTTTTATTGTTTAACATTGTACATATGTCTTCTTTTTCCCGATTGACCCCCCAGCCACTCCCACCCCCGAGGGTAAGCCCCAACTACCCCAGTGTCTGTGTCCATTGGTTATGCAAATATGCATGCATACAAGTCCTTTGGTTGATCTCTAACTCCCCCCCCACCCCCCCGCCATTTGTCTCTGGCTCTATTTTTGTTCATCAGTTTATGTTGATCATTATATCCCACATATGAGTGAGATTATGTGATATTTATCTTTCTCTGACTGGCTTATTTTGCTTAGCATAATGCTCTCCAATTCCATCCATGCTGTTGCAAATGGTAAAAGTTCCTTCTTTTCTATAGCGGCATACTATTCCATTGTGTAGATATACCAAAAGTTTCTTAATTTACTCATTTGCTGATGGGCACTTAGGTTGTTTCTAAATCTTAGCTATTGTAAAATGTGCTGCTGTGAACATAGGGGTGCATATATTCTTTCTGATTGGTGTTTCTGGTTTCTTGGGATATAGTCCTAGAAATGAGATTACTGGGTCAAATGGGAGTTTCATTTTTAATTTTTTGAGGAAACTCCATACTGTCTTCTTTTACGTCCTATGATTTCTAATTTGATTTATATTCTAAATATTTTGCAAATATTTAACACTCAAGTTTAAGAGTAGGGTCAGAATATTGAGACTTGATTTCCAGAATTAGTTTGAGGGATTGTCTATTTTCCTAATGATTTTCTATTTTTAATAAAATGTTTATAAGATTCAGCAGCAGTTGTTATATTGGTACAATTGTAGGGTGATGATTCATGGTATAATGAAAATTATTGATAAAATAATTTTTTTGCCTTTCATTTACTACATAAAAATGTCACTTTCAGGCTAAATCTTTTTTTGAAGAGAATTTTGATATTCTTATTAGGTACTGAGTAGCTACAGTGACTCTTTAAAAATACATTTTAATTGATTTCATAGAGAGGAAGGGAGAGAAAAATAGAAACACTAATTATGAGAGTGAATCATTGATTGGATGCCTCCTGGACGTCCTCTACTAGGGATCGAGCCTGCAACCCACGCACGTGCCCTGATGGAATCGAACTGTGACATGGTTTATAGGCGACGCACAACCACTGAGACTAGGGACTCTTGTTTTATGAGACATTTTCTCTTCCTGCGGTAAATATTTTATTAGGTTTAGCATATTGTCACTTTTATTTTTATTTTTTTAGTGAAAAGGAGACCTGGAAAACAGAATCTGAAACAATGAAAGAAGAAAAGAAAAAACTTGATAGTCAAATTCAACAAGATGCTATAAAAGTAAAAGAATATAATGTAAGTAAAACATTTTTGAAGTCAATGTACGATATTGTAGCCTGGCCTGAGTTGCTCAGTGGTTGAGTGTCTACCCATGAACCCGGAGGTCACAGTTCAATTCCAGGTCAGTGCACATGCGGGCTCGATCCTCTGTAGGTAGTGTCCAGAAGGCAGCAGATCAATGATTCTTTCACATGAGGGAATATATATGATAGTGTGTAAACTAAGATAGCTAAAATTAACAAGTAATGTAAACATGTCTTTGTGCAGAACTTGCTCAGTACTCTTCAGATGGATTCAGATGAAATGAAAAGAACACTTTCCGATTATAGTAGAAAAATCACTGTCTTGCAAGTCAATGAAAAGTCACTCATAAGACAGTATACTACTTTAATAGAAATGGAGCACCAACTTAGAAAAGAAAATGACAAACAGAAGAATGAATTGATATCAATGGAAGCTGAAGTTGGTGAAAAAATCGGACGTTTACAACGATTTAAGGTATATCTGAATATCTTTGAAAATTTTCAAACATGAAGAAGAAAGGATAGTATAATGAACACCTAATATCTGGATTAATAGCTAACGTTTATTACCACTGTGCCATAATTGCTTCTATTTTTTGTAGGAGTATTTAAATTACAGACATTGTTCTCCTAAGTATTTTAGCACGCATCTCTAAAATCAAAACTTTTTTGACATAACCACTATAACTTTATTACACCTATTAAAATTGATAAGAATTTCTTTTTTTTTTTTTAATATATTTTATTGATTTTTCACAGAGAGGAAGGGAGAGAGATAGAAAGTTAGAAACATCGATCAGCTGCCTCCTGCACATCTCCCACTGGGGATGTGCCCGCAATCCAGGTACATGCCCTTGACCGGAATCGAACCTGGGACCCTTCAGTCCACAGGCCGACGCTCTATCCACTGAGCCAAACCGGTTTCGGCGATAAGAATTTCTTATATCATCTAATGTCCAGACAATATTTGTATTTACTTAGTTGTCCTAGGATTCAGTTAAGGACCTTGCATTTTTTTTAAATGTTACATGTCTTTTTAATATAGAATCCCATAGTTTTTTTCTCTCTGAAAAATGTTGATGATTTATTCTATCTAATAAAGAGAGAACATGCTAATTGAACCTCACACCATTGCAAAGATGGTGGCGCCCACAGCCAATAAGGAGTAAATATGCTAATTGACTGTCCCACCCTCAAAGAGGGCGGCGCCCACAGCCAATAAGGAGGGAATATGCTCATTGACTGCCGTGCCCTCAAAGATGGCGGCGCCCACAACCACAAGATGGTGGCACCCAGTCCCCTCAGCCCTGCTGGGGTGGCAGGCGCGCACCAAGGCTAGGCCTGCCCCCAGGCGGGCCTGGCTGCTCTGCTGCCTGCCTCCAAAGTCCCCCAGTCCCCTCAGCCCCCCAGCCACCCAGGGCTGGCCTGAGGCACAGGTAACCAGGGCCGGCCGAGACTTGCACTGCCGGCAGGGGCAGCAGCAGAGGTGTGATGGGGCATCACCTTCCCCTGAGCCCCGGGTCTCCTCCCGCCCCTGAGGGCTCCCAGACTGTGAGAGGGTGCAGGCCGGGCTGAGGGACCCCCCCCCCTTCCAGTGCATGACTTTTCATGCACCAGGCCTCTAGTATGATAATAGTTATTTTCTTTTTTTGCATAATTCTACTTGTTTCTCTATCCATTGCATTTGCTAAAGTTACCCTGAAAGCCTTGGTTATATGCAGGTTAAATATTTTTGACAAAAATACTTTATAAGTAATGTTTTTTGCTTTATAAGTGCCCAGAGGCCTGGTGCACAAAAATTTGAGCACTTGGCGGGGGGCGGGGGGGCGGTCCCCTTAGCCCGGCCTGTGTCCTCTTGCAGTCTGGGACCGCTCGGGGGATGTCCAACTGCTGGCTTAGGCCCGCTTCCCGGGGGATCGGGCCTAAGCCGGCAGTCAGACATACCCTCTGACTGCCAGCCTGGGAGCCCTTGGGGGATGTCCACTTGCCAGTGGGGAGCAGACCTAAGCTGGAGAGGGTACAGAATTTTGTGCACTGGGCCTCTAGTTTAATATATATTGAAGCTCATTTGTTTTTAATTTCAGGGATTGCTTTTTTCCTTTTTTTTTTAGTTGAATTTGAATTTAGATGTATTTGCATATTCAAAAAAAGTCAGAGAAATCTTCTTACCCTGTACCTTTTACCCCCTATATGTAACTGATTATCCTTCTAATGTTTCAGTTTGCAAATGTTAACAAAGACACAAAATGTTACCTGCTTATATGTACTCCTCTGCACCTTGTTCTAAATCTGATCTTATTATATAGCTTCTTTAAAAAATATATTTTTATTGATTTCAGAGAGGAAGAGAAAGGGAGAGAGAGATAGAAACATCAATGATGAGAGAGAATCATTGAGCGGCTGCCTCCTGCACATCCCCCATTGGGGATCGAGCCCACAACCTGGGTGTGTGCCCTTCACTGAAATCAAACCTGGGACCCTTCAGTCCACAGGCCGATGGTCTATCCACTGAGCCAAACAAGCTAGGGCAATGTAGCTTATTTTAAGCATGTGTATGCTCAGTTGACATGTCTAAATTTACATAGCATCATATAAACAGAAGAATTTAAAGTAAAATTAAAATGAATTTGAGTTCCTTATCATCCCCTTTTAAATATAGTAATGGGTGAAATTACTATGCTAAGAACCCTATTTTCAATGTAATCTTAAAGCTGAATCATGATGCAACAAAAAACCTGTTGAAAATAAAAGCTATTTTTACTTGGACATATTATAAGAAAATATTAGCACTTAAATATTCTTGTTTTTATTTGTGCATTAGATTTTGTAGAATATACTTTTCTTGAGGTATTACAAATACAGCTGGTGTATAAGATAGAAGGGATAAAAGAACTAGAATTTTATTCCTCTTCAACCTGATTGTTCAACCTGGATTTTTTTTTCCAACAATTAAAAAAACAAAATAAAACAAAACAAAAAAGGGACTTTAAAAGGGATCAGAAGAATAACTTCCCTCACCCTCCACAAAGAAAAAGTGAAAACAAATCTCAAGGGTATTGTAGAATAGTGTATACTTATTTACATGGAGAAGAAAGGTTGTCAAAATAAGATCTGAAGCACCGTTACAAATATTTGATTTCCTTACTACTCAACTTCAGAATGAATTATAACTATAAATTCTTTATCTTTTTCACTTCATAAAATTGGTTGTTCTTTGCCCTACTTCTTTATCAACTTACTTTGAAGAAAGCTGAAAGTTTAGATATTTTTTTTTGATGTTAAATTATGTATTTGAATAGTGACTTTTTTAGCTGTGTAATGAGTAGAACATGAGCCAAGTAACTTAAAAATTTTAATACTATTTATTATAGATAGATATGATAAAGATAACTCTTTTCTCTTAATTAATGTTTCCTTTCTGTGAACAAAAAAATATTTTATTACAGTTAGTCTTTGTAACTATGATAACCAGAAATAGCTAAGCTGTAAAGGTTACTTGTGGCAATGCTAATTTTGCCATCCAGTTATCAAAAGAGAAGTTATTTTTTTAATTTTATGAAATTTAGAGAAGCCAGCGAAAGATAGTCTAAATTATGTATTTTCCTGCTGCTTCTTTTATTTTGCTCAAATTAGCTGAATTTTATTTTATTATGATAAGAGTTATTAAAGGATTCACTTTATTTTTATTATGATTAAAAATTCCAAATAAGATTTGTTATATGAAAGAAAATTAATTATTATTGCAATATTTTTCTTATATGAGAAATCTATTCTTTTTCTTTTTTGAGAAATCTTATTTTTAAAATTATTCTCAAAGCCTCTTTTGTTTTTGATTGTATTATGTTATCTTTCTCAAAAGTGGCTAGTGCCTCACCAGAAGAAACAGTACAGTAATTTAACTGATTATATCCTTATTTACATAGGAGATGGCCATTTTCAAGATTGCTGCTCTCCAAAAAGTTATGGATAATAGTGTTTCTCTGTCTGAACTAGAATTGGCCAATAAACAATACAATGAATTGACTGCTAAGTACAGGGACATCTTGCAAAAAGATAATGTGCTTGTTCAAAGAACAAACAACTTGGAACACCTAGAGGTAAGTTTGTGTGATCTGAGAACCCTGTGGTATCAGCCATTTTTCTTTGGCCATATGCATCTGTAAGTGCAGAATGCCTTCCGGTCATCCGGGTCATCCTCCGTAGCCAACTTGCTTGATATTGCTGAATCAAACCTCTTTCCATCAGGAAATTAAGAAAGAAATAGGAACATGGAACAGATAGAATATTATAATCAAAAGAAGCAGCAGCATTAAGTACCCATCCCTTTTTCTTACCTTTGCTCCTGGAACAAATTATTCTCTCATGGCCCCTGGCTTTTCTGTTTCTTGTGGTGGTTGTAACTGAGAGTGGGTGAGATATTAATGGCTCTTCCCCAGCCATGGATGAGCTTGGCAAATTCCCATTCTTTCTTATGGTAGAGATACAGAAGAGCAGGATGAAGTAGCATACGTTTAAATCTGTTAGTGAATATGGCCCAGAGCCTTTGTGTGGCCACTTAACTCTTCTAGCCACTTAACCTCCATACCCTTTATGGTAGGCAAATTAAGCTTCTGATTTGTTCATCTTCCTTATCAGAAACTAGAGGCCCATTGCATGAAATTTTGTGCACTGTGGGGGAGAGGGGATTCCCTTAGCCCGGCCTGCACCCTCTTGCAGTCCAGGACCCCTTGCTCCTTACTGCCTGCCTGCAGCAGAGGCGGGAGAGGCTCCCACCACCGCCGCTGTGCTCATCAGTCATGAGCCCAGCTTTTGCCTACACAGTGCTCCCCCTGTGGGAGTGCACTGACTACCAGGAGGCAGCTCTTACGTTGAGCCCCTGCCCCCTGGTGGTCAGTGCGTGTCATAGCGACCAGTCCTTCCACCATTCGGTCAATTTGCCTATGAGGGTTTTATTATATAGGATACGATTATATGCCTTTTGGCTTACTATTTATTCTCTTTTATGATCCTCTAATGGGGTGGAATGACAGAGAATTCTATTGACTCAAAAGCCTTTATTTGCTTAGGGGAACACAGTCAATAAAACAAAGCATTATTAGGCAAAAAAAAAAAACACAAAACAAAAACAAACAAACAAAAAAAACAAAGCATTATTACCAATAGCTTTCAATGACTCCTACAAAATTAACATGATTTATTAATACTAACTAGAAATAATGTTAGTTTAATTTTGTTTTTTGCCAAGGAGAGATAATTATGTTACTTTTTATGAAAATTGTGATTATTTAGCTGTAAAAGTAATTCATTTATTTTTATTAACCTTCACTCGGATATTTTTTTCATTAATTTTGAGAGAGAGAGAGAGAGAGAGAGAGAGAGAGAGAAACATTGATGTGAGAGACACATTGATTGGGTGCCTCCCACATGTGCCTACAAGGCCAGGGATCAAACCTGCAACCCAGGTATGTACCCTTGACCAGGAATCCAACCAAGATCTCTTTGATGCATAGGCCCATACTCTAACCATTGAGCAACTGGCCACGGCTTTTTTTTTTTTTTTTCATGTCCTCTGTCCTCTTTGTCATTAGAAAATTAGGTAAGCAGTCTTCTGTAGATAACATATCAATGAGAAATTTTAACTTTATTTTATCTATTTTTTAAAAAATATATTTTCATTGATTTTAGGGAGGGAGAGAAACATTAATGATGAGAATCATTGATCAGCTGCCTCCTGCATGCCTTCTATTAGGGATTGAGCCCACAACTTGGCATGTGCCCTTGACTGGAATCGAACCTGGGACCCTTCAATGTGCAAATCCACTGAACCTTTCTCAAAATTAAAAAAAAAAATTATATTTGTATTATATCCTTTTCCTCATATTTCAGTTATAATTCTGAACATATATTTATCTTTATTGGTGATGTCTTTTTTTCTTTATTATCTTTATTGTGGTAGTCATTACTCATATCCCTGTCTCCAGTGTTACATCCTTCCTTCTGTCACTAGAATGATAATTCTCAACATGAATCTATGTCACTCCCTTGCTTAAAACCTTTCAAAAGCTGCCATTCACATAAAGAATAAAAGTCAACCTCCTTTTGTGATTAGCCTTCATTTAATTCTCTTCATCTCCTATAACACTCTAAGGCAGTGGTTCTCAACCTGTGGGTCGTGACCCCTTTGGCGGTTGAACGACCCTTTCACAGGGGTCGCCTAAGACCATCCTGCATATCAGATATTTACATTACAATTCATAACAGTAGCAACATTACAGTTATGAAATAGCAACGAAAATAATTTTATGGTTGGGTCGCAACATGAGGAACTGTATTTAAAGGGCCAGAAGGTTGAAAACCACTGCTCTAAGGAGTTTCATTATGTATGTTTTAGAAACTGAACTACCAGTTTTTTGTAACACGGTGTTTTTTCTTACATATATTCTTTTGTATATGCTCTTACCTTTATCTAGAAACCCCTTCCCCTCTCCCAGTTCATCTGCTCAGTGTATTTCTATTCATGTTTCAAAACTTTGTTCAGACTCCTTTTCTCTGAAGTATTCTTCATAGAACAAATTCCTTCCCCCTGTCTATATTAGTTCTATATCTTGTACCTAGTTCTGCTGTTTATCACTCATATTATATGTATTTCTATGCCTGCCTCCCTCTTGGAATAGTAGCCTCTTAATATCAGAATCTCTGCTTAATTCATGTGTGTATTTAGTATTTCGTATTTGGCACAGAGTTAGAGCTAGTAAATGTTGACCTCAGACGGTAATTAATAGTATAGAGCCATGGTGCAAAGATCATCATATATGGTGACTAGGAAATCACCTTTGCCTTTTAAAGGTAAAGATACATGAAAGTAAAGGTAATTAAAATTGAATTTCCAAATTTTAAACAAAAGGGTAGGTGATTAGAAAGTACAAAAACTGAATTATGCAATAGAAGAATTGGAAATCTGATAATAGAAGAGAAATAAATATATATTGAATTAGAATCAAGAGGAGGATTAGTTTTATCAATTTTTTTTTTTTTAGTGAGACCAGTGAAGTTTGAAGGGAGAGGGAAAGAAACTTTAGAGCCAGTAAGGAGAGAATGATTAATGACCAGATTAGAGATTGGAATGGTAATAAGTGAAGCTGCAATACCAGGGTGGGGGTGAAAATGGGCTCTGGAGCAAGACCAGAGTTTTACTTTGAAAGAGTATGGAAATAAAAGGGTAGAATTTAAAATACCCTAAGCCCTTGTTTGTTTTTCCCCTATGTATTTACAGTATCTAGAATAGGGTTTTAATTGTGCATGTTACCAAAAGGCAAGTTTATTCTTTTATCTTGCTTTTCTTTTTATCATAACATCCCCTTTTTAAAAAACTCTCATTATTCTACTTTAATGTTCTTCATAAATCTTTTGACCTGACATCTATAATAACTAAAGCATAATATGCTAATTAGACTGGACAGGCAAATGACCTTCCAGACGTCCTTCTGGACAAAGCCGGGGCTGCGAGGGCGAGCCCCTTGCACGAATTTCGTGCATCGGGCCTCTAGTTGTGTTATATGTTAGCTTATTGCCCAACTGCTTCACTGAAATGCAAATTCTAGGATGGGATTTGTTTACCATTGATGTCTAGTGTGTAAAATACCTGGCATATAGTAGGCATTTTATCCATTAAAAGAAAGAATAAATGAGCTTAAAATAGACTACGAGCCAACTTCTACTTTTATGTCCCCAGCCTGACTTCAAAGCTGTCTTCTACTGTGTGAAATTACCACTTTACAACTAATATTTCAAGGGGTCTCACATTTAATATATCCAAAATGAACTCCTGATGTCTATTTTTCTCATAGTCATTCCTATTTCAATATGTATATGCCATATTAGGAGTTCAGTTAGTTAAAGGCAGATACCTTACAGTTGTTCTCTAGTCACTGTTTTTGCTATCATTTTTATTTCCCAAATGTAATTAATTCATGTATATCCTCTTTTCTCCTTCTTTACTGCTATTACCCTAGTCTAAACCAGCATCATCACTCATCTGGACTTTATAGTATCTTCCTAATTTCTGATTTTTCTGTTTACCCCTTTATTCTCTACATTGCATCCTGGAATTGTTTAAAACTTCCTCCTTAACATTTTAAACGATTCCCTTTTATTTATTAAGTTAAATTCCAGTTCGTCATCTTGACATACCATGCCCTGTTATCTTTTTGTTGTTGTTCTTTTTTTTTCATTTGTTTTATTTTCATTGTTTTAAAGTATATTTTTATTGATTTTAGAGAGAGAGGAAGAGAGAGGGATAGAGAGGTAGAAACTTCGATGACAGAGAAACGTAAGTCATCTGCCTCATGTGCTCCCCCTACTGGGGATTGAGACCGAATGTGCCCTGACCAGGAATTAATCCAGTGACTGATTCATGGGTTGATGCTCAACCACTGAGCCACACAGGCTGGGCTATTTTTTTTTTAATTTTTTCTCTTTATTTTGTGTGTGTATATCTCCCTGTTATTTTTCCAACTTTATCTTATTCCACTCTTCACTCTTATTTTTTTCTCACTATGCTCAAGTCCTCTGGCACTTCAACATCTTTCTTTCCTGCTTTAGAGCACTTGGGTTCACCAGTATATCATTTCATTCTATGGCTGCTTTCTTGTCAAGACTGGCCCCTTCTCATGTCTTCGGTCTCAACTTAAAAACCACCTCTTCCATGGTTAATACCTTCTTTATCCACTCTGTCTAGACATGCCTCCTTTTATTATTCCCTGGGTCCATACTTTGTTTCTTTCTAGATCTTGACATTTTAAATGATTTGTTGTTAGTTTGCTTACCTGTTTACTGTCTGCCATCTTACACATCCTTCCCAATACCTGCCATACATACATACCCACAGACACCAAAGGTCAGGCCTTTTAAGGCCAAAATGTTTTTTGTTTCTCTTCACCATTAACATATAGTACCTGTCACTGATAACATGCTAGGGATGTTCGGTGACTATTTGTGTGAATGAGGAAGAAAGCTCTAGTGTGTGAAGGTTTTGAAGCTGTGAGTATTCTAGCTTAACCAAAGGTACATGGCAGCCTCTAGGGCCACATATTTGATATACAAGATTTTGATTATTTTAAAATAATGTTTTATATTATACTAGAGGCCCAGTACACAAAATTTCATGCACTGGGAGGGTTGGGGGGGGGGGGTGTCCCTCAGCCATCCTGCACCCTCTCGCAGTTCAGGACCCCTCGCTCCTTACCGCTCCCCTGCAGCAGAGTCACCACTGCCTCGCTCGCCAGCTGTGAGCCTGGCTTCGGGCTCCCCCCCTGTGGGAGCGCACTGACCACCAGCAGGCAGCTCCTGCGTTAAGCATCTGCCCCTGGTGGTCAGTGCACACCATAGCGACTGGTCGTTCCGCCCTTTGGTCCTTTTGCATATTAGGGTTTTATTATGTAGAATATGTATAAACCTAATGTGTGAGAACTTCTAATTTTATTAAAAAAAAAAACTGGATTGTAAGTTTTAGGAGATATTATATAAAGTTGAGATAATGTCATTTTTGGGGTAGTAGTCTGAATTATAATGTATTTTCTCAATGATGTTTCTGTTTTATTCAGTGTGAAAATGCATCTCTAAAAGAGCAAATAGAGTCTATAAATAAAGAACTAGAGATTACTAAGGAAAAACTTCACACTATTGAACAAGCCTGGGAAAAAGAAACTAAATTAGGTAAGTGCTATGACTCTAATAATATAAAATGATTTAAGATCTAATAGAGAATATTTTGCACTTAAAGTTCTTTTTCTATACCACATGGAAAGGAAGTATTTTGATAAAAGTGAATTCTCTATGTTACAGTTTAATTTAGCAGGCAGTTGAATAATATCTTGGACTAAACTCTACCAAAATTTGGTTTTTAGTTATAAAATTAGATTTGTTCCAAATAAAATCATATGTTAAAAAACAGCATTTTCTGTTTTGAACCATTTAACAGTGAATACTGGTGATAATTTTGAAATACCTGTATTTTAATGAGAGTAATATGAGTTCTTTCACTATGTATAAAATTTTACAATATCAAATAGATCATTTGATATTTTTAAGATAAAAGTTTAGTATATAGCATCAAAAAATTAAATTTATATTACCCATAGTTCCACCACTATATTGTAATTTTTTGTATAACCTTGTGTACACTTAAATATTGCACATTAAATTATAATAAACATACACTATATTTATTTAGTAGATGTCAAACTATTGCTATGTTTTATTCATTATACTTTTAAATGTTTATGTAGTACCTTTCTGTGTTCGAGTGATTACATCACTAGCTTTTCTCATTTCTGTTATTGCTTGTAGTGCTACAGTGAATATTCATGTATATCTAGCAGATGTTATTGTCTCCGAGGGTATTAAAATATTTGTTGCTCCTGCTAGGGTTTCCATATTAGTTTTCAATAGGTTATCTTAGTTTATAGCATTTAAATCATTTTATCTTGCTAGCATTATGATTTATAATTTTCAAATAAATTTGCTGCTTTGGTTAAGGTCTTTTCATGTTTTTGTTTTCTAGACCTTAGAGCTCTAAGCTGTGCAAACTTTCTGTTACTAAATACTAGAAGAGCTGTGTTATTATATTGGTAACTGAGATATATAGTTTACAGAGACCTAACAATGGGAAGTCTAAAATAAGCTACTTTTAGAAATGTAAATTTTAATTCATTAAGAGATTTAAAGCGAATTGATTTCCATGTAGCTTCTACATGACAGAAGATACCATTTAAGATATAAAAAGTGTATTACATAAAATATTAGTAAATTTTCTGTTTATTTTATCCTATCTCTTTTTAATAAGGTCTGAATATCTTTAGAAATTTCTTAATTTTCAAATACCTTCATCTTTCCCATACATGGCTTTATGTCATGGAAGTTTAAAAGCTTTTCTTAATTTCTGTTGTTATATCTTTGTTTAAAAGTGTCACTTTATTAGGTTTTATTATCCAGGAGTTTGTTGATGATGGGTTGTTGTGGACTACCCCCTCTCTCTAAGAAAACTCCAAACACAAGAATGTACACATGGCTAATCTGCTGCAGCCCCGGTGATCTGCCTCTCTTCATTAGCATAGTTTAGCACAGAAATGAATGATGAAGGGGTTTTATTTTCTTTGTATATTTATATTTAGAGCTTTCTTTTCTTTCATTCATGGTGTTAAGGGTTGCCTGGACTGATTTACTAACACTTTTAGCTTCTTCAGTAACTGTTACTGTTAGTTATTTATCACTGCGTACAGTAGCTATTCTAAATTCATTTGTTTAAAGATACATACAGAACCAAATGAAGTACTTTTTAAAAACTGAGGCAGACACCAGAACTGTTTTTTTTTAAATAATATATGTCTTTTTGCAAATTCATTTCTAAAACTCAAGCTTATTATTAGTGTTATGAATTACTACTTAGTTTCTTAAAATAATTGATTTCCCTGAATATATTATTAATTGATTCTCCAAAAATATAAAACACTGTACCAAATTTGTTTTTTGTTTTTCTCCTGTAGTATGTGGGTTATGCAAATCAAAAGTATTAGTTTTCTCCTTTTCAGAAAACAACTAAGTAATTAATGGTAATCCTGTGTGATGACTTCTCATGGTAATTTTTTTTTTTATTTTGTTCTCATTTGATTTAACCACAGACTTTTATGTCCAAAGACAAGCCATATCATATATGTATTATATAATCTTCGATATACAAATATGCATATATGTATCTATAATATTGATGAGATTAATAACCAGTACAATAATTTAAAATATTTGATATTCAATGTTTACAAAGGCCAAGTAATACTCATAGTTAAAGAAGATATTTGGTGAGATCCCTAAATTATATGGCTTCATATTTTACTTTCAGTTTGACTCCATGAGACTTTAAAATAAAGTCACTGCATTTATATTCACAAAATAGTGTTGTTTTATTGAGTTGCTTCTTATACCGTTTTTCTCCTTTTAGTTACAAAATACACATATTTTCCCTTTTTTGATTCTCTGCCTGTGACACCATCTACAGTATACCTTTTACATTTCAATAATTCCATGAGGAATTTTTTCTCCTATTAATGCTCACTTGAGAATATTTTTCTATTGATTTTAGAGAGTATGAGAGAGGGAGAGAGACAGAGAAAGAAACAGTGATGGCAGAGACACATCAGTTGGTTGCCTCCCACAAGCACCCCAGCCAGGGCTAAGGATTGAACCTGCAACTAATGTATGTGCCCTTCTTTGGAATCTAACCTGGGACCTTTCAGTCCTTGGTTGAAGCTCTATCACCTGAGCCAAACCGGTTAGGGCGAGGAATAGTTTTTGTTATCATTTGAATGATGAAGAACCTAAATTCCAGAGAGATTAAATGGGATAGGCAGCCGGTAGACAGAAAATAATAGAGCTATGACTGGAATTTGGATCTGTCATAATTTAAAAGCCTCGTGTTATCCCTTGAACATAATGTCTAAAATATCTAGAATATAATTTTGATAAGAACAGCATAAGAGTAACTTAAATATTGTTGTATACAGGAAATGAATCTAACATGGATAAGACAAAGAAATCAATAACCAACAGTGAGATTGCTTCTATTTCAAAAAAAATCACTATGCTAGAGATGAAGGAATTAAATGAAAGGCAGCGGGCTGAACATTCTCAGAAAATGTATGAACACATAAAGACTTCATTAAAACAAATGGAAGAACGTAATTTTGAATTGGAAACCAAATTTGCTGAGGTTCGATGTTACCGTTTTTATCATGTAATTGGAAAATAAGGAATTAGTCATGGTAGACATTGTATTATGTAAGAGGTTTGTTTGTATCTCTGAAGTAGCATATTAATATAGTGCTTGTGTTTTATGTAATGGATAAAAATAAAAGATGTTTTTAAATGTTTATAAAGAAAGCAAATATTTTTTGAGAATGAGTTTTTATTTCTCACTAGCATTACATGATTAGATTTAATATGCAGAAAAGTTTATTTGCTTAATAATGAAATGCCTTTCCACCCATTCATTTAACAAATATTTATTGAGTGCCTATTTCATTTCAGACACTGCATAAGGAGTTATAGCAGGAAACAAAATACCGCAAACAGCAATCCATGCTCTCAGAGACTTTATATTCTAATACAAGGTTTTAGACTTTTTTGACATGTTCAGAATAATTAAAGTGGATGGCAATAAATAGAGTTTACAAAAATTCAGCAATTTATGATGAAGTAGCATTCATGTAACATTTGTTTTACCTTGAGAATTAGTATAATTTTTAAAGCATGATGTTGTTTATTTTACTGTCACTAAATATATATTAAGACTTTAACTCATTTAGATTATTTATAGGTTATATAATTAAAGTAAAATATAATAAGTGTACTGCATTCCTAGCAAATTAAGAATATCAGAAATTCTGATATCATTGGGTTGTGAGCTGCCTAACATAAATGACTTTATGTGGGTTGGTATATAATCAGAGTTTGCATAATTTGTTTCTGACTCTTTCCCTCTTTACCCTTTTCAGTCTATTCTTAATACCTCACACTCAATTCAGTATCTGGATTAATGCAAAGCAAAGAGGACTGCAGTATGCTAAAGCTAAATTAAAAGGAAAACCTTTTTGGGGTGGTGGTGGGTGCACGATGGAGGAGGTCAATGGGGAAAAAGAGGCATCTGTAATACTTTTAACAATAAAGATAAATTTAAAAAATAACAATAAAGGGAAATCTCTTCAAAAGCTGATATATCTGAATATTTTTTTTTGTTATTTTTTCTTAGCTTACCAAAATAAACTTGGAAGCCCAGAAGGTGGAACAGATGTTAAGAGATGAACTAGCTGGTAGTGTGAGCAAGACAGTAAGTGATGCTGATAGACAACGGATTCTAGAATTAGAGAAGAATGAAATGGAACTAAAAGTGGAAGTGTCAAAGTGAGTGCATGTAACTTTTTGTTCATTTGATTAGATGTGTCTATTCTAATTTGTCTTTAAGAAACCTAATTACAGTGATACAGGAGTAATATTCTTAGTGGCAATTAATACTGGTTTCCTTTTAAAAGAATATGGTTAAATAATATTAAGTAGTTCTTCTGCATATTAAATAATTTGGGGGGAGGACCATTAATTTATTTAAACTGAAGTTTTTTCACTTTATTAAGGAAGGAATAGTATGTCTTTTATCTGTATAGAAGGTTACTGTGAAAATATAATAAAACATTTCAGATTTTGGTTCCATTTTGGGTATCTACTATGTATACTGTGCTAGGTATTGAACAGATGTTAACTCATACAATTACACTTACTAACCCTGAAGTAACATTGTTATTTTCATTTTACGTGTGGAAACAGTTTATTTGCTTAGAACACAAAATATATGTAAGGTGTAAATACTCTGTGCCAGTAAATACTGTGTAGTCACTCTCCTTTGTAATCATGCGTTACTTCAGTGGAAAAGTGTGAGGATCCCAGTTGGGGTGGTGAACACACAATACAACATACAGATGATGTCTTACACAATTGTACACCTGAAACCTATATAATTTTGTTAACCAGTGTCATCCCAACAAAATAAATAAATAAATAAATAAATAAATAAATAAATAAATAAATAAATAAATAAATAGAAAAGTATAAGGATCCCTGAGTTGATCTGTCAAGTACAAATAATTAGTGAAAAAGGTTTTATGGCCTTTTGTAGTTATAGCCATTTTTTGGAGCTTTGATATCCTTTTGGGAATATCAGTCATTTCTAACCATTTTCACTGTGAAGAATACTTCTTTTTAATTCTTCCTTTCATCTCATGCACCTTACCTTTTGAAATAAACTTATATTATTCATTTTAATTAATTATATTGTAATTCATTATTATATTTTAATTAATCAAAACTTATAGAACTGTTATTGAGAACTTCTAATCAATATGAGGAAACCTAAGTTATCTGTCACACGGAACTAAAATTATTTCAGCCTACAGTAAAGTGCATTTTACTTTATCTGTGTAGTCTTCTCATAGTAGTCATAGGAAATCTAATAAATTACCATAAAGCCCCCCCTTTTATTGGCCACATACATTTGGAAAATGCTATATATGTATAGTTTCAGATAATTTTCACTTTAAAACTTCTCAGAATATTTAATACGATACTGTGTATTATGAATTTTCAAGGGAGGATGGGTGTTGAAAATGGAGTTTTTCCATGAAACATATGTTAACCTCTCAGGGCATTGTGTTTCATGAAACAACTTCGGAAACTTTGCTTTAGCATTTCATATGAAGAAGAGATGATGGAATCTAATGGCTTTTCCAAGGCTCTAAAAATTTGAAATCCTGGTATTTATTTCCTTAAAAAATGTACCTAATTGTTTCTGAAATATTACTTCCTAGACTGAGAGAGATTTCTGACATTGCCAAAAGGCAAGTTGAAATTTTGAATGTACAACAACAGTCCAGAGAAAAGGAAGTAGAGTCCATCAGAATGCAACTGTTAGACTATCAGGTATGCACAGCGTTGCTCTTCTACATAGATTTTTTCTTTTTTCTAAATTCACATTAGATATTGGGATGATTTTATAGTTTTAACTAAAGAATATATCAAGGAGGCTCATATTCTTGTTAATTATAGTCTGATTAGGTTACAACTTAATGTGAAAAACCATAATACAGAAAAGCATTTAAATGCCTATAAATGCATTGTGCTGACTGCTGATCAGAGTTAAGACAGTGAAGAGAAATAGTAAGCCTTTCATAACAATATTTTCTCTTATAGCTTTTCACATATTCTCACATTATTTTTTTAAGAATTAATAAAAAAGAAAAAGAAATGCGTGAGGATCCCTGAGTTGATCTGTCAAGTACTAATAATTAGTGAAAAACACTGTACACATCAGTATTATAGTTTACATATGGAAGTTAAAAAAAAGCCACCGTAATATCCCAACTGTTACTTAGCCAGTTGCCAGATTTGGATTTTACACATATTTGATTCTGTTTTTCTGCTGTTTTTGCTTTTTAATTTTTTGGTAATTTGTCTTAAAGCAAGGTTAGATTTTTATAGGATCTCATGTAGCGCACTTTTAAATGTTTAGTAAATTTTGATATTAAATTCATGATAAATTTCATAGGAAAAACTTGAAACTTGGAACAAATATATGCATTTTTTATATTAGGCACAGTCGGACGAAAAGGCACTAATTGCCAAGTTGCACCAACACCTTGTCTCTCTTCAAATTAGTGAGGTTACTGCTCTTGGTAAGTTGGAGTCAGTCACATCAAAACTGCAGAAGATGGAGGCCTATAATTTGCGTTTAGAACAGAAACTGGATGAAAAAGAACAGGCTCTCTATTATGCCCGTTTGGAGGGGAGAAACAGAGCAAAACATCTGCGCCAAACAATTCAGTCCCTGCGACGCCAGTTCAGTGGAGCTTTGCCCTTGGCACAGCAGGAGAAGTTCTCTAAGACAATGATTCAGTTACAAAATGACAAACTGCAGATAATGCAAGAAATGAAAAATTCTCTACAAGAACGTAGAAATATGGAGAACAAAACAATGGAGATGGAATTAAAGTTAAAGGGGTTAGAAGAGTTAGTAAGCACTTTAAAGGATGCCCGGGGAGCCCAAAAGGTAAAACAGTGATTTTTAAATTAAGTATTTCCAGAAGAGTTACATAATTTTAAGTTCTTAATATGTACCTATATGAGAAACATTTAACGTATATTTTAATTTATTTAGAATTTATAAATTAGGGGTTTTGCCTATTTGAATGTCTGTTTGTGAAAATTAAATGAGAGTCATCTAAGCAATGGTTTTAGTAGAAGTACTTAGGTTTTAAAATAACAGAATTTTAAATACTCTTAAGAAGTTTATATATTAATAAAATACTAATTATAATTTTAAACATTATAGTGCTTATCAATTCAATTCTACTCTTTGTAATCATTAGTTGTTTAAAATTTACAAGTAGTAGGCCTGCATGTATTTTTAATATAATTTTGTTTTAACCTTTTTTTGAAGCAATTAAGTGAAAAATAATTATCTTGCAACTAAACTTTATTCTCTAGGCTAGAAATATAGGGTGGCCCAAAAAATGTATACACAATCTTTGAATCATTATAAAGGCATTGTTTATTAAAATACATTTCATTTTCAAAATTGAGCTATCAGCTGTTAAAGTGTATATACATTTTTGGGGGACACCAAAATAATTTTATATTTTATTTTATTATAGTGTCTATTAATTTGAATTAAAATCATTAGGGTATGGAGAAATATTTATTTATATAGTATTGACATTTGTATGTATAATTTATAAATCTTTAGGTAATCAGTTGGCATATGAAAATAGAAGAACTCCGTCTTCAAGAGCTTAAATTAAATCGAGAATTAGTCAAGGATAAAGAAGAAATAAAATATTTGAATAATATAATTTCTGAATATGAGCATACAATCAGCAGTCTGGAGGAAGAAATTGTACAGCAGAACAAGGTTTCATTTTATATTTATTTTGATGTTTTGTTGCTAAGATTTTCTTTTTAAAAATATTTTTTTATTGATTTCAGAGAGGAAGGGAGAGATAGAAACATCAATGATGAGCGAGAATTGGCTGCCTCCAACAACCCTGGGCGTGTGCTCTGACCGGAATCAAACCATGGCCTGCTAATTCATAGGTTGATGCTCAACCACTAAGCAACACCAGCTGGGCTGTTGCTAAGATTTTAAACATAAGAACAAACCTAACCGGTTTGGCTCAGTGGATAGAGCATTGGCCTGTGGACTCAAGGGTCCCAGGTTCGATTCCGGTCAAGGGCATGTACCTTGGTTTCGGGCACATCCCCAGTGGGGAGTGTGCAGGAGGAAGCTGATCGATGTTTCTCATCGATGTTTCTTAACTCTCTATCCCTCTCCTTCCTCTCTGTAAAAAAATCAATAATATATATATATATATATATATATATATATATATATATACACACACACATATATATATACATATGTATATATATATAAAAGAACATTGTATAAGTGACTACATCACTCTCTTACTTGAATTTAGCTTCCATTATTATGGTATAAAATATTCCAATTTCTGTTTTCTAAACCATTATACAAATGCATATTTATTTATGTTGAAACTATGAAACTAGAAGCCTAGTACATTAATTCATGCACGGGCGGGGTGGGGTGGGGGGGTGTGGGGTTGGTTTCAGCTGGCCTGGTCCCAGTTGGGGTGGATCAGGGCCAGGCCTGCTGGGGGGAGGGGCTGTGGATGGTTGGCTGGTGGGCCCCACCCCAATTGGGGTGGGGGGCCAATCGAAGGTCAGCGGCCAGGGTAGGGGCCATGGAAGGTTGGCCGGCTAGCCCTACCCTCAATAGGTGTGGGGGGGCCGGTTGGGGGTGGAGCTGGCTGGAGGGAGGGGCTGTGGGCCAATTGGGGTGATGGGGGCTGGGGGAGGCCATGGGGAGGGACAGTGGGCTGGCCAGCCCTGCCCTGCCCTTGAATGGGGGTGGGAGGCCGATTGAGGGCCGGTGGCCTGGGGGAGGGGCCATGGGTGGTTGGCCAGCCGGCCCTGACCCTGATCAGAGTCAGGGGCCAATCTGGGGTGTGGCCAGGTGGGGGAGAGGGGCTGCAGGAGGTTGGCTGGCCAGCCCCACCCCAGAATGGGGTGGGCGGGGCTGGCCAGGGGAAGGGGCTGCAGGCTGATCGGAAGTGGGGCTGGTTAGGGGGAGGGGCCATGGGGGGTTGGTCAGCGCCCCGCCCTCCATGGGGGTGGGAGAGGCCGGTCAGGGGCGGGGCCAGCTGGGGTGAGGGGCTGCGGGACTTGGCTTTGTTTACTGTTATGCTTGCATCGCCTAGAATAGTGATTGTCATATAGTACATGTCATTAAATATATTTTGGATAGATAGGTGGATAGATGGATGAATAGATGAATGCATGGATGGATTAAAATCCTTACTCCATATCTGCCTATCTCTTTGATGGAAAGATACTTTACCTCTCTTGAGTTTACTTCCTTTCCCCATAAAATAATAGTAGTGACCTCAAAGGGTTGTTGTGAGAATTAAATAAGAAAATGTATGTAAAAATTTCTGTTGTTTGCTTGGTGAGTGTTTCTATGTATGTCTGATGCAAAATACCTTTTTTTCAGTTTCATGAAGAAAGGGAAATGGCCTGGGATCAAAGAGAAGTTGAGCTGGAACGTCAACTAGACATTTTTGACCGTCAGCAAAATGAAATACTAAATGCAGCACAAAAGGTCTGAGTGATTAATTCTATTTGCTACTCTGTAGCATGGCCTATAATGTTAGCCATAGTAATGTTTTCTAATGTCAGAGATGGAATTTTAACTTTCTTTTTATATTTCAAATATAAGTGGGCTTTAACCATGTCTTGTCATATAGTTGTAAAAATTAATGTTCTTTCCTTCAATGCTACAACTGTTTTTTTTAATGCTATTTTTAATAGTTTGAAGATGTTATAGGATCAATGCCAGACCCGAGCTTGCCCCTTCCAAATCAACTTGAGATTGCTCTAAGAAAAATTAAGGAGAATGTTCGAATAATTCTAGAAACACGGGCAACTTGTAAATCACTAGAGGAGGTAATTAGAAAAATTTGCATTTTGATTAGTATATTATTGGATATGTAGAATTTTTTAAATGAGTAATATATTTTAATGAGGACGATGTATAGAATGATGAATCTGTTGCTAGTTTTACCCTCCTTTTCTACTCTCCCATAATGCTTGTAATAGGCAATAAAGAAAAACAGATATGGCTAATTAGAATTAATTATTCATTTAATTACTACTTGTTACTTTGGGGCACACTAATAGTTGTATTGAAACAAAAAGAACATTTGTAGTTTTATGAGCAATATATTACCTTCTTTTGTATGATCAAGAATTGTTTTCAGCCTTGTTTATTTGAAGTGTACGTTGTATACTCTGAATCAGTTTCAGTTAATTCCTTTTGTGTGTGGTTAAAGGGTTTGAAGGAGAGCTAGAAATTAGTACTTGTTTCTTTAATGTAGGCCAGTGGTTCTCAACCTGTGGGCCATGACCCCTTTGGGGGTCGAACGACCCTTTCACAGGGGTCGCCTAAGACCATTGGAAAACACATATATAATTACATATTGTTTTTGTGATTAATCACTATGCTTTATGTTCAATTTGTAACAATGAAAATACATCCTGTATATCAGATATTTACATTATGATTCATAACAGTAGCAAAATTACAGTTATGAAGTAGAAACGAAAATAATTTTATGGTTGGGGGTCACCACAACATGAGGAACTGTATTAAAGGGTCGCGGCATTAGGAAGGTTGAGAACCACTGTTCTAGGCCTACAGCTTGATTAAGAGGATCAAATATCTCCTTTATTTAATTATATGGAAAGTAATTTAAACTGAATATGATTTCATCTTAGTTTGCATCTAAATCTATTGTAAATACATTTAAAAATAATTTTGCTAGTAAAATTGTATATTTTTAGTCGATTGAGGACACTTAGATTTTCTTCAGTAATTGTAAGATTTATCATTTATGTGAATTTTCATTGAGTTACTGCATTTAAAATATCTGCCTTAATCCTATTGAATAGGCAACACTTTTTTTTCTATTTTGTTTTCATAATCCACAGATTTTATAATAGTGATTTATTGACTTGAGCCAGTAAAGTTCCAATTTTTATACCCAGCTGATTTATGAATTACTCTTCTAGTGCTTTGATAGTCAATGGGCTGAAGTAAGAGGAACAATTTATTACAGTTTTTTTCCAAATTTAGCACCACCTCACATTTCTAGTTCTAAAACTATAACATCTAAATAAAGTACCTTAAATTTCATTTTCATAATAATTGTTTCTTAACACATGCAATAGTCTTACAAATAAAATATGCATCCAGATAACTTAGCTGTCACATAAAAATATCAGTTTAACTTTATTAATATCTTTTAGCTATTTTAAGTATGTTGTGAAAAATAAAGGGAAACTCCTCTCTAAACTTGTAACTAATTTAAAATTCAGATGAAACATTTTAAAAGAAAAAATATACTTTAATAATATGATTTGATCATTGCAGAAGCTAAAAGAAAAAGAATCTGCTTTACGGTTAGCAGAGCAAAATATTTTGTCAAGAGACAAAGTAATCAACGAACTCAGGCTTCGTTTACCTGCCACCGCAGAACGAGAAAAGCTTATAGCTGAACTAGGCAGAAAGGAGGTAGAGCCACAGTTCTATCACACATTGAAAATTGCTCAGCAGACTATTGCAAACATGCAAGCAAGGCTGAATCAGAAGGAAGACATGTTAAAGAAGTATCAGTGTCTTCTGGAAAAAGCCAGAGAGGTAATTTATTTGTTTGTTTGTTTGTTTGTTCTATCTATCTATCTATCTATCTATCTATCTATCTATCTATCTATCTATCTATCTATCTATCTATCTATCTACCTACCTACCTACCTATTTAATGCAAATATTATTCTGCCCTGAAGTGGTAGTGCATTTCTTGCCTTTCAAATGATTCTATTTAGGAATTATCACTTTCATGTGATTAGATTACAGATCTGTCAGAAAAACTGGCAGTGTATATATGTGAATCTTTCCCGTATGGATTGACTAAATCAGGAATAGCTGTCACAGAGAAACCATGATAATGAAAAATACCAGCTGAATTTATGATATTGAAAAATACCAGTTGAGTTTATAGGTCAGAAAGTTAGAAATCTGTCTCACTAGTAGTAATAAGTGAAATCAGATTTGCTAGAACTTTGGTGGTGGTGGACAGGGGAAATCTGCATTTAAAACGTAAAAATTTTTTTTTAGAAACAAGTTAAAAGTTGATAGGTACATATTATTCTAATATTAAAATTAAATTATGATCTAAGGCTGGACTTGTCAACTTGAAATGTGTACTAGTGAAAATGCATACTGGTGTAAATATATGCATGCAGATATTCTTTCCCTGTCTCAGGGATTTTGGAAGATTAAAGATAACAGATATTTAAGATTCTAATGTGAATTTATTTAAATCACTATTTAAGATATAGTTTTGATTTTCTATAAAACAGGAGCAAAGAGAAATTGTTAAGAAACATGAAGAAGATCTTCATATTCTTCATCATAAATTAGAACTACAAGCTGATAGTTCACTCAATAAATTCAAACAAACAGCTTGGGTAAGAGTCTAAGAACTTTGTTCTATTCTTTACAGTTTTTTGAGATCGTATACTTGAAAATTTAGCTCTCTTTTTTGGGGGGGTGAGGGAATAGAAGCCACCCTATTTTTTATTTTTTGCCAGAATAATCTTATGAAAACACAACTCTGATCATTCTTCCCCCTAGACTGATGCTTATTAAATCTTGCTTATCTGTAGCCATGTACTAAAAGCCTTCCATGATCTGACCTCAGTTTTTGTTTTTGTTTTCAAATTTTGCTCATTATAACTGATTTTCATGTTCTGAATTCAGCTTATACTTGGTGCTGATCTTGTCTTCTGTATGTGTGAAATGACCTTTCATCTCCTAATATGCAAACCTTATCATCCTTGAGCCTTAACTCATTAATTCAAAACACATTTCTTGATACATCACTACATGTAGGGACTTCGCTAGATACTGGGAATACAAAGAACCCAATCTCTATTAACTGTTTTCTTTAAGCTTTCATTGCTTATTAAATTTTAGATTAGATATTATTTTTGATTATTTGAGGAATGCATTAAAATTATGGAATAAGCATTGCATTGAATTATACATGTTTATAGCTAATTTATTCACATTTCATAGGATTTACTAAAACAGTCTCCTACTCCAGTTCCTACCAACAAGCATTTTATTCGTTTGGCTGAGATGGAACAGACAGTAGCAGAACAAGATGACTCTCTTGCTTCACTTTTGATAAAACTAAAAAAAGTGTCTCAAGAATTGGAGAGACAAAAAGAAATCACTGAGTTAAAAATCAAAGATTTTGAAAATACCAAATTACGGTAAGCCTTAGAAATGTATTATAACAATAGGCAAATAGTAATAATGATATAATGAGGATAAACCTGTTTTCTATGTGCACTGTTCTGAAAACTTTATGTATATTATCTTGTTTTATCCTCAGGACACTTATGACATAGGTCATATTCTCCCCATTCTTCACATAGGAAACTAGGCTACAGGGAGGCTCAGTTACAGGCCTGGGAGCAGGTGGAAAAGTCAAAATTTGAATCTAGTCAGTCTAGTTTCAAGCACCAACCCAGAATCTTGTCCAGAATCTTGTTTTTAACCTCTATGCTTCTGTTTCATCATCTGTAATATGGAAATGACAATATTTAACCTGGTTCCTTCAGGATGATTATTTGAAGGCCAGATGCTCTTATATAAGAAAGTAATTTCAAAATTGTAAAGTAACAAATAAATATAAAATTTTTGTTATATGCCTATAACAATTCCTGGCACACAGTAGAGGTTCAGTAAATATTTGTTGTATGAAAAATTAACTATTTTTTTTTATTATAGTGACAGTAGAGGGTTCACGGCATTCATTCTCTGCATTAGAGATTTTAAACATTGCTCAATTAATTTATCAGAATATAGATTTTTAAACCTAAAGTAGATTTATAGTTATGTATTTTATAATCATTGTAGAACTAACTCTCTGCACCTTGATTTCTTATCTGAATAAATGAGAGAGCTGAACAACTTATAGTTGCATTCCAGCTCTGAAACTCTTACTAGAACCTTTTTGACTCACTTATCCAAGATGCGTCTAACAAAATAAACATTATTTTTGCTTTAGTAAGAAGCTACCACTTTAAAGAGATTATTCTCTAAAAGAGAATTAGCAATAGCATATGGTGTCCTTTAAATCAAATTTTCCCCATTCTATTAAATTTTATAACTGAGATGTTATTTTGATAAAGTAAGTCTCTGTCATGTTTTAGAGTATAAAGTTGCTTCTGCTTTTCAACCCAATCCCTGGGTACAGAAAATAATCATCTTTTGAAATTACCTTGTATATGTAATTTCTTTTGCCAGTTGAAATATTTGAGTTAGTTTTTTTTAGTCATGTCATTTTAGTGTAAAATTATACTTTTATCCTCTGTGTGCAAATTGGTATTATTGACAGAGAACATTAAATCTGTAGAAAAATTTTGTAAGAGTTTATTAGAGTTTAATTTGAACTGAACATATGCCTGGAAGCAAGATCTCTATAGACAGAACAATGCTTCCCAGGACAGTTTGCGGTTTCTTTTTTGCATTTGGAATTAAGGAAAGAACGGCAAGGAAGATTACATGAAAGGTGGGAGAAAGCAAGGCAGGGATTACGGAATAATAAGATTGTGTGCTCTCTTCCAGGGGTCTAAAAAATAGGCCTTTCAAAGGTTTCTGAACTTAGATGTACAAAAACAATGGGCAGAGCTCGCTTGGAGCAAAGATAAACCTTTTACTAAAGAAGTTAAAGTCTCTGGAGCATGGCTACCTACCATGACCTGCTCAGTTAAGAATTTATAATCAGAGCATCCTGAGGTTATTTTCCATTAGATTTATTACAGTATCCCTTTTTTGTCCACAGTATGCATATTTTAATGTCTTAGAAGTGTATAGAAAATTATAGATTCTTGTGTTTTCTTATGACAAGTTTTTCTGCTGAAAACAACAAGCCTCAGAGTGTTTAACACTTGTTCATAATTTAATACAATCTTCTCTTTGGTCAAAGTTTAATTTATTTGTATCTCCATATTGCTGACACTATTAATGCAGTGTTTAAATGCAAAGTGAACTGGATATAATTTAGTATGACTTATTAAAGATGAATGAACAATAGGATTAATCACATTAACTAAGTCTGCTGATAGTATCTATTTCCATGTCTATAGATATAAGTATTATAGATGTAATACTAGTGACTTTGTAACCATAAACAATAATACATGTAATTTCTGTGAAAGTGTACATTTTGTCTTTGAATAATGACAATATAGAGCAGTGGTTCTCAGCTGAGGTAATTATTGCTGCCCTCCTTCCTCCGGGGACATTTGGTAATGTCTGGAGACATTTTCCATTGTCACAACTAGGAGGTACTATTGGCACCTACTGTGTAGAAGCAAAGGATACTATTAAACACCTTGCCATTAATGCAGAGGACAGTTCATAAAGAATTATTCAGTCAAACAGTCAGTAGTGCCATGATTGAGAAACCCTGATCAGAGGAAAGTCACATCTTGCCTGGCACATGGTATTTAAAGTGCTGTATGTTCATTTTCTGTATTATTTGTCTAGAGCAGCGGTTCTCAACCTGTGGGTCGCGACCCCTTTGGGGGTCGAACGACACAGGGGTCGCCTAAGACCATCGGAAAACATATATAATTACATATTGTTTTTGTGATTAATCACTATGCTTTAATTACGTTCAATTTGTAACAATGAAATTGGGGGTCACCACAACATGAAGAACTGTATTAAAGGGTCACGGAATTAAAAAGGTTGAGAACCACTGGGCTAGAGTCACAAAATTGCTTGATGCAATCATTACCAAAAATAGTAGACAGAAACTAGAAAGAAAAAGTATGTTAAGTTTAAGAGTGGTCAAGTGGAATAAATAAAGAATTGCATTTATTTGGCCCCAGTCAGTGTTGTCCAATAGCTGAGTGCCAACCAGGAGGTCACAGTTCGATTTTGGTCAGGGCACATGCCCATGTTGTGGGCTCGATCTCCTGATCCCCAGGGAGGGACGTACAGGGGGCAACCGATCAGTGATTCTCTCTCATCATTGATGTTTCTATCTCTCCCTTTCCTTCCTCTCTGAAATCAATAAAAATATATATTTTTTAAAAAGATTAGGTTGTGCCCTGACCGGTTTGGCTCAGTGGATAGAGCGTCAGCCTACGGACTCAAGGGTCCCAGGTTCAATTCCGGTCAGGGGCGTGTGCCTTGGTTGCAGGCACATCCCCAGTGGGGAGTGTGCGGGTGGTGGCTGATGGATGTTTCGGTCAATGTTTCTAACTCTCTGTCCCTCTCCCTTCCTCTCTGTGAAAAATCAATAAAATATATATTTTTTAAAAAGATTAGGTTGTAAGAATATTTAGGACAAACGTTTGCTTTTATATAAAATTTTTGTCAATCAAAGTGTTAATTGCAGCAACCACTTTACTGAATACATATGTTTGCTGATATTAGGCTCCAAGAAAATCATGCAGCTGAAGTGAAAAAAGTGAAAGCACAAGTAGAGGATTTAAGGTGCCTTCTGGCCCAGTCCCAAAATGACTTACAGAGTTTAAAATCTGAACTTCAGGCTCAAAAAGAAGCAAATTCAAGAGCTCCAACAAGGACAATGAAAAATCTAGTGGAAAGGTTAAAGAGCCAATTATCCCTTAAAGAGAAACAGCAAAAAGTAAGTAACAACATTGTCAACATTCAGGAAATACATGTGGTAGATTGCTTTTAGAGTAGAGTTGTAAGAGATGATGTTATCTCTCTCTCTGTTGTAGGAAAAAGTTTGAGCCTCATTTTATGCTATGAAGTAGGGTTTGTTAAGATAATTGTTTTAAACAGCCTGATTTGTGGGTTATTTGTAGAAAATAAGAGGAGATCTTATTTTATTATTTCCTTTCCTTTTCTACTGGGATTTTATGCTACTGTGAGGCTATTTTGAACAATTTAAATAACTGAACAATTTTGAAAAATTTGGGGATTAGTTGGGGGATATGACAGTGAATAAGAAAGGCTAAAGAAGAAGGTTACAGCCGAAACCGGTTTGGCTCAGTGGATGGAGCGTCGGCCTGCGGACTGAAAGGTCCCGGGTTCGATTCCGGTCAGGGGCATGTACCTGGGTTGTGGGCACATCCCCAGTAGATGTGCAGGAGGCAGCTGATCGATGTTTCTCTCTCATCAATGTTTCTAACTCTCTATCCCTCTCCCTTCCTCTCTGTAAAAAATCAATAAAATATATTTAAAAAAAAAAGAAGAAGAAGGTTACAGAGATACTTTTATGAAAAGAAGTTGGTCACTGGGTTATCTGATTAGTTTTTTAATTTATCAGATTTGATATATTCAAATGTCTTAGAAGTTACTGTTGTTTTTCTGTGCTAGCTCAAGTAATTTATTGGCAAATTCTAAGCCCTTTTTTAATCTTGTGACTTTCCTAATGTACTTAAATTCAATTAATTTCATATGGAAGTTTGTCTTGAGTAATTTGGATAAATACCTAAATTTGGATATTTGAAACCAAAACATACCTGGTTTTTATAATAAAAGTTTCCTGATTTAATGCTATGTTCCCAAACTTATTAATGTCAAGATTTTGAACTCTCATACTCAATTTTAAAATAATTGAATTCAGTTACTAAAGGAAATTTATTTGAAAAAGTTGGGTTATTAGTTTGTGATTATATTTGCTTAAACATATGGCATTTTAGGAAAATAGTTGAAAGTAATAAAGCCTACCTATATTTAGTATTATATATTGCTCATATAAAATATCAGATTTTCCAAAAAAAAAAGTGGTATATCTGTTATAATTTTTAGGCACTTAGTCGAGCACTTTTGGAACTCAGAGCGGAAATGACAGCAGCGGCTGAAGAACGTATTATTTCTGCAACCTCTCAGAAAGAGGCGAATCTCAATGTTCAACAGATTGTTGATCGACATACCAAAGAGCTAAAGGTGAACATCAACACATTTATTAATATTAAAAATCCTGATAATTCCATTAGAAGAGAATCCACCTTTTTTTGTTAATAATAAGTATCTTTATTATACTTATTATACTTTATTATACTTTATTATACATCTTGGAATTAGCAAAATATAGGCTATTATAAGCTACTCTTCCTAATAGAATTAAATTTAAGAAACATTTACATATGATTTTTAGTGTGTATATTTTTTTTTTCTTTCTTTTGCTATATCAGAATTTTCTGTCTGGTTTTTGCTAGTTTATGAGTTAATTAGCTTTCCTTTTTTATCCCCTGAAATAGTTTATGAGAATCATGTAGTTCTTGACTTTTAATCTGTAGAGCTACTTGGCTCTGAAAACTATTTTTGAAATTATTATTTTGGGGCAATGTATTTTATTATTTTGTTACCTGACTGTTAGGTTTGGTAGTTTAAACTTTTTTCCCCCCAAAATATATATATTTCATAATGATTTTTAAATTTCTTTACGCAAGTTTCATATACTATATTCTAAGTAAAATGAAAAATCTTTTTATATATTGTTTTTGTTTATAATTTTGACTTGCTCTTTGTTTATATGTATATGCACTTCATTACCATTAAACTGTATAATGATTAGATTTTACTCAGACTTTTTAAAATAAATTTTTTTTTTAAATATATTTTATTGATTTTTTACAGAGAGGAAGGGAGAGAGATAGAGAGTTAGAAACATTGATGAGAGAGAAACATCGGTCAGCTGCCTCCTGCACATCTCCCACTGGGGATGTGCTCGCAACCCAGGTACATGCCCTTGACCGGAATCGAACCTGGGACCTTTCAGTCCGCAGGCCGACGCTCTATCCACTAAGCCAAACCGGTTTCGGCATTAAAATAAATTTTTAATATATTATTGACTAAGGGCCCAGTGCACGAATTTGTGCACCTCGAAAGGAACTGTGGGCTGCGAGGCTGCGGTGGGCACAGGGCGGGTCTCGGCCCATCCTCTGCGCCCCCGCCAGCCCCTCCCAACGTGGCCCCTGGTCTCCTATCTGCTGGCAGCCCTGCTCCCACCGCTGCCGCTCCCACATGCTGACAGCGCCAGCCTCACTCGCACCTTCTGATGATGCGGAACAATTGGGGCCGGTGCCAGCAACGTGTGCAAGCGGGACCAGTGCCATCAGCAGGTGCGAGCGGCGGCTGCCAGCCCTGATTGCCCCTCAGGAGCAGGGGGAGGTGGAGAAGTCCTCAGGAGCAATCAGGGCCTACAGCCGCTGTTTGCACTTGCTGACGGTGCTGAGTGATTGGGGCCGGCGCCAGGTGCCGGCAGCAGGTATGAGCGGCGGCTCCGGCAGCCAGTGCAAGTGGAGCCAGCACCAGCAGCAGGTGTGAGTCTCCAGCGGGACTGTGGCATGTGGGAGCAAAGAATTTTCCGTAACGACCAGAGGCTCGCCCCAATGACAGCCACCAGCGCCCCGCCTTGGTCTGGCGCCCCTGCTCACCTGCTACACCATCCACTGCGGCCGACGCCCGCCATGTTCTGCGTGTGCCCCCGGTGGTCAGCGCACATCATAGCGACTGGTTGTTCGGTTCCGCTGTTTGGTCTCTTTGCATATTAGCCTTTTATTATGTAGGATTTCAGAGAGGAAGGGAGAAGGAGAGAGAGATAGAAACATCAATGATGAGAATCATTGACTGCCTCCTGCATGCCCCCCACTGGGGATCAAGCCCACAACCCAGGCATGTATGTGCCCTGACAGGGAATTAAACGGTGACCTCTTGGTTTATAGGTCAATGCTCAAGCACTAAGCAACACCGGCTGGGCTTACTCAGATTTTTTCAATCTTCCATTGCACCTATCAAGATTATGAGCATAGTCAACAGTAAAAATCCATTATTTAATAATTATAAATAAGTAATAACCCTGTGTTAATGTCTTCTTTAATACCTTTCTCTTTTCCTGTAATGGCTTCTCAGAATTCTTCACATTCTTCAACTCCTTTTCCTCAAAGCTTAATCTAATTTCTCCGGGAAAATTTATGTTTTTCTCCTAGCTGCATTATATACTACTCATTTCTATGATTATTATTACTAGCAATACTTTTTGCCTGCATTAATTTACTCAAAACATTTTTTAAAATATTTTTTTATTGATTTCAGAGATGAAGGGAGAGGGAGAGAGAGATAGAAATATCAATGATGAGAGAGAATCATTGATTGGCTGCCTCCTGCATGTCCCCCACTGGGGATCGAGCCCGCAACCTGGGCATGTGCCCTGACTGGGAATCGAATTATGACCTCCTGGCTCATGGGTCAATGCTCAACCACTGAACCATGCTGGCCAGGCTCAACAAAATATATTTTAAGTACCAGTATTTCCATCACTGTTAATGTATAGGACAGCAAAGACCTCCTTCCTATGTGTACTTTCTTAAGCATATTGTCTAGTATTGCCAGTTACCCTTTTATGTCTTGTCTTTACAAAGTAAATTAGAAATTAATTCAAATCAGAGATTTCATTTATACTATTCTGAAGTTTCATAGTGTTTAAAACACTGCTGTATACCTTCTACATTGTACTTGTTTCTTTAATAAATTTGTTCAGCCACAATGAAACATTTACTTATCCTTATTTGATAAAATTTTGGCCCGAGGTATTTGTTGAAGATGAATTGCTTTAGATTGTTTCTTCATGTTTTGTTTTATATTTTTTTCTCAAAGTAGACTTGATTAATTGTAATGAAGATGGAAGAATATATATAGTTTGTGGTTGATTTTTTTCCATTATATTTAAACATTTAGATTAAAACTTTTTTCTTAAGTCTTAATGGTGTAATTTCATATTATATTGCTTTTATCATTAATATTTGGTGAAGATTCATGAATTAAATTTTTCTGTATTTTATATATTAGTCACAAATTGAAGATTTAAGTGAAAATCTTTTAACATTGAAAGAAGCTCTTAAAACAAGTAAAAACAGAGAAAATTCACTAACTGATAATTTGAATGACTTAACTAATGAACTACAAAAAAACCAAAAAGCCTATAATAAAGTGCTTAAAGAGAAAGATGAAATTGAACAAGAGAATGATGAACTGAAAAGGCAAATAAAAAGACTAACCAGTGGATTACAGGTAATTTTATATTGTGATAATATCTTTGATTTATATGTAGATAGCAGTTCATTCCCACTTTTTAATTGCACATATATTTGCTGGAACTAGCTTGCATGTCCCCTTGATTAATTTAGCTAATTCCTTCAGTGATCTCCACTGTATTTATAATTTTAAAGAAGTATATCTTATTGAAATGCAGAAACAATTACCATGTTATATATCAGTAGTGTCATTTAGAATGTTTGGTAAACTATAGTCTCAGAAAATTTCTGTAGTTGGAATATTTGGTGTGTATTTTGTTGATACTTTTTTACTTATAAAATGTTAAAATGCATATTATTTTTCAGGGCAAAACTCTGATAGATAATAAACAAAGTTTAATTGAAGAACTCCAAAAGAGAATTAAAAAGCTAGAAAGCCAACTAGAAAGAAAAGTGGATGAGGTAGAAATAAAGCCTATGAAAGAAAAGGTATGTGGAGAAACATATTGATCTACTTAAGGTGGTGCAAGACTAAGTTAAATAAGTAATTGATGAATAGCTAATATACTATATTAATTTGAGGACCTAACATATTTTAAGTGATACTGAATAATGTAGAGAAGTCTAAGACAAGTGTACTTGAGGAGACCCGTATAATGTCACTCTTACTTGGAAATTACTACATCATGTCCATGTCATCTTCCTGACATCCAAAAATCTCTGCACATTTTGCTTATTTATTTATCACTTCTCCCAATGTAGTTGTTGACATTTGGTGATTTGACCTTTGGGGGAAAAGCTGGGCATTTTTCTCCTCTACCTTGACCCAAATGTGTCCTTTTATCCTTTAGTAGGCAGCACTGTTCTTTCAGGGTAAACAATGTGACTTGGAATATAGTCAGTATTTACAGCAAATTAAAGTAACCAACCCACTCTTAAATTGATTCTATAATGTAAGAAAAATGGCTTAAAATTTTCATACAATTTAAGTAAACTATCCTATCTAATAATAGACAAAGATGGTAATAGACTGCACCTTTACTACACCTACCATTAGCTAATCAGCACGATATGCAAAATAACCGCCAACAAAGATGACAGTTAATTTGCATACTGCAGGCAGGGCGGGACAGTGCGAGCCGCCATCCGGGCCCCATGTGCAGACCTGGGTGGCGGGGCTTAGGGGAGCAGGCCTAAGCCGCAGTCAGACATCCCCCCAAGAGCTCCCCAGCTGCCAGAGGGATGTCTGACTGACAGCTTAGTCCCGATCCTCTGGGGAGCAGGCCTAAGTTGACAGGTGGACATCACCTGAGGGGTCCCGGACTGCGAGAGTGCACAGGCTGGGCTGAGGAACCTCCCCTCCCCCGAGTGCACGAATTTTCGTGCACCAGGCCTCTAGTTTTATAATAAAAATTACTGATAGAGCCCTGGCCAGATGGCTCAGTTGGTTGGAGCATCATCCTGGTCAGGCACATGCTAAGGTTGCAGATTGATCCCTGATCAGGGAGCAACCAATCGATGTTTCTCTCTCACAGCGATACCTCTCTCTGTGTCTCACTCTTTCTTCCTTCCCCTCTCCAAAATCAGTAAAGATGCCCTTGGCTGAGGATTAAAAATAGAATTAATCAATCCAAAGAAAAACTAACATTAGCTAAAATATATGTAATTAATTTTGGATAAATGATAAACTGAAGACTTTTATCTTGTTGGTAGCATTGAAATATCAGTAGTGCCCTGGGAAATATTGATGCTAGTAGTAATGTTTGCCCCTGAAGAAAATCACAGTGGAGGAACTATGGTTAGGAAAAATTTATCCAGAAAATATTCGGTACCTATAAAATAAATTTTCATAACATGAAAACTACATATTTTAATGACTCTGTATAGAAAATAGGTAATGGGACTAAATGTTTTAACAGAGTACATTACAAAAAGTGTCAAAATTGACCAATGTCAGTATAATTTTGATGAAAATGCTTGCATTTATATACATGGAACCACAACATACTTGCTGTCAGAAGCTTTATTGGTGAAAACTGGAAGATCAAAATGTCTTTACCCTTCTAGATTGCTCTCTTTGCTCTCTCCTTCCTGGGGAAAAGGTCTAAATAATCCTTGGATACCAGTTCCTAATCTGATTGCCATCAGAATACCTCAATAGCCTTGTGGCTTTCCCTGGACTCCTAATCTGTTTCAGTTTATTACTCCTTAAATTAGATAATACTATTTCTATTAGCAATTTCTCAAGATTATTTTGACAGTGAAATAATTTGTGAAAGTTTTTTGTAAGCCATCAAGTTCATCCCAGTGTACGACGTTATTACTAACTAGAAATAAAAAGAGAACACAGAAAGTTACACTAATAGTAAAATTTATAGCTAGGAGTCTAGTGAGAATGTTCTTTCAGATTACACAGTGCTGGGCATTCCTAATTCATGAATGTTTTTATACTCAAAGAATCCTTTCATTGAGTATAAAAACAAATTTCAACACCTTTTCCTCTGTAAACAGTGTTTGTAGCCTGTCTGTATTTAAAAAAACCCACCCCGATGCCTTGCAGTCTTATTTTTCTTATGATACTTTACTTTTCTCCATAGGACTTATTACTATCTGACAGACTAGAGATTTCCTTAGCTATGTGTTCATCTTTTGGTCTGAAAGCTTTGATGGCAAGAAATGGCCTGTTTGGTTTATTGTTGTCTCCTTAGCACCTAGAAGAGTCCCTGACACATAGTAGAGACTCAGTATTTGATGAGTGAATGAAAAAATTTAAATGCAGTAACATTATTCTGAAATCTACATGTAAGAAGCTGTTGGAACAGAAAATATGAAAGGATTACTTCTCTCTCCATCCTCTCTTCTTGCCTTCTCTTCCCCAGTCTAGAACAGACCCTTGGTGACATTTGCCTTTGTTGTTTTTATTGTTGTTATTGTTCATTTTTAAATTTTTTTCTTTCCTAAATCTTACTTAAGAGGGTAATGTCAGATGGGATAGAATTACTCAATCCCTACAAAGCAATATATGATGCAGAAAAATTTGCCTACATACGTTATGCCCCCAACTAATATTTATATTTCTGGAGGTACATAAAATTCCTGGTTATATTTCAGGGGAAAAAAAAAAAGAAGTTAATGATTATCAAACACTTAGTGAAGTTTTTACATTTTTTTAAAGGATAATTTTTAGCTGAACTAAATAAAAGAGATTAAAAACTTAGCCAGTATGAGAAAGGTTAGTTTTGAGAGGGCAACGTTTTAAAAATGTTTTTTATTAATTTTTAAAGAGAAAGGAAGGGAGAGATAAAAACATTGATGAGGGAGAAACATCATTGATTGGCTGCCTTTGCATGCCCCCCTACTGGGATCCAGCCCACAACCAGGGCGTGTACCCTGACTGGGAATCGAACCAGCAACCTCTTGATTCATGGATTGACACTCAATCATTGAGCCACACCAGCTAGGCACCTTATGTTAGTTGGGCATTTGACTTTCAACTGGGTGTTTGACTTAAAGTTATGGTTGTTAACCCTTTCAACCCCAACATTCTTTTTTTATAGTAAATACAGTGTTTCATAATGTCTTCTTTACTATTCCAAATGAAAGTCCTTGTTAATATAAACTAGTACCTACATGCTTAATTTCAAATTTATCATTATAAATGTCCTAAATAAAAGATAAAGGAAAAGCATAAAAGAAAAAATTTATGAAAATAGTATATTTATATATTTTGCATATTTCAGCACATGTAAATGCTCTGGCATGACTACCCTAAAGTCATAATGGGGTAGTCTTGTCCTTGCATCTCTAGGTTGTGTTAATGTGAATTCAGAGCTATGAATTCAGACTAATACTAGTACAATATATTCTATTGGCAGCTCGTATGTCACAGTGGCATTTCCATTTATAATCTCATTTCTAAAATGATACACAATTGTTGGTACAGTTTTTAGCAAAATTATATGTACAGATTTTCCTTTTATAAGGCTGTTGGCATTCCTAGAAAGTTTATTACATAGTAAAATAATTAAAACTTGCTTGGTAGAATGAAGATATAAGTTCTTAGCTCAGATAGTTGTGAACAGAATTTTTAACTATATGAGTGCCCAGTAGGACATCTGAAACTTGTGCAGTACATGGACTGTTTTGCTCTTTTCTTGGACACTTTATCTTAATTATCACAAAGCATGACACCTATCCCTAAAAGGCCCTAATTCCTTCCCTGTCCCCCAGCCATTTTAGCACTTATGACACTAACATAACTACAATTTTTCTTTTCTTGTTTTTTGTTTGTTTTTTTTCTATATTTTGCTCCATTTCCCTAATCCATACACTCAACCAACATAAACTGGACTCTAATATTCATGAAGATAGGTTTTTTTTGTTAGATTTATTCATTGCTTCTATTCTTAGGTAGTACTTAGTACATATCTAGCACTAAATAAATAATTTGTTGAATCAGAAAAGTAACGTTCATTGAAGATTTGAAGGGGCCATGATGCTAGGATATTGCTATGGGGTGACAGAATTGGGTTGATCATTTACACATATAGATTCTTTGATACAAGCTTACTGTAGTCATGATTGTCTATTTTAAAAATCTTCATGTAAAGACTCCGTAAGGGTGTTATTATTAGTTCAAACTGTTCTCCAGAATTGTAATTGTCAAGTTATAAAATACAGGCTACTTAAACTGAAGGTCATTTTTGCTAATAGCTTGGCATGTCTAACAATTGTAGAAGTTAGAACCTATTTACTTATTTTCTAAGAAGAATTATTTTACCATTGTTCTAGTAAGTTGTAACTGATAACTCTTAAAATTGAAAATAATACTGGTAATTTTCTTCCTCCTTTATTATTGTTTATAGAGTGCTAGAGAAGAATTAATTAAGTGGGAAGAAGGTAAAAAATGGCAAAGCAAAATAGAGGGAATGCGAAACAAGTTAAAAGAGAAAGAAGGGGAAATCTATATTCTAACAAAGCAGTTGAATACTGTGAAGGATCTTTTTGCCAAGTGAGTGTAAAGTAAACCTAATTAATTATGTGTAAAGTCTTTAATTGACCTGGAAGTTATATAGTTTTATTGTTCTTGATACTATAAGAAATTCTCTAATTTTAATTATGAATTATTATCTATTATTTTTTATTTTCTTTCTTTAAAATGTGTTTTGAATATATTTTAACAACTTATAAATGGGGTTTCCTATAATTTAAAAATAAGTTAGCTCCTAGGAAATGCAGAACAATCTGATTTTTGTATATTGGTCTTGTAATGAATAAGCTGCAGTTCAATAAATTGAACAAGCCACCCAGTGGATGGTATGTTTTCATGTTTCTTATTTAATCCCACAGAGTTGATAAAGAGAAACTAACTTTGCAGAGGAAACTAAAAACAACTGGCATGACTGTTAATCAAGTTATGGGAGTGCAAGCTTTGGAGTCAGAAAAAGAGTTGGAAGAATTAAAAAAGAGAAATCTTGACTTAGAAAATGAGATATCATATATGAGGTACACTATTACTTGGAAATGTGCTATCTATACTAATAAAAGGGTAATATGCTAATTAGACCAGATAGACTGGATGTCTTCCAGACATCATTCCAGACATCCCTCCTGACAAAGCTGGGGGCATGGCAGGCCTGAAAACTGCCCGTGGCCCCTTGCCCAGGCTGGCCCCGCCCCAGCAGGGACTGCCACCCCAATCAGGGGCATGGCCAACCTGCAAACCGCTAGCAGCCCCTCACCCAGGCCGGCCCTGTCCCTAGCATGGACTTCCACCCCAATCCGGGGCCCCCTTAAGGCCAGGCCAGCTGGCCCCCATCCGTGCACCAGGTCTCTATGCTGTGTAATTTGCAAATTGACCCTAATGACAGAACAACCACTGAACCAGTCACTATGAGGTACACTGACCACCTCTTGGTTCCTTTCCCTGGCCGGCAGGCTCCAATCGCCTGATGGTGAACAGCGAACCAGGGGTGGGTGGTGGCAGGGGGCAGGGCCAGCTGAGGGCAGCTTGGGAAGATGGCCCTGATCACAGGCCAGGCCCAGGGACCATACCGGCGCATGAATTTTGTGCGCCAGGCCTCTAGTTCATTATAATGAAGGAAACTGGTTGACCCATAGAAACTGATAAAATACTAGTAAAAATGTTATGTATTTTAAAGTTGGGTTCTGTTGATGGCTTTTCTGAATTGAGATATTCCTTTTTTATATGCCATGTAATTTTGAATTGTATTCTTGAAATTTTGAATAATACAGGACACTGGATTTTGGTTAAATGCTCGGAAAATTCTATTATAATAAAAATAGCTACATAGCAGGTAGTTGGTCTGGATAGGTTCAGGCCCAAAATTCCCACCTGTTTTCTGTGGGCTGTGATTCCATTATCAGTGCTATTGGCATCTGTCCTGCCTGTGTACCTCCCAGTTGACAGTCTGGTACGTGTCTTCTCTCTGTTAGTTCAGTCCTCAGAGTCTTCAGTGTTCACAATAGGATCAGATCCATGCATGTACAGCTCAAGGGTGAGCCCAGAAGTTCATAAACAACTTTATAATTGTTGAAGCTCCTCCCTTTCTGTTTCCCTACAGCCCCTTTAGGTACTTTCAGCCAAATAGGCACTTTAGTTACCCTGTTATCCTGTGTACTTCAGCAATTGTGTACATTTGCAGCCAGGCAAACAACAGAAGGGCAGGAAGTAGGTGAGGGTAGGTGGGGGAACTACTTTCTTCCTACCACCTTACCAATCACAGCTAATTGGAGGAAATGATTTCCCTCCATAAAATTTTGCCACCTCTGGATTCCCATTGCTGTCTCTGCCACCACTGCCTATGGTATTGCTTGAGGGTTGAGGCATGAAAGACCAGACAGAAGAAAGAAAGAGTGAGGGATTCTTGTACTCTTCGCGCTAGAACTTGAAGGCTTCCCCAGAACACTCTCCCTCAGTGTTAATACTCACTTTAATGTTTCAAGTAATATGTTTGAGCTAGTAAATATCAGAGGAAAAGAAAACGTAAATTCATCACCTGTTTGCTAATACTTCAAAGTCTGGAATTTTGTCCCAATCTGTAAACTATTTAACTTTTCAAGTTCTTAAGTAGATGCTCCATGCATTTGGGAGACAAGATTGGGTGTGTTTACTCCACTTTACCTAGAACCAGAACCCTGAAGGCCACTTTTTAGTAAATACTTTGAGATTTTCCTGCTTTGCTGTCTCTTTCCAAGCTTTGTCTTGGTAGTACATAGAAAAATAAAATCATATCCTAACAACAGGAGTTAAAACCGTTTATAGATTTCTGTTTCACTCTTTTCTTCCAAGATGAAGGTAGATTTGCTTTACCTAATTCATTTCTTCCTCTTCAAGGTGTTTATAAATGATCTGGAATCATGTTAAATGATCATTGTAAAGTTGGGTACCTACCTATAATATTTGGATATGAGGATACTTAACATTCTTCAATTTATTCTACTTCGTTTTTCTTTCTATTAATCTTCAAAAATCACCATTAGTGTTTCTTCATTAACATGTCCTGTTGTGTCAGTATTAAGTAGTGTGAGCATGTGAAGTTGAACTCCTTTATAGGAATACTCATGAGCTTCTAACTTACATACCATCTGCTTTTCTTCTAAGTCAGCGGTTCTCAACCTGTGGGTCGCGAACAATGAAAATACATCCTGCATATTAGATATTTACATTACGATTCATAACAGTAGCAAAATTACAATTATGAAATAGCAACAAAAATAATTTTATGGTTGGGGGTCACCACAACATGAGGAACTGTATTAAAGGGTTAGGCATTAGGAAGGTTGAGAACCACTGTTAAGTCATTGTTTCCTTAATCCTTCAGAATTTCACTTGATGGAGAAGGAAAATGTGGTTGAAGAATTCTTCTTTCCTTTGACACCTATTTATAGTTACTATATGGTCTTGGCAGTGGCATCTTCCCTCTTATTTTTTTTTCTTAGTCAACCTATATATTCAGAGCAAAACTAAATCCTTTTATTCTCCTTTTCGGTTTTTACAGGAATCAAAATATTTTAGATTGAAAACTTCAAATACTTTAGAGGTTTAATTGCTCTTTTTTTCCTTAATGATGTGAATCTGTGTGGGCTGAAGTATTTGGAAAAGATTTTTTGTGGTCTATCCTTTGTCCTAACATGTGGTCTCTCTTTGTGAATGATCCGTGTGCACTTGAGAAGAATGTATATTCTGTTGCGTTGGGGTGAAATGTTCTATAAATGTCTATTAAATCCATCTGTCCTTCAGAGTTTTGGTCTGGAAGATCTGTCCAGTGAAGTCAGAGGGGTGTTAAAGTCCCCTACTGTGACTGTATTGTTATAAATCTCTTCACTAAAGCCCTCTAGAAGTTTTTTTATATATTTAAGTGCACCTATATTGGGTACATATATGTTTACCAGGGTTATATTCTCTTGTTGGATCTATCCCTTTAGGATTATGTAGTGACTTTTGTTGTCTCATGATGGCCTTAATTTTAAAGTCTATTATGTTAGATATGAGTATTGCTACTCCAGCTTTTTTTCCATTTGCAAGGAAAAATTTTTTCTAGCCCTTCACTTCCATCCAGTGTGTGTCTTTTGTTTTGAGGTGGGTCTCTTGTAGACAGCATATAGTTGGATCATGTTTTTGTATCCATTCAGTTACCCAACACCTTTTGATTGGAGCATTTAATCCATTTACATTTAGGGTTATTATTGAGAGGACCTTATTTATAGCCATTTTAATTCTGTATGGCCAGGTTTTCTCTCTCTATTTCTTCTTCTCAGCAATCCCTTACAGCAGTACCTTTAGCATGTCTTGTAATGCTGGCTTGGTGGTGATGAATTCCTTTAGCCTTTTTTTGTCTGGGAAGCTCTTTATTTGACCATCTATTTTTGAATGATAGCCTTGCTGGATACAGTAATATTGGTCTCAGGTCCTTGCTTTCCATTACCTTGAGTACTTCATGTCATTCCCTTCTGGCCTGTAGAGTTTCTGATGAGAAATCAGGTGTCAACCTTATGGGAACTCCTTTGTAGGTAACAGTTTTCTTTTATCTTGCTGCCTTTGAGATTCTCTCGTTGTCTTTAATTTTTGGCATTTTAATTATGATGTGTCTTGGCTGGGATCTGTTTGGGTTCTTCTTGTTTAGGGTTCTTTGTGCCTCCTGAACTTTTATGACTTTTTCCTTTACCAGGTTAGGAAAGTTTTCTACCTTATTTCTTCAAACACCTTCTCTATTCCTTTCTCCCTTTCTGTCCCCCTGGCACACCTGCTATTCTAATATTGGTATGTTTCACGTTGTCCTACAGCTCCCTTAAGCTGTCCTCCTGTTTTTTTAATTGCTTTTCCATTTTAGTTCTCTGATTAAGTCATATTTTCAATTCTGTCTTCTAATTCACTGGTTTGATCCTCAGCTTCCCCCATTCTGCTGTGTATTCCTTCCAATGTTTTCTTTAGTTGTGTTATGTCATTCTTTATCTCAGACTGTTCTTTTTTCATAGTTACTATATCTTTTTTCATACTGTTTAACATTTTTTTTTAAATTAAATCTTTATTGTTCAGATTATTACATTTGCTCCTCTTTTTTTCCCCCCCATAACTCCCCTCCTCCCAGTTCCCGCCCCACCCTCCGCCCTCACTCCCTACCCACTGTCCTCATCCATAGGTGCACAATTTTTGTCCAGTCTCTTCCCGCATCTCCCACACCCCTTTCCCCCCCAAGAATAGTCAGTCCATTCCCTTTCTATGTCCCTGATTCTATTATAATCACCAGTTCATTCTGTTCATCAGATTATTTATTCACTTGATTCTTAGATTCACTTGTTGATAGATGCATATTTGTTGTTCATAATTTGTATCTTTACCTTTTTCTTCCTCTTCCTCTTCTTAAAGGATACCTTTCAGCATTTCATATAATCCTGGTTTGGTGGTGATGAACTCCTTTAGCTTTTCCTTATCTGTGAAGCTCTTTATCTGACCTTCAATTCTGAATGATAGCTTTGCTGGATAAAGTAATCTTGGTTGTAGGTTCTTGGTATTCATCACTTTGAATATTTCTTGCCACTCCCTTCTGGCCTGCAAAGTTTCTGTTGAGAAATCAGCTGACAGTCATATGGGTATTCCCTTGTAGGTAACTGAGTTTCTTTCTCTTGCTGTTTTTAAGATTCTCTCTTTATCTTTTGCTCTTGGCATTTTAATGATGATGTGTCTTGGTGTGGTCCTCTTTAGATTCCTTTTGTTTGGGGTTCTCCACGCTTCTTGGACCTGTAAGTCCATTTCTTTCACCAGGTGGGGGAAGTTTTCTGTCATTATTTCTTCAAATAGGTTTTCAATATCTTGCTCTCTCTCATCTTCTGGCACCCCTATAATTCTGATGTTGGTACGCTTGAAGCTGTCCCAGAGGCTCCTTACACTATCCTCGCATTTTTGGATTCTTTTTTCATTTTGCTTTTCCGGTTGGGTGTTTTTTGCTTCCTCGCATTTCAAATCATTGACTTGATTCTTGCGCTCCTCTGGTCTGCTGTCGGGAGTCTGTATAATATTCGTTATTTCAGTCCGTGTATGCTTAATTTCTAGTTGGTTCCCCAATATAAGATCGAGGGTCTCATTAGTTTTCTTGTAGATCTCATTAAGTTTATCGGCGGCTTCTAAACAGTTCTTGAGAGACCTTAAAAGTGTGGTTCTGAACTCTATATCTTCCATTGACAATTTTGTCCTGTTTCTTTGTCTCCGCATTTTGTTATGCTTCCTTGGTGCACCCCCTAGTGGTCTTTGTGCGCAGTCTTATAGTTAAATCTTGATTGTTGTAGCTAATTCCAGGGAGGGTTTGACCTCCAGGCCAAGTGGCTATGAGAATCAGCTGTGTCAGCAGTGAGAGAACTTCTGTCTTCTAGGGAGGTGCTAATCTAGCGTTTGCCTGAGGCTATCCGGCAAATGCCTCTGTGCAGGGCTTGGGTGGGGCGGGTCGCACAGGATCAACAGGGTGGGCTGGAGAGAGCAGTTATGGCGGCTCTCAGTCCTGTCCCCAGGGGCTCTGCCTCTCTGAGTCCCAGCACCCGCTGCAAAGCTCGGAGAGAAAGCTGCACTCGCTCTGACCGAAGCCAGACAGTCCCGCTTCTCCCGTTTGAGTCTGGGTCGCTAAAGACTCGCCCGGATCTGGAGCTCAGAGTCTGCGACTCCCTCCCGATTGAAAACGCCAACCGCGCCCTCCGCCGCCAGCCCGCTCGCGCACTCCGCACCTCAGAATTTGACTTCAGCACTGCGCCTCCTCTGAGTGTCCGTATGCGTTTCTCTTTCCTCCTAGTTGTAGGACTTCCACTCAGCCAGCGTTCCTGTGGTTCTGGGTGATGTCCCTTCCGTTTTTTGGTTTCACTTTTGAAGTAGTTGTTCAAAGCAGCAAACTCCGGCGTTAACCTATGCCGCCATCTTGGTTCTCATACTGTTTAACATTTTTACCATCATTACTCTGCTGCCATATTTAATGTGAGGATCATTTTATAATGTAAATAGTCATGTCCTAATTTAATTTTATAAAGTTTATAAGTTTTTTTGAATTTAAAATAAGTACAGTGTAAATAAATATGTTATATATTTTCATTCTCTCCTGTATAGTTTAATATAAAAAACACAGTGAAAAGTTGAAGTTTGATAGTAAAGAGAGTGTGGTTGTTGTTTTTAGGACCCATCAGGCTCTTCCTCGAGATTCTGTTATAGAAGATTTACGTTTACAAAACAGATACCTCCAAGAAAAACTTCATGCTTTGGAGAAACAGTCTTCAAAGGATGCCTCTTCTAGGCCTTCTGTAAGTGCTTTTCTTTTCATATTTTTAATGGTCAACTTTGGAAGTAAAATCAATTTTTACCTTTATCTGGGCAAAACCAGTATATCTCTGTGCTTAATATGTATTAATACAATAAATTCAACTTTTATTTTTAGTAGTTACTGATATATATTAACTTCTTTAATCCTTCTTATATAATAACTGTAAACTTAAGATTCTTATGATGCTTGTATAACTTCATTACAAATGATTTCTAGAGACTTTAAATGTAGTTGTTATGAGTTTGCTGTGGCAAGACTATGCGATTAAGTAAAGTAGAAAAATATGTTATTGCATTATTATCCATCAAGCATGTGACAATGTTTTTAGTGTTCTTTATAAAGACTCATTAATGAAAAATTGTTAGACTCTTACTTTAAATCACTCAGTGTGTACCCTTTTATTATTGTTTTTCTTTTCTTTTCATGTTTTTTCTTTTTCTGCCTGAAGCAGAATCTGTTACATAACACAAGTACTCTTTCTATCCTTTCTAACAGTGTAAATAAATACAGGCACAATATTTTTCACAAAAAGAACACTTTATACAGGAATAACAACAACAACAACAAAACCCTAAGAGTGCTCAGAATTAAAAATGGGAAGGGAGCCCTGACTGGTTTGGCTCAGTGGATAGAGCGTCGGCCTGTGGACCGAAGGGTCCCGGGTTCAATTCCAGTCAAGGGCATGTACCTTGGTTGCGGGCATATCCCCAGTGTGGGGTGTGCAGGAGGCAGCTGATTGATGTTCCTCTCTCATCAATGTTTCTAACTCTTTATCCCTCTCCCTTCCTCGCTGTAAAAAATCAATAAAATATATTTAATAAAAATAAAAATGGGAAGGGAATAGTTACCAGTGACAACTTATATCATCAGGAATTGAGAAATACTCTACAGCAGCGGTTCTCAACCTGTGGGTCGCGACCCCTTTGGGGGTCGAACGACCCTTTCACAGGGGTCACCTAAGACCATCGGAAAACACATATATAATTACATATTGTTTTTGTGATTATACACTATGCTTTAATTATGTTCAATTTGTAACAATGAAATTGGGGTCACCAGAACACGAGGAACTGTATTAAAGGGTCGTGGCATTAGGAAAGTTGAGAACCACTGCTCTACAGTATCATAGTAAGAAGAGAAAACACAAAGCAGACTATGTTGTAGATCCTACTGAGTTAAATATACCTGAGGCAAGGCCAAACAATAAATCAGGTCTACTTAGGCTAAATGATGATACCTTGGCAGATTTTAACTCCAGTTTAGAAAATGATCCATATCCTGAAATTGAGAAAATTAATCAAGACTGTTGTGAAAATAATAAGCAGGAATATAAAGTCAAAGAAGAGAATGAACTAGTGAAGAATGGGAAAGGAAAGGAACACATAGCTGAAGACCTCAGTCACAGCAGCTGCACAGACCCAGAAGAATCTCCCGGGGAGGACCAGGCTCCTGCCGCAGTTGCTGCTGCAGTGGATCAATGTGCTGAGGAGGCTAACTCTGAGACTGACGTACCAGTCCAGCCAGGAAATGGCGGGCCCCAGGTTTGAGTACATGGCAGTCCTTTATTTCTTTGGTAGCTGAATTTTCTTATAGCAAGTAGTATGCATATGTAGTACAAATGAAAAAGTTGTGTAGGATTTGTAAAAGATATTAATTATTAGTAAACTTCTCCTTAAACTAACATTTGACTAGTTCTTACAAAATTAATGATTATGCATTTCCTAAATCATTTTAGTACTCCCTGTTTTACCATTGGTGCTCACTTGAAATGATTAGATTAGGTAACAGAGTAACAAAAGTAAGGCACTTTAGAGGTGTTTGTTTTGCCTTAGAAATTTCTAATTCAGCATGCTATAAAATCTCAATACAAGTAAAATTTCATACAGTGAAAATATCAATAAAAATTTGTTGTGATGCTGTGTGACATTCTAACATACATAGCAAGTTCCTTCAGTGGTTTTTTTTCCAGGTATTATAAAGATACTTTTTTATAATGAAAAAAGGGAACTTACATGTATTGCTATCTATGTTGTGTTAGACTCTCTATCTGCGTTTAATATCCACAATACTTTGCAGATTATTATTGGTGATTTACATGGGAAGCTTAGAGAATAACATCTCTAGTGATTGATGCAGAACACTTCCTCTCTCTGTAACCAATCAAAATATGTTTAAAACAAAAGAATTACTTATAAAAAAAAACATGCAGAACAGAATTTCATTGCAGGTCTAACAGCCTAACTCTACAGTTTATGAACTTTTTGTGTACACATCCTTTTGGGCAGTTTACACAATGTGGAATAAGACAAGTTTTTTCCCAATTGAAGTCAAATAGCATTTCTTTTTTTTTTCTTTATCCTTTCCACCTTAGATATTTCAGTCACCTAAGTTCTCAAAACACTTACTAAAATCACACCTTTAAATGTTCAGAGAAAATGGATGAAAGTTAATTCTCATTTCTTTTGTCAGGTTCATAATGGTTCCTTTTCCGCCCACTACATAAGTAACTGAGAATTTGAGACTTTCCACTTTATAGAAAAAAGTAATCAAGCACAGATTTCTCTTTCAAATAACCTGTGGTTTAGAATGAGATTAAAAATGAACATAAGTAAAACCTAAGGAGGATTTATGCCAAGAGAAATGCAAATATACTGTTCCTGATGAGGGAGTGATTGCTTCAGCTCAAGGAATGAGGAAAGCTTTCAGAAGGAGGAAGGAATTGACGCACTTATTTTTGTAGGCTTGTGTGTATTGGTTTGCTATGGCTACCATAACAAAGTACCACAGATATGATGGCTGAAATAACACGAATGCATTCTCACAGTTCTGGAAGCCAGAAATCCAAAATTAAGGTATTAGCAGGGTTAATTCCTTCTTCAGGCTGTGAGGGAGTATCTGTCCAGCCCTCTCTCATTATCTGTTACCTGGCAGTCTTCTCCCTGTGTCTTCACATGTCATTCTTTGTTATATGTCTGAGTGCAAATTTCCTTTTTGTGTAAGAACACTAGTCATTGGAGTAGGGCCCAACCTAATGACCGTATTTTAACTTGATTTTCTCTGCAAAGGCCCTATCTCCAAATAAGGTCCTGAGGTACTGAGAGTTAGGATTTCAGCATATGAATTTGGGAGTGGGGTACAGGTAGAGTATAATACAGTCATACTTTATTATTGGACTGAAAATAAAAACATTAAAGTTTAGTTGTTATGAGAGTATTTATGGAAGCATTCATTATATGTGTAGATGCTGTTAAGTGATACTTGACTTTTCTTTCAATATTAATTAAAATATATGACCTTTTCTCCTGCAAATTTTATATTCTTACTTATTTTTGGTTGTTTTCGCCAGAGCTCTCCATATTCTTTTGAGGAAAATGTTCCATTTTAGCATTGTGTTTTCTGATTCAGTATGTCTTATGCAGGTTTTATTTATTAAATCTTAAAAGTATTTCTAACTGTATTTTCCTGAAGACTTCAGAAATAGAGTCAGATGATCATTGGCAAAGAGAACAGGAGCTTCAGAGGGAAAACTTGAAGTTGTCATCTGAAAATATTGAACTAAAATTTCAGCTTGAACAAGCAAATAAAGATTTGCCAAGATTGAAGGTAAATTTAGTATTCTTTATTACAGTTAGGAAATCTAATGCCTGAAAACCATTTTCTTCCTATTTAATTGTTATGCTTACCATATTCGTTTATGAAGAAGTAAAAAACTCATATTCATAAAAATGTTATACTTTCTACATTTATTCTTTTAACAATTATTTGTTGAGGGCCTACTTTGTTGGTTTTTTTTTTAAATATATATATTTTATTGATTTTTTACAGAGAGGAAAGGAGAGGGATAGAGAGTTAGAAACATTGATGAGAGAGAAACATCGATCAGCTGCCTTCTGCACACCCCCTACTGGGGAGATGCCCGTAACCAAGGTACATGCCCTTGACTGGAATCGAACCTGGGACCCCTCAGTCTGCAGGCCAACGCTCTATCCACTGAGCCAAACCAGTCAGGGGAGGGCCTACTTTGTGTCAAGCACTCTTCTAGATGCTGAGAAACAGCAATGAAAAAAATCTTGCACTCAAGGAATGTACATTTTAGTGGGGAAGGCTGATAAACAAGTATACAGGTCAATATCTATAATAATAAAAGTGTAATATGCAAATCAACCAAATGGCTGAACAGTGGAATGACTGTCCAGACAACCTTCTGGACAAAGCCTGGGCTGCGAGGGCGGCCCTACTCTTCGCCCTGCGAAGGCAAAGGCCTACTCTTGCATGAATTTTGTGCACTGGGCCTCTGGTAGGATGATAAGAGGATAATCGACTGAACAGTGGAACGACGGGTCGCTATGACGCACACTGACCACCAGGGGTCAGACGCTTAATGCAGGAGCTGCCCCTTGGTGGCACAGTGGGAGTGCTGCTCCTCCAGAAACCCTGACCCAGGCTCATGGCTGGTGAGCGCAGTGGTGGTGGCAGGAGCCTCTCCCACCTCCATGGCAGCACTAAGGATATCAGACTGACGGCTTAGGGGAGTGGGCCTAAGCCATCAGTCAGACATCACCCAAGGACTCCGGGATTGCGAGAGGGAGCAGGTTGGGCTGAGAGATGCCTCCGAGTGCACGAATTTCATGCACCAGGCCTCTAGCCCTATATAATAAAAGGCTAATATGCAAATAGACCAAATAGCAGAACAACTGGTCACTATGACATGCGCTGACCACGAGGGAGCATGCGCAGAACATGGCAGGCGTCGGCCGTGGTGGGATGGTGGAGCAGGTGAGCGGGGGTGCCAGACCAAGGCGGGGCACTGGTCATTGTAATCGGGGCGAGCCTCTGGTGGTTACTGAAAATTGTTTGCTCCTGTGTGCCGTGGACCCACCGGCGCTCACACCTGCTGCTGACACTGGCCCTGCTCACACCCGCTGTTGGCACCAGAGCTGCCACTTGCACCCACTACTGGCACTGGAGCCACAGGTCATACACACTGCTGGTGACGGCCCTGCTCGTACCCCCTGCCAGCACCGGAGCCGCCGCTTACACCCACTGACAGCGCCTGGCACTGGTCCCGATCGCTTGGCGCCATCAGCGGGTGGGAGTGGTGGCTGCCAGCCCCAAATGCCCCTGAGGGCTTCTCCATCTCCCACTACTCCTGAAGGGCAATCGGGGCAGCAGCCACCACTTGCACCCACTGTCGGTTCCAGCCCTGCTCGCACCGTTGTTGTCGCCAGCCCCAATCGCTCCATGCCGTTAGCATGTAGGAATGGTGGCAGTGGGAGTGGGGCTGCTGGCAGACAGGGGAACAAGGGCCACAGTGGGAGGGGCCGGGCAGGGGCATGGAGGATGGCCCGAGACCCGCTATTGTGCCCACTGTAGCCTCACAGCCCACAGTTCCTTTTGAGGTGCACAAATTCGTGCACTGGGCCCCTAGTCTATCCTATCTAATAAAAGAGAAACATGGTAATTAGTGTGCGTCTGCTACTTTTCCCATTGGCTAATCAGTGAGATATGCAAATTAACTGCCAGCCAAGATGGCAGCCGGCAGCCAGGCAGCTTGAAGCTAACATGAGGCTTGCTTGCTTCAGTGACGGAGGACTCCAACGTTCCCGCCTGCCTTGCCGGTCTCTGAGCTTGCAGTTTAAAATATTGTTACAAATATAGAAGCTAAACAAAACCCCAGAAACCTGCTTTCAGCCCCCCAGGAACTCAGAGCTGGAGTTGATACAGTGTTTCGATTATAGAACCCAAACAAACCAGATACCAGCTTTCAGCAGCAGAGGCCTCAGAGCTGGAGCCAGAGCTAAAGCTGGCCCAGAATAAAAAAAGAAAAAGAAAAAAAGGAGCGGTTGGGAGCTTCAGTCACCCGCCAGCCTGAAAACAGCCCTCAGCCCCTCACCCAGACTGGCCAAGCACCCCAGTGGGGACCCCCACCCTAAAGGGTGTGTGACCAGCTACAAACAGCCATCATCCCCTCACCAAGGCTGGCCAGGCACCCCAGTGGGGACCCCCACCCTGATTCAGGACACCCTTCAGGGCAAACCAGCCGGCCCCCACCTGTGCACCAGGCCTCTATCCTATATAGTAAAAGGGTAATATGCCTCCCAGCACCGGGATAAGCGGAGCTGAGAGGCCTCCTGGCACCGGGATCAGTGTGACAGGGGTCAGTGCCCAAACCCCCTGATCGCCCTGCGGCTCTGTGTGTGACGGGGGTGGGGCCACAACCTTTCTATCTGCCCTGCTCTGTTCATGACAGGGGAAGGCGCCCCTACCCCCTGATCAGCTCTGCTCTGTGCCTGATAGGGGGGAGCTCCCCAACCCCCTGATCTCCCTGCGGCTCTGTGTGTGACAGGGTGCGACACCCCAATCCCCTGATCGGCCCTGCTCTGTGGGTGATAGAGGGCGGCGCCCCAACCCCCCCTCCACGGGCCCTGCTCTGTGTTTGATGGGGTAGAGCCATAACCTCCCCATCGGCCCTGCCCTGAGTGTGACAGTGGCGGTGTCCCCCCCTGATCAGCCCTGCTCTGTGTGTGACGGGGGAGTTCCCCAACCCCCTGATGGGCCCTGCTCTGTGCGTGACAGAGGGCAGTGCCCCAACCCTCTGATTGGCCCTGCTCTGTGCGTGACAGGGTACGGAGCCCCAACCCCCCTGATGGGCCCTGCTCTGTGCGTGACGGGGCAGCGCCGCAACCTCCCCATCGACCCTGCCTTGAGTAGGACAGGGGGCGGTGCCCCAACCCCCCAATCGGCCCTACCCTGAGCGTGACTGAGGGTGGCATCACAACCTCCCGATCCGCCCTGCTCTGTGCATGACAGGGGCGGCGCCCCAACTCCCCAATCGGCCCTGCTCTGAGCCCGACCAGGGGCTGCACCTAGGGATTGGGCCTGCCCTCTGCCACCGGGAGCAGGCCTAAGCCAGCAGGTCGTTATTTCCCGAAGGGTCCCAGTCTGCGAGAGGGCACAGGCCGGGCTGAGGGACGTCCCCCCCCCCCCCCCGAGTGCACAAATTTTCGTGCACTGGGCCTCTAGTATATATATAAAAGGCAAGCAACTGGAACGACCGGTCACTATGACAGGCAGTGTGGCCAGCCAACTGGCCCGATGGAGGTGGGCCCGGCCGGCCCACCTCCCACAGCCCCTCCCCTGGCCAGCCATCCCTGATCTGCCTGATCAGGGCGGGCTGGCCAGACCCCATCCGTGCACGATTTCATGCACATGCCTCTAGTATAGTATGTCAGCTTATGTTAAGTGCTAAGGAGAAACGGCATGGTTGATGTGAATGTGGTGTGTGAGGGGGAGGTGGGGGGTTGAGGAATTGCTATTTAAAATATCGAATTGCCCTGGCCGGTGTGACTCAGTTGGTTGGGCATCGTCCCGTGCACTAAAATGATTCCTCATCATGGTACATGGCTGGGATGTGGGCTTGATTCCAAGTAGGGGGCATATAGCGGGTAGCCAATTGACATTTTGCTCTCACATCGATGTTTCTCTTTCCCTCTCCCTCTCTCTCTAAAACAAACATGTCAAACTCAAAGGCTAACATGAACCAAATAAACAAGGTTTAAGTTTATGTGGGCCACAAAAAAACAAAAGCTTCAATTTTCATAGAAACGTAGGTTTATTTCGATAGAGACATGCTGAATACAAAGGACTAAAATAAATGAGACATAGTTATCATAAAATAATAGAATATTTTAATAAAATTAATATTTTTTCTTGTACATTAACTTACCAGACACTGAATAACTGCACAAATTAATAAATGTAGCTCAAATAAACCTATTTTTCTTGTTCTCTGAAAGCACAATATTTCCCATTGCGCACGCCAAACAAGTCAGTCTAAGGCTAATGACGTGGCAGTCGGCTGCTAAAATATTCGCTGCTAGTATTAGTGGGGAGAAATGGTACACCTGTATGTAAGGCGCATAAGGAAATGAATGCAACATGATTATAGTAATAAGTCATTAGCAAACGTTATAATTCGTTATTAATAACTAGAGGCCCGGTGCACAGATTCATGCACTGTTGGGGGGTCCCTTGGCATGGCCTGCGGGGATCAGGCCAAAACAAGAAGTCCAACACCGCCTGCCGCTCCTGCCTGCTGCTCTTGCTCATCTTGGCCCCACTGTGCCTGCCACCACCGCCACTCAGTAGGCTTGCCGCTACTCCGCTGTGGTGTCCGCCCGCCCATCCTAGTATGATACTGGCGTGCCCATGACCAGGAAGCAGCCGTGGGCTCGCACCCAGCCGGTCCAATCCTGGTCCTGGTCCTGGTCCTGGTCCAAATGGGGGAGGGGTGCGCAGGGGAAGTTTCCACAAGAGAGGCTCATGCCACTGCAAATGCGCTCGCCAGCTGTGAGCCCAGTGTCTGGTGCCTATCAATCAGCTGAGCAGCGCTCCTGCTGTGGGAGCGCATTGACTACCGGGGGCAGCTCCTGCATTGAGAGTCTGCCTTCTGGTGGTCAGTGCACATCATAGTGACCAGTTGACCAGTTGCTTATGATTTTATATACATAGATTATGTATAACAGGATATTTTAGAAATTAAGTTACAAAATTTTTATTAAAATACTAGGGGCCTGGTGCACAAAATTCATGCACTGGGTGTGGGTGTGGGGGGGGGGGGAGCGTCCCTCAGCCTAGCCTGCCCCCTCTCACATACTGGGAGCCCTCAGGCGTTGACCCCCATCACCCTCCAATCGCAGGATCGGCCCCTTGCCCAGGCCTGACGCCTCTGACAGAGGCATCAGTCCTGGGCAGGGGACCCTCATTTCCCCCCATCACTGGTTCTGCCCCCAGCCCAGGCCTGATGCCTCTGACCCAGGCGTCAGGCCTGGGCAGGGGACCCCCAGACCCCTCCGATTGCTGGCTCTGCCCCTTGCCCAGGGCTGATGCCTCAGCCAGATGCGTAGACCTCCATCACCCTCCTATTGCCTGATCGGCCCCTTGCCCAGTTCTGACGCCTCCGCCAGAGGTGTCAGGCTTGGACAGGGGACCCCCATCTCCCCCCGATCACTGGCTCTGACCCCTGCCCAGGCCTGAGGCCTCTGGTCCAGGAATCATGCCTGGGCAGGGGACCCCCATCTCCCTCTGATCGCTTGCTCCACCCCCCGCCCAAGCCTGACGCCTCTGACCCAGGCTTCAGGCCTGGGCAAGGGGACCATCATATCCCCCCAATCCCCGGCTCCGCCCCCCACCCAGGCCTGATGCCTTTGGCCCAGGCATCAGGCCTGGGCAGGGGACCCCCAGCCCCCTGACCAGGCCTGATGCCTCTGCCAGAGGAGTTGACCCTCATCACCCTCCAATCACCAATCACCGGATCAGCCCCTTGACCAGGCGTGAGGCCTCCAGCAGAGGTGTCAGGCCTGGGCAGGGGACCCCCAGCTCCCCACGGTTGCAGGCTCCACCCCTGCCCAGGCCTAACGCCTCTGGCCTAGGCGTTAGGCCTGTGCAGGGGATTCCCAGCTCCCCACGATCTCCCGCTCTGCCCCTGCCCAGGCCTAACACCTCTGGCCAAGGCATTAGGCCTGGGCAGGGGACTCCCAGCTCCCCGCGATCTCCCGCTCTGCCCCTTCCCAGGCCTAACGCCTCTGGCCAAGGCATTAGGCCTGGGCAGGGGACCCCCAGCTCCCTGCGGTTGCAGGCTCCGCCCCTGCCCAGGCCTAACGCCTCTGGCCTAGGCATCCGGCCTGGGCAGCGGGGACCCGCAGTGGCAGCGGGGGGCGCCGCGATCGCGCGGGCTCCGCCCCTGCTCCTGCAGGACGCCTCTGGCTGAGGCGTCTGGCCCGGGCAGTGGGGACCCGCAGCTGCAGCGGCCCCGCGATCATGGGCTCCGCTTTAGGCCCAGGGAAGGGACCCCTAGCTCCCGGGACTGCCAGCTTCAACCGTGCCCAGCTCCCATCGCTGGCTCCACCCCTACTTCCTGCTATCACTGGCCAGGGCGGCAAAGGCGCCTGATTCTCTGATCATGGCTGGGGGGCAGGGCAAAGGCCGCCCCAGGGCCGCCTTTGCCCTGCCCCCCAGCTCTTAGCTCCCCCCTGGTTTTCCGATCACTGTCAGTGGCAGGGGGCTTCTTCCTGCTTTCCCTTTCGCCTCCCTGCATTGTGCCTACATATGCAAATTAACCGCCATCTTTGTTGGCAGTTAACTGCCATCTTAGTTGGCAGTTAATTTGCATATAGCCCTGATTAGCCAATGAAAAGGGTAGCGTCATACGCCAATTACCATTTTTCTCTTTTATTAGTGTAGACTTCTTACAGACCGTTACATTGGTTGGGCTGCAGAAATATTCGTTGTGGGCCACATGTGGACCATGGGCCACAAGTTTGACATGCTTGCTCTAAAAATAATATAATAATAATAATAATAATAATAATAAATAAAAATTTTTAAAATACCCTAGTAAGGAAGCTCTGCCCAGTAGCTCAGTTGGTTAGAGCATTGTGCCAATACACCAAGGTTGCAGGTTCGATCCCTGTTCAGGGCACATACAAGAATCAACCAAAGAATGCATACATAGTGGAACAACAAAGCAATGTTTTCTCTTTCTCTCTCAAATCAATCAATTTAAAAAATATATGGTAGTTAGCAAAATATGATATTTTAGCAGATAGCTAGGGACAAATAAAGAAGTGGGTCATGCAAATAATTGAAAAAGAGTTCCAGACAACAAATAGCAAGTTCAAATGCCCAGCACTAAGAGGATTCCTGGTGTACTTCATTAACAGTTTTCACACTTTAAGATATTAGGATATCTCTAAAAAAAAATAAATCTTAAAATTAAAAATATATTAGGTTAATTGTCTCTCTTAGAAATGTTATTTATTTTGATGTTTGTATAAAGTTTATCTTTGGTTTTTCAAATCTTATGCTATTTATGGGAATCTTCTTTTTCTCTTGGCTGGTTAATTGTTTCAGTTCTGTTTCTAAACCTAAAATATCAGCAATCTGTTAGTTCCACTGGTAATCATATAATTTATCTATTTCTTGCTTCACATTGTGATTTTTACACTGTTAGAGCCAGTGTTAGAAGTTCAGTTGTCTGTTTCTCTATACCAGGGGTTCTCAACCTTCCTAATGCCGCGACCCTTTAATACAGTTTCTCATGTTGTAGTGACCCTCAACCATAAAATTATTTTCGTTGCTACTTCATAACTGTAATTTTGCCACTGTAATGAATCATAATGTAAATATCTGATATGTAGGATGTATTTTCATTGTTACAAATTGAACATAATTAAAGCATAGTGATTAATCACAAAAACAATATGTAATTATATATGTGTATTCCGATGGTCTTAGGCGACCCCTGTGAAAGGGTTGTTCGACCTCCAAAGAGGTTGCGACCCACAGGTTGAGAACCGCTACTCTATTCCAAATGGGTTTACATATGTAATTTATGGGACATTTAAAATCAGGGTCCTAAACTCAAATTTATATTGCACATTAAGGCAAAAATAGTTCTTGAAATTCATATACATAATACGCTGTATTTATACACTTTAATTCAACATATGTATTAGTTCAAAATCCTTTTTGTTGCTAGAGATCCACTAGTTGAGTTTGGCTATTCATTTATAGCGATTGCTAGTTCAGATGCATGGTTTATCTTTTCTTTCCTATTGCGGTAGCTGTGTTAAATTGTTATATGTTTGCTTTTAATCTTACAGAATCAAGTAAGAGATTTGAAGGAAATGTGTGAATTTCTTAAAAAAGAAAAAGCAGAAGTTGAGCGGAAACTTGGCCATGTTAGAGGGGTAAGTTTTGGAGAATATGCCATATATTTGTTTTGGTTTCAGAAGTGGAAATGAAAAAGTAAGTATGGGTATGTCCTAACAGCAGTGATATGCCTTTACTAGTTTACAGTTTCAGTTTTTATTCTGCTGCATCTACAATATAAAACATTATTAAGCTTTTCTGTGTTTCAAGTTAATGTTTTATCATCTGTCACACCTACATGCATTTTATTTCACTTGTACTCCACTTCATCTCTTTTTTTGTTGCATATCTTTCCACACCTTGAAAACATTTAACTTTCAGGAATCATCCTTTTGTTCATTAAGGTAACTACTAAGTGCTCCTTGGTCCAATTCTAACATTTTGTAATTATTTTATGCTGTCCACAGCAACTTCTTAATATAATGCTCTGTAAACATGTTTCCCAAATTTTTTTTTTATTATTGCTTTTTTCTTTCCATGTATTTTGTATTCACCTTTTACAATAAATAAATGTTGCCTACGAGGTCAAGACCAAATATTTAACCCCTGTTGATATATTGTTAACTGGTACAAGTGGAAGCAATCATAATGGACAAAAGCTTTGTCAAGTAATAATCTTAAATATGTGATAGATTTGATAAAAATATTTAATGTCATTACAAAAGTATTCAGACAAATATCTGTTGGCAGTCAGCAACATTCATTTCATCAATAAAAATCTATTTGTTAATTTAACCTTTTCTAAGTTAATTATGAAAGTATTATTGAAATTATGTAAAAGTTTATATTTTAGGGTTATTTATTACAGTGTGAATACTGCATAAAATGCCAAACAAGTAAGCAGATTATTTTACTTGACTATTAAAAAACTTTTTACTTTAAATTATAAGCAGTTAAACTTATTAAGTGCTTACCCAGCTCTTTTGATAACTTTACACCAGGTTTTTAATTTCAGCTATCTCTTCTATTAGTCAGAAACTGAATTTCTAGTCAATGGTTATTCTTAAAGAAAATCATCTTTGTTATGCTGCAATTCAAATTTGATAACTTATGAGCTCTTTAAAGACAATGTGTGTGGGGGTTTAGGGGGTTATCAAATATAAAGAAAACTGGTATATTGTAATGAACATTAGCTAAATAGAATATTTAGGTTCTTATGTTTATTTATTTGGAACAGGCATCAAGGATAGAGTATTTAAGCTGTTACTTAACAGCTGCATGACTTTAGGAATATCAAATCTTTGACTCTTAATTTTCTTGTATGTAAAATGAGAATTATAATTCTCAGAGGGTTATTATAATGATAAATTGAAATAATATAAGCTCTGGCTTCAAATGTTAGAAATCAATAATATGAGTATAATAATGAGTTTGGTATGTTATTATTACTTTATATTATATTCTCTAAAATATTTAACTTAATTGAAAGTTAATATATTCTTTTGTAGTCCGGCAGAAGTGGAAAGACAATCCCAGAACTAGAAAAAACCATTGGTTTAATGAAAAAAGTAGTTGAAAAAGTCCAAAGAGAAAATGAACAGTTGAAAAAAGCATCAGGAATACTGACCAGTGAAAAAATGGCTAATATTGAGCTGGAAAATGAAAAGTTGAAGGTAATATTTTAAATATGATCATTTGTATGGAATATTTTACTATTATAATTTTTATTAATTTTTAAAGGAAAATTTTAAATATCCATCTACATAAATGGCTTTAATGACTGCAGGAGATATTTTGCACATACAGAAAAGCTTACTGGAAACAAGACTAGGGGTAGTTAGAATAACTATTTGATCATTTTATTATTTCAAGACCAATGGTTCTTATTCTGGCAGCATAAAATTAATTACTTGTATCTATTTTCAAAAATATAGATGCCTAAGTCCCCATCCTGGGATTGATTAGATTCCTCTGGGGTGGGTGCTATCATAGGTATTGTGATTTAAAATTTTCAAGTCATCAGTTCATTATAGTGTGTATAAGCAGGGTTGGGAACCTATGCTGTAGATGACTAGTATTAGATAGAAGACTTTAATTATAATTACGTCAAATATTATCTTTGCAACTACTTTGAATTAAGTTTGATAAGTTTATAAGATCATCTTTTACTGTATTTCATTGTTTTAATAATGTACAGTTAATTTTTTATTGCTAGGCTGAATTAGAAAAACTTAAAGCTCATCTTGGACGACAGTTGAGCATGCACTATGAATCCAAGACCAAAGGCACAGAGAAAATTGTTGCTGAAAATGAACGTCTTCGTAAAGAACTTAAAAAAGTATGACTTTCATTAGGGATTATAATTTTATGTTAATTAACTAATACATCTTGGAAAAACTGAATGAAAAAAGTTGATGGCATGTTTATTCAAAGTAGTTACTAAGGCTTCTGTGAATTATGTTTTTATTTTTGCCATCCTTTCACCATGAGGAATGTTGAAAATAAAAACTTAATGAATTAAGAGGCAGTATAATGTAGAAGCTGGGATTTAAATCTTAGCTCTGTCATTTATTAGCCATGGTAACTAGGTGAAACTACTAACCTGTATCCCTAGTTTCCTCATCTGTAAAGTTGGGAATAATAAGTATATCTGTTTTACAGAGCTGCTGTAGGGTTTAAGTGAGTGACTTTTTGTACACATGACTTAGAACAATGCCTACTGTGCAGTAAGATGTATATGAAACTGTTTTGTTAAATGAGCAGTAAGATTCCTTTCGAAGTAGCAAAATATATTCTTTGCCCGAACAAGTAGGTATTATTATTTATATGGATGATCTAGTGAATAAGTTGAAATTAGTATTTTTAATGTTTCCCTTTTTTATTAAATTTATTGGGGTGATATTGGTTAACATGATCATATAAGTTTCAGGTGTGGGTTTCTATGTTACTAAGATCTGTATATTGCACTGTGTATCTACCACCCAAAGTCGAATCTTCAGAGTGATGCCATTCTTTGAACATGGGTGTTTAATAGTGGAAATAATCTGTGGTACTTATACATAATATATGCGTATGGGTAGGTCTCTCAATTAGAGTCAAAACAAAACATTTTTAATGTGTAAAGACATAAACTACCCATTATTCTGTAAGTATTATAGACAACGATGACAAACTTAAAGTAACCAAACAAAATGACAAATTTAGAGTAACCACTAGAATTAAATACTTGTAAATATATTTTTCTAACCCCATTTAAGTGATCTGTTGTTCTAATTATTCTGATTATATTGCTGTTTTAGAGTAAAGCAACATGGGATTTTTATTGGAATTTTAATCAGCATTTAGAACTCCAGATTATTTTTATTTTCTAATTTATAGTGATCATTTTGAATATATTGCATCTGTGACAACAGTGTGACATTTTGTCATAATATACTAATTAGCTCTTAATGACAGGAAACTGAAGCTGCAGAGAAATTGCGGATAGCCAAGAATAACTTAGAGATATTGAATGAGAAGATGACAGTTCAGCTAGAAGAGATGGGAAAGAGGTTACAGTTGGCGGAAAGTAGAGGTCCACAGCTCGAGGGTGCTGACAGCAAGAGCTGGAAATCAATTGTTGTTACAAGGTACGAATAAGTAGTCTAAAACTAAAACACAATTGAATTAGTTCTAGTTCTGCCATTTTAAAAGAATATGACATTCTTCTGATTCACTTAGTTCTTTCCTGATGAACTGTTCGGTGGTTTGTTTTAACATGATACTTATTCTTTTTTTGATCCTAGCATTGCCAGAGTCTTTTTCTTCCTTCAACTAATTTGGGTGGCAGGGCCTGGGACAGAGCAGAGCTGAGCTGGGCTGAGCTCCTGGAGCTGGATGGGCATCTGGAGGCTGCTGTCAGCCAGGTGCCTAGACTGCTGTGCCATCTCCTCCTGGGCACTGCTTTTGTCCAGCTTACTCAAGTATAAGCCAGGCATAATTGAGCCGTTTTGTCACAACCTGTGGCACATTGGTTCTGGCCCGGGCTGTCATTTTGGCATTGTATTCTGTGCAACTTGTTCTTTAAATAACCCCAACAGATGAATTCAGCAACCACTGTAGTGTCTCACTGGCCTCTGCTCCCTTTCACTTGCTTTTCTCCTACTCCGTGAACCTTTTCTACAAGTATGTGTGGTGCCTGACTGTCAAATAAACCTTGTGGCTATGAAAGAGGTGATGGGAATTCACAAGGAAACATTCCTGTGTGCATTGCCACTGTCACTTCAGTCGTTCATCATGACTGATGAGTCAATAAAAGGCTTGATGTCAATCTCATTTCCAACCATAAGCAGCTGCTTATCCTATATAATAAAAGCACAGTATGTAAATTGTCCCCTCAACTGGGAGTTTGTCCGGGAGTTCAACGAGGTGGCGGGGCCAGCCAGGCGAAGGGAGGGAGTACCTGGCCAGCAGCCGGCAGCCACTAGGGACCCTACCAGTGTACAAATTTCGTGCACTGGGCCTTTAGTAATAGTACAAAAGCCTATTTAGTAATAGTACAAAAGAATGGGCAATGAAATCTTGCCCATTCTTTTCCCATTAAAGCCATCCTGTATTACTTGTGTTCTTTATTTCTGCTGGCCCCATTTCAAAGGCAAACACATCTTTATCTTCCCATATTCGTAGGGTTCTTTATGTCCATGCATCCCTAGTTTCCCTTTCATTGTTTACCTGCTATTTAGGATGGACTTGATGAGGGATGGGATGGCAATCACCACTCCTACAACTAGGATGGAAGCCTCAGCATTGTGAGGCTACAAGTCCCTTAGTGGACCTGCACTTGGCTGACAAGACTTCCTTGTCAGCCAAGTCTAAGGAAAAAAGAAGGTTATGCAGGTAATTAGAGGGCAGCCCAGGTGGCCAGGCGGTCCTGGTGAGGGGTCCTTGGTTCCTGTCCTAATATACTGAGAAATCAAAGCCACTGTTCCCCATTCTAGCCTTCTCTTACTCCCGTCAGAGGGCAAGTGTAGGAGCTAAGTGAAATAACGTGTAACAGGATAAAGGGGAGAAGGTGTTTCTTCTTTTGTCTGCTTGGACCCCAGCAGAGGCTCTCAATCAGCAACAGTGTCAGTTGATTTTTTTGGTCCTTTATTTTATTCTATAATAATGTATGGGCTCAAGGGATTTTGAGTTGCTTTAAGATGTATTTATTCAGCAAATATTTGCTCAGTACCTGCTGCATGCCAGACTCTGTGCTTTTTGTTTTCCTAACAGGCCTACTTTGCTTAGCTTCCTTCAGAGAGCCAGGCAGCTTCATGGAGAAACACCTAATTTCACTGTGACCTTAACTACATTACATCTCTTCTCTGTGAGATCAAGTTTTTTATCTATGAAAATGATAACCCCTGTCCTTCCTTTTCTAAAAAGGGCTCTGTGAGCCTTTAGAGAAGATTATTAATGTGAAAAGGGTTTCTGAAGTTCATAAATATTTGAGAGGGGTGGTAATATTTAACTGAAGGTGACTTTGCCTTTTAGATTGTGTGTTTAATCTGAGAACAGTACAGGTAACTGAGCATACTCTAGGCCAGTGGTCGGCAAACTCATTAGTCAACAGAGCCAAATATCAACAGTACAATTATTGAAATTTCTTTTGAGAGCCAAATTTTTTAAACTTAAACTATATAGGTAGTTACATTGTTACTAACTTAATTAGAGTACTCCTAAACTAGCCTTTGCTAAAAACGTCCTCAATCTGATTGAGGTACGTTCGCTGAGGTCGACCCCTTCCAACTCTCCCATCCACACTCGTCTTGTATACTTATTTCGTCTATCTCCTTTTGTTCATCCTCTCTATATGTCCAAACCATCTCAACATACAGGGCACCTAAAAAAATGTTTCATTTTATAATAATAAAGCCACCAACACAAAATAATTACAATTCTTAAATTGATGACAAAAATACCTGTAGGATTTGCAGCTGGTTGGAAAAATACAGGTAACTTTATGCTTCGAGTAGGTACTTTTGTCACCCGTGCGCGATTTGCAGACGCGACTAGCACTAACCACTGCACAATGAGGCTGCTGACTGACTGGCTTACTCAACTCATGCATGAATCACAGGCGCCTCCCCCGTGCTGCATATCCTGCAGCCTGCCTGCTCCGCATCTCCGGTTGCCTGACCGACCGACCGACCGACACCCCCCACTTCTTCTAACGCCACTTCTTCAAAATAGACTGGCCCAGGCCAAAAACCGACTTCTGCGCATGGGCCACGAAGTTTCAATCACACTGTACGTGCGCGCCCACACATGGTATTTTGTGGAAGAGCCACACTCAAGGGGCCAAAGAGCCCCATGTGGCTCGCGAGCCGCGGTTTGCCGACCACTGCACTAGTCATTCAGTAAACCCTCTTGAAAACTACATAGTAGAATCCACTTGACAGAAAACTCATTTTGATCCTTGGCCTCCAGCCTCTCTAAATACACCAAAGAAATTGCTACAGTCTGTAGCTGGGATCCATGTCAGGCCTTATACTGACTGCTGAGACAGGCTGGGTGATGCAGCCCTAGGCGATCAGAGAAGGCCCCTCTGATTGGCTGGCATTTCAGCAAGAAAATTGAATGAAATGAAGAAGTGAGCTTCTAAAATTTTACCACTTTGGTTGATAGTCTTTGTTAGGGTAAGAACATTGCCTTCTAATCTGAGTTTCTAAGATTTATCAAAAGCTTTTGGAATGTATTGAGATAATAATTTTTCTTGCTTGTACTGGCCTTACCTGATTTTGTTACCATAAAATTCCTTCTTTTCTCTGGAAAAGTTATAATATTATAAGCATTGTCTCCCTTTAAGGTGTTATGATGTGCTTGTAAAACCATTTTGGCTCAATGTTTTAAAATTTTTTATTGGCATTTGGGTTTGTTGTTATGTGTTTTTTTTCTGAACTATTTATCATTTTTCTAAAGGTTATGTATCTATTCAGATTTTTATAAGCTTCATCCCTCCCCATCATAGGCCATTTCACTCATCCATGCTTTTGTACATTCTCTCTCTTCTCCCAGCAGTGTCCTGTGTCCTTTTGATTTTGTTCTACCTGGATACCTTTTTGGTGTCTGTGTGTGTGTGTGTGTGTGTGTGTGTGTGTGTGTGTGTATGAAATGCTTTAACTGGTGATCTTTAACTATATTCATAATATTCTCCAACAGCCCAGCTGGTACAGCTCAGTGGATTGAGTGTAGTCCCATGCACCCGGAGGTTGCTGGTTCGATTCCCGATCAAGGCATATGCCTGGGCTGCAGGCTGGATCCCTAGTAGGGAGTGTTAAGGAGGCAGCTAATCTATGTTTCTCTTTCATCAATATGTCTATCTTTCTCGCACTTTCCCTTTCTTTCTCTGAAATCAATAAAAACATATTTTTAAAAAAAGAATATCCAAGAATATAGAATTTGATATTCTAATGAATTTTACTTTTAATTTTTTGTTTTGCGACTGAAAAATACATTTAATATTTTACATTGATCAAATTCAGGCTCCACCCTTATTTATAACCTTGGGAAACACCTAACTTCTCTTTTTTAATTGGCCTGTCTGTTAGTTATGAGTACTTACTGTCAGCTAATGCTAAATAAGTAGGTAGCAAAAGGTTTGACTTAAACAGTATAATAAGATATTCTTTATTATTTTTAGTGCAATAATTTGAACTGTCTTAAATCAATGAAATTATTTTCCATGTTTACACCTATTATTTTCCTTAATACTTTTAGAATGTATGAAACCAAATTGAAAGAATTGGAAACTGATATTGCCAAAAAAGCACAAAGTCTTACTGATCTTAAACAGCTTGTAAGACAAGCAACAAAGAGGGAACAAAAAGTTAAGAAATACACCGAAGACCTTGAGCAACAGGCAAGTAATGTAATTTTTATTTACATGATAAAATAATGTATTAAATCTCAAGCCCTTCCTTGGTATTGTCTAATATAGCTAAAAATGAACTCTTGACTAATTTCTACCCTGGAAGGCCCATCTAAGAGAATGACATCATCATTCACCCATTTGTTTAAGCCCCAAACCTTAGATCATCAGCTCCTTTTTTTCCCACACACCTCATATCTTTTTCATAAATCATGTTAGCTCAGTTTTCAAAGTCTACCCCAAATCTGACAATGTCTCAACACCTATAACACTGCCAGGCTAGTCCAAGCTGTTCTATCACACCTGAACTATTCTCATTATCTCCTAACTCAGTGATGGCAAACCTATGACACGCATGTCAGAGGTGACATGCGAACTCATTTTTTTGGTTGATTTTTCTTTGTTAAATGGCATTTAAATATATAAAATAAATATCAAAAATATAAGTCTTTGTTTTACTATGATTGCAAATATCAAAAAATTTCTATATGTGACACGGCACCAGAGTTAAGTTAGGGTTTTTCAAAATTCTGACACGCCGAGCTCAAAAGGTTCGCCATCACTGTCCTAACTGGTCTCCCTGCTTCTACTCTTGCCTTGTTTCGCCTTCTCCCTTCCCTGGTCTATTTTTTCCACATAGTTTCCAAGTAATCCTTTTGAAGCATAAAGCAAATATAGCAGTCCCATCCGTAGAATCTTCCAATGGTTCCATTATCCTGGAGTAAAACTAAAGTTCTTCTCATACCTCTAAGGACCCACATGGTCTGGCACCTGCTTTCCTCTTTAGCCTCCTCTTTACCTTCCCTTCATCCACAGTGTTCTAGCCACATTGACCTTTCAGTCCTTTGAACAAACCAAATTCATTCAAGCTTCAGGGCCTAGCTCTTGTTTCAAGTAAGATTTACCCAAATATTCCTATAGCTCACTTCCTCACTTTACATCTCTGTTAAAATGGAGGCTTAGACCTTCCCTAACCCTATAGTACCTTCCATCACTCTTTATTCTCTTACCCTGGGTTATTTTCCATCTGGTACTGTTATCACCTCACAGTACACACTCATTGTCTTTCCTCACTAAAAATATAAGGACCATGGGAACAGGGAGCAAGGGACTTTGCCTGCTTTTTTCACTCTGTGTCCTCTATGCCTTGGACAGTGCTTGGCATGTACTAGTTAATAAGTAATTGTTGAATGAACACTGAGTAGAACATGATGGATGCATGCTCATCTGTGCCTTTAAAAACCCAACTTTTAATAGTATGCTTTATTGAAAATATATCTTTATAAAATCTCATTTTCATGTCTAACTTTGTTTTCTAATTTTTCATTATGCCCAAAGATTGAGATTCTCAAACATATTCCTGAAGGTGCTGAAACAAAGCAAGGCCTTCAAAGGGAGCTTCAAGTTCTTAGGTACGTTATCTCTTCATATGACAACTCTTTTCTTTTTTACCTTTTTGTTTAACCAGGTTTACTATATCTAGAGAGTAAGATTTTTCAACCTTGCTATCTAAGAGGCTTATCAGCCTTATTTTATCCTCCTAATTCCAATCATTCTATCTTTTATATAATAGATGCTGGGAGAAAAATCACGGTAAACCAGGTCCTAATATCAGTATCGTTTGTAATGTAGTTTAAACTTTCTTAGTAGCACAGACCTTAATTTTTCAGAGGCAAATACTAACGGGTTCTGAGTAGCCTGCTCTCAGGAGCTCTTCCAGTAGGAAAACATCTCTTGAAAATAACATCAGGTCAGATGTTAAGAAAAACATGAAGACTTTTGATTCCATGATCTTTCTTTAAGAATGGTAATATTGCAGCAGGGAAAGTAAATGAATACCTTTATAAATATCAGTGAGTTCTAAGCACTGTACATTATAGTTCATAGGAAATGCCATATATTTTGTGGAACAGTGGTTTTGGTTTGTTTGTTTTTTTAATAACATTACCATTGTGCTCTAGATTAGCGAATAGTAAGCTGGAAAAAGAAAAAGAAGAATTAATCCATCAGACAGAAGTACACAAAGACCAAGGCGGAGCTGAGAGCACCGTACATGGTGATGTATTTTATAGCGTACTTATAGCATGTTAGGTAACTGACGTTTTGAATTAGGGTTTGCATTTTTTGTTTGTTCACGGGTTTCTGATAACTTTCTTCCTATAAAGTCAAATCCCAATGTAAGTTTTGTGGAGCTATCTCTTCCTCCGTGTAATATTATTCCCAACAAGCCCTTATCAAGTGCTTAAATGTTTTTTTCATTATGTTCCATTTGGTGTTACAGATTTAATCAGGATACAGTGCTGAGTGATGATTGTTGCTTCCAGTTTTTAAATATAGGTTGTTTTAAACCCTCTGACATGTTTTTCTAAATGTTATTGTAATCTTGTTAATTTAAAAACTACATAAACTGCATGTATAAGTAAAAATATTTTTTCCTTTAACAAAGTAATGTCTATCCTTCTACCCCCTTCTTTTCTCATTCAAAAGTGACCACTAGTCATCCCCCTATTCTTTTGTGCTTATGTATATATGCACATACACACATAGTGAATAGTTGATACTTATCATTTGCAGATTCTGTATTTGAGTTCACTTACTCACTAAAATGTATTTGTAACCCCAAAATCAGTACTCAAGGTATGTTGTGAAAATAGAGTAGTAAAAAATGTCAGACCCACACTTTCCCAGATGAGATCCAACAAGGTGACGCTCAGCATTCTTATTCAGCTTTCATACAGAGATGACCAGAGAATGGAGACAGTAGGGGGCAGTGCAATTTAGAGCCAGAAGCTAAGGTTCTGGGGCCAGCTGGACTAGGTTTGAATCCCAACTCTCACACTGGCTAGTGGGGCAGCCTCAGGAAAGCCACTTGGCACTCCTAAACCCTTTCTCTTTTGCAAAAAGAATCTACCAGAATGTTTCCAGGATTTAAGATTATAATCTGAGATATATGTATATGTTTAGATATAGGTATAGATTATATATCTACTATCTATATCATATATATATATATACACACACACATATATAAAATTTTCCCTTAAGAGCAATGGTTCAATATTCACTAATTCATTGTGTTGACTTTATAGACCATAACTATTGTAAATAATGAGAATCCATTATTTGAGCTGTATGTTTGATGCTTGATGGAAATGGCAAATTCTGTGCCAAAGAATTATACCAATTAATATCTGAACCACATGACTACTTCATATAGCTTATTCACATAGTCTTCTTGATACTCTGTATTAAAGCTATCATGTGGTATGAGTTGTACCAGACACTATGCTAAATCCTTTATGACCATTTTATAATTTATAATCCTGTATGGTGGGTACTCTTGTCTCCCTTTTCCTGTGATAAACAAATTTGAAGAGGTTAAGTTACCTGTCCCCAGGGCCACAACAGGTAGAAAGTGGCAGGGGCAGGATGAAACCTGAATCCAGGAAACTCCAAAGCTCCTCTTTATTTCCTGCCATTGACCAGTATGCTGCATTGCCACTCGGTGACTAAAAGTACATATAGCCTCTCTCTCAATGGTATCTCTCAAAGCAGCTAGCTTGGTGTAGTGGACTAGACACAGTAGACCAAAGACCTGGGAATGCTGTTAACAGGCAAGTTCTAAACCTGTTTCCTGAAAGGGAATTTCTGAGCCCCCATATTGTATTTCAAAGATTAAGGCTCAAAATCAAGCCTTAACTGTTATGGAAATTATATTTTAATATAAGTGGTCATTAAACTAACTTTTGAAAAGTGCTACACATTACCAAATCAATGGAATATATAGCAGCACACTGATTAAGACAATCTTCTCAATACAGCATCCCAGTGATTAAGAATCAATTCTGTAAAAAATCATTAGCACTTTCTGTAAAGGTGAGGGAAGCTTTGAAAAGTACGATTTTGCTCTGCCTTCCAAAGGAAGATGGGTTCTGCTATTTCCATGAAAAGGGTGAGGAAAATATTTCCTGTCTCCAACTTACAATTAGAGGACCCTTTCATAGGCACCTTATTAGAATATACTTCTTATCCCATTCATAAAAATGTGTTTACTGCTCATTATTTTCCTAAACTTTTTTATTGCTTTTTTAATTATACCCTTCAGTGGTTGCAAAATGACCACATGACACCATATAGGAAGTGTTTAAAGAAAATATTTTCAGAAGACAGCAATTACATCAAAAATACCATTTGCCCATTGATTCTCATTATAAAATTAGACATTAATTCTGGGGAGGAAATCCATAAATTAAAACCCTTATGCTGTTTTTGTACTTACCTTTTCCACCTAAGTATCAGGACTTATTCATGTTTGTGTTATCCATCCTGCCTAGCACGTTTTCTATATGGTAATTACACAATAATTGAGAAATGACCTACATGGACAAGCCAATGCTGCTACGTAACAGGGGCAATTTGAGCGGCTTATGGTTGTAGCTCTTTACCCAACGGTCTACTTATTCTCCTGTTGTACTTTTAGTACTTAAGTTTTCTTGGCTTTAGAATTTTTTTTTGGAAAATAAGTTTCTTCCATGTAAAAAGTTAACCTCACTCTTTACATCGAATATCTGGCAAATGTATTTTCTCTTTGCCATAAAATTATATTACCTAATAGAGGTAACATATAGTATTCACAGCCTGAAGTGTTTAATCCATAAAATGCAACATTTCCGGGCTCTACTTTCATAAGTTTTCTCCTTATTCTCTAAAACAAATCCCTTTATCTTAAAGGGATTAATCCCTTTATCTTAGAGTAGAAAAAAGCTGGGTCTAGTATATATATATATATATATTATATATATATATATATATATATAAAATGTATGTATAAATTAGAGGCCCAGTGCACGAAATTCGTGCATGGATAGGGTCTTTAGGCCTGGCTGGCGATCAGGGCCAATTGGGGCCTTCTGACTGCTGGCCAGGGCCTCCCTTCATTCCACGCCACCTCCTGGTGGTCAGAACACATCATAGTGAGTGATCAAACACCCAAGGGGACACTTTGCATATTAGCCTTTTATATATATAGATTTTTTTTTTGGCAGATCATGATCAACTAAAGGAAAAGATAAAGGATCTAGAAAGACAGCTGAAGACTTCAGATCTAGAAAAGCAGCATTTGAAGGTAATATATCTAATTATAGTATTACTAGAGGCCCGGTGCATGAATTTGTGCACCAGTGTCCCTCAGCCTGGCCTGCGGGATTCGGCCCAAACTGACTCTCCGACATCCCCCAAGGGGTCCTAGATTGCAGGAGGGTGCAGGACAGGCCAAGGGACCCCACCGATGCACAATCAGAGCCGGGGAGGGACATAGGAGGTTGGCCAGCCAGGGAGGGACCATGGGAGGGCTCCAGGGCATGTCCGGCCCACTTCGGTCAGTCCTGATGGGCCAGACCCCAGTAGCAATCCAACCGATCGGTTGGAGCATCTGCCCCCTGGTCGTCAGTGCACATCATAGCGACTAGTCGACTGTCTGCACCCTGGTGGTAAGTGCACATCATAGTGAGTGGTTGAACGGCAATAACATCATTAGCATATTACGCTTTGATTGGTTGAACGGAAGACTGGACGACCTGACACTTAGCATGTTAGGCTTGCATTATATAGGATAAATGTTTTATGAAAACAGCTGCTGAAAAGTTTTATGGTCACCATGTTTGAATTTTAAGTATGTATCATAAAAATTCCTGGGACTACATTTTATATTTGACCTTGACATTGCAAAGTCCAGTATATTCAACTGTTAAAAAAAATATATAAGAGCTACCAAAAAAACTGAGATAAAACAAATAGGATTAAAGAATAAATTTATTTTTTAATTGTCACAAATATAGAGCTCATTTTAATATTTTCGGTCACATTGCGAACAGTGTCTTTTATTTCCTTTTGAAAATCTTTTCAGGAATAGTTCCCCTCCCTTAAAAAAGATATTTGCTATGCTTTATGTCTTTCAAGAATCTGTAACTAGAATAAAAAAACATGATATGAAAGTTCACTAGCGATTATTGGCTATTCTAAAGCTCAAATTGCCTCTTCACCAGATGCATAGCTCTTAGCCAGGCAAAAAGCCCTAGAATTTCCCTGATCATAAATATATTTATAAGAAATTGACCATTATTCATTACAAATTACATATTTGTAAAGAAAATATAAATGAAGCCTAAGCTAAAGAATATTAACCAAAACAACCTTAATGCTGTGAATAGCCATGTCTTTTTGCTTGCCTCACTGAATATCTGAGAGTATGCTTTTGGAGAAAGATGAAATCCCCCTCTAATTTAAGAGCTAATAAATTTTAGACAAAGACTAGGACATAACTTACATAACAGGCCATTTGATTTGGCATTTAACAAGTTAGTTACTTATACTGCACAATAAAATCTTATTAAAATCTTAATACTTCAGTCTTTATATTTGCTATTCAGGTTACTTTGGTGCTCATGTTTATAATTAAATCTCTTTAGTTTAAGTATATTATATACTTATTGATGTCTTTTAAAGACAATATATTTCTATTAGGAGGAAATAAAAAAGCTGAAAAAAGAACTGGAAAATGTTGATCCGTCGTTTTTTGAAGAAATCGAAGATCTGAAGTATAACTACAAAGAAGAAGTGAAAAAAAATATTCTTTTAGAAGAGAAGTTAAAAAAACTTTCTGAACAATTTGGAGTTGAATTAACTAGTCCTGTTGCTGCTTCTGAACAGTTTGAAGACGAAGAGGGAAGTCCTGTCAATTTCCCTACTTATTAAGGGCCAGCTATAATTACAGTTTTTATTTAACTATTTACAAGTCTCTGTACTACATGATATCCTTTCCAATACCCTGTACCTTTACCTGAATTTGAAATTTTAGTAAATAAAGTTGTATGAAATTTTTAACACATTAGAAAAGTATATATTTGAAGATTTTTTAAAGTTATGACTATCAAGTAGGCAATGAGCTATAGTGAACTTCTGTACATTCATAATGTTTTAAGTTTTTAAATATGAGAGTAACAATTTTAATTTTTAAAATTGGGGTTTTATATTCTTACCTATTTATATATGTGTCATGGTTCTTAAATTTTATATGTATTTATAACTTGTATATGTATATCTGTGTGTATATATATATATATATATATATATATATATATATACACACACACACACAATAGGGCTGAGCCATATGTCTTGTTAAATGTCAAGCAAGATTAAATTAAACTCAGCTTAAAGTATTTAATTTTGAAAGTAAATGATCCAAAATTGTTGGTTTCCTTGTTGTCTTTAAATTACTACTCAGTTATAGTGGACAGAATCCAACCCTTTGTACAAGCTGGGGAGCTTACTATTACTTACATTTTTAAATCCAGAGGTTAAAATTCATTTGCTGATTCTAAATAAGACTTTGACTAGATATTTCCAACTGGAAAATTCATTTCTTCAAATGCTAGAAGACTTATTTCTCCATTAGTCACTGAACAATAAATAGGAACCTTGAGATATTTTCACCTTTTACACATGGCAGAATATTCAAGATTCAAGATAACACAATAAAGCTAGTTTTTAATTACATTTCCAGTCTACTCATCAAGTATTATATCTTTGAGCCTACTAAATTTCTGATGATCTATTTTTGAAAAATGATTAAATAGACACTTAGTATCAAAAGCATAGTCACGTTTGTTCAAGTTCATGTTAATAATAACAGGTTTTGAATTCATATAAGTATCTGGAATTGGCCAGCATAAACCAAGATGATGGCGATGGACCTAGAAAGAGAAAGGAAGGTATTAGCTTTAACCTGCACTTTCTTCATTACTTAAAAATATTTATTTTGTGTGCCTACCATCTTCCAGGCACTATTTAAGGCTCCACTTTATCTTACCCTTTATGTTTTTCATAGCTGCTTCTCCCCCTGACATATTACATATCTGTTTATTATCTATCTGCCCCATTAAAATGTGAGCTTCATGAAAGCAGACATTGTTCAGCTGGACTTCGTATTTCTAGTACCCGGAAACATGCCAGGAACATAAATGAGGGGCTCCAAAAAACTTAATAATAGAGTCTGTTAAGTTCAGAAGCTGACCAACTGTGGGTAGGGAGACAGTCTAACCAAAGGGACTATCATGTGACAAATTGTGTATATTTCCTCTGTAATTATTTAAGTATGGTTAGAACAGATACAATGTGGATATGTTTGGGATATGGGGGTGAAGGCAGTTCCAGAAAGTTGAGTAGGGGCCAGATCATGAAAAATCTTAATGTCATTAAACAGTTTTATGCAGGAAGTAACATTCTCATTAATTTATAAAGAATGAACAGGACAGGAATAACACTGAAAGTTAATGTTTAAGAGGGTGATATAACAACTCAAGTTATGAATCTGGGCTTAAATCCAAATTAACAACTAATTGGTTGGAGAGAAAGATACAGATTCAATAGATCAGAGTCTTTAAGAAGTGATAATTGTATGTATGAAGTAATGGAGAGTGGGGTTAAAAATGTATCTTAAGTTTTTGGCTTCAGTGAATTGTTGGAGTCAGGGGGTTGATATAACTAGGTCCAGTTTTGAACATGAATTTTAAGAACCTGTGAGAAATCAAATAATCAAGTCCAGGAGACAGACCCAAAGGGCACAAAGTATAAGATAATTCATTCTGTATATATTAACTGACCCTTGGCACTTTCTAACCAACAAACTCTATAACCAAGTAAGTTTGGGAAATGCTGGATTAAACAGGATTAAATGCTGTCATTAAAGAATGTCTCAGAGCACTAAAATGCAACATGAATTTCCAAGAAAGGAATATGTTGTATGCAGGGTTTTCCAGACATTTCTATCACTTTAGTTCTGAAGCACTTCTAGAACAACCGATGCCCCACAGAACAAGTACACTGGAAAACACTGTCATATAAGAATGGTGGCATGTGAGACGAACAAATTAAATTTCTTGAGTGCACCATCAGAATTACTGCAATTGGTAGAAAGCATTTTAGTGCCACTTTTACTCTGAGGAATATAAGAGGACATAATTCCACAAGCTGTTTTCTGCCATTACCTTGATTAAACAGCCATCATTGCAATGCCATACTATTCCTTCAATTTTACCCTCTCTGCAACCTTCAAACCAGGACAGCAGATCACTGTGCTTCAAGGTAGGTAGATTTCTTATTTGAAATGCTCCATGTGGTATAAGAAGATGTAATGGATGCTTCTTGCTTCCTAACCCTAAATGATAAAATCGTGCCATTAGCTATACAAAGGTTTTAAGAAGAATGAGAACATTTATCTTTCCAAATAAAAAAGCCTTTTAAAATATCTAAGCATAGATTTACCAACAAGTTTAGTTGGTTTCCTTGCAGAGATATATGCTAAAAGCACTTTCACTCAAAAGTGGCACTATATCCCATTAAATTTAAATTCTACCTTTGTGTACTCTATATCAGGAGTCCACAGACTATGACCTGTGGGCAAAATCTAGCCAGATGCCTGGTTTTTTATAAATAATGTTAATGGAACACAACCATACCTATTCATTTAAGTACTATCTATGGCCTGTTTCAGAGGTATGGCCCATAAAACCTAAATCTTTCCTATCTGGCCTTTTATAAAAAAGTCCACCAACCCCTGCTCTAGGCTCTACATCATTTGCCACATTCAACTATTTTTCAGTGTTTGCCAAATAGCCATGCCAAATTACTTTCTTAGCTTCTTGCTGCCAATCAGTCTGCTTCTGATCTTTATATAGGATTTTGCCATTCAAGTTGCACTGTTCTTGGGTCTGTCTTCATCCATCCCCTTGTCAACAATGTACTCCATAGTGCCCTTGGGACTTTTACTCAACTCATCATTCACTGCCAATTCTTTATTCACTTTATACTCAGCTATTAATTAATGCTACACTAATTACCTAGTCATGAAAAGCATACCATGATTTTCATTCAGCTCAGTTCACCTAAATTTTAAAAAGCAATGAAAAGTTACACTTGAGGAATTACCTTTTATACATAGTTTTATAATGTTAATATAGGAAAGAACAAGAGGCTAAACATCAACATTTTGTACTAATAAAACTATTAGGTAAATTTCTCCATGGACATAACATAAATAGCTATTATTCTAGGCCAGTGGTCAGCAAACTCGTTAGTCAACAGAGCCAAGTATCAACAGTACAACGATTGAAATTTCTTTTTAGAGCCAAATTTTTTAAACTTAATATAGGTAGGTACATTGTTATTAACTTAAATTAGGGTACTCCTAAGGCTTAGGAAGTGCCACACTCAAGGGGCCAAAGAGCCGCATGTGGCTCGCGAGCTGCAGTTTGCCAACCACGGGTCTAGGCTACTTAACTCAAGTTTATTAGTAATTTTTCTCTGTGTGTAAGTTGAACCTAGGTTCTCCTTATAAATGAATTACTATAACTACAACTGAACAGAAAAAGGCTTTACTCACCATATGGGTTTCCATTAATATTCGTTCCTATAAGCTCCAGCGTCTGTTCTAAAAGGTCTGATAGTGGCACCGCAGTTATTTCCAAAAGACCAGAATCATCAGGATGATGCTTCAGTACCAGGGCTATTTCAAATTCATAATTAACTACAGAGGAATGCCAGCAATACTGCTTGTTGTTTTTCTCCACTGGTACCCACCCTATCATTTAAAGAAAAAAAGTGGGGGTTTTTGGCATTGTCTTTCTCTGCATTGAGACAAGGTAATTTTAATTTTTGTTGTAAATTTTCCGTATTTTCTGGATATAGTATTACAGAGTCACTTTTAAATTCAGTAGAAATAACAGTTTTACTACTTTTTAAATCATAATAATTTTTTAAATTATAAGGTTTCATTTTGATTCTGTTGAGAAATTAACTTGATTATTCACTATAGAGCACTCAGCATTTTTACTAGAAAACTTTTCAATAAGAATTGAGCACCATTTTAAGACACAGAATTAAAATACTTTTTTAAAATTAAGTTTTCTCTCTACCTTCTCTCATTTCAGGGACAAGAGACATATGCACTTAACTGTTGTACAATTTATTGTACTGTCTCCATATTTACTGAAAAATGTTTGATTCACACTATTGACTGTTACTACTTTTCCCATCCTAACTTCAGTTGCTAGAATAGAGTTCCTCATTGTGCCTGCTATGACATACACCACTGTGGCCATCATATCTGTGGCTGTCGTTACCCAAGGTTACTATAATAACCTTTTTCTTGGTATACTAGTCTCCAGGAAACCCCCCCCCTCCATTTTTATATTAGTTCCATTAAAAAAAATGTAAATTGATAATCTTCATGACAAACTTCAAATTCCTTTAGAAGGAATACAAACCTTTTAAGATCTGAGCCCATTCCACATCTCCAGCCTCAAATTTTAAAATTGCCTCAAATGTCATACACTTAAACATTCCAGCCAAAATAAAGTGTTCAATAAAATTTCCAAAAGACTCCAGGGGAGTTTGCCTAAGTAGACCCTCCCCCTTCCTTTTAGCTAATGTTCTGGTTCTTAAGCTTCAGTACAGATGTCACTCCCCTTACTAGTAAACCTCCTCTAGCCACCACACATTGGAATATGAATTTTTCCTCTTTCTCCAACTGTATAACCTGTATACCTTTTCCTTTTGATTCTTAAATCATACTGTTATTGATGGATTTCCCCTCATGTCTACAAGATCTTTGAGGATCAGGGTTCTGATCCTCATTTTGTATTACCAGAACCTAAGAGTACTTTGCACCTTACAGGTACTCGAGATATGCCTGTTAACCTGAACCTTAATTTGGGGTAT